TGAATACTCTGATTCTTCTGCCTCTTTCACTTTGAGCAACAATGGAGGCAATGATCAGCTTTGACTTTCAGAACTGCTTCATCTTCATCCTCATATGTCTCTTTCCGCTCCTATGTTTCTTTCTCTTCTTCAAGAATCCAAAGGATTCACGAAGTAACTTCGATTTGCCTCCGAGCCCTCCTTCTCTACCAATCATTGGTCATCTTCACCTTCTCCTCTCTACTCTAACCCATAAGTCACTACAGAAACTCTCCTCCAAGTATGGACCTCTCCTCTATCTCCGGATCTTTATTGTCCCCATCATCCTCGTTTCCTCGGCCTCAGTGGCCTACGAGATCTTCAGGACACACGACGTGAACGTCTCCTCTCGCGGTGTCTCTGCGGTTGATGAGTCCCTCGTGTTTGGATCTTCCGGTTTCGTCACTGCTCCTTACGGAGATTACTTGAAGTTCATGAAGAAGCTTACTGTCATGAAGCTTCTCGGACCCCAGGCACAAGAGCAGTCACTCACGAGGCATCCGTGCAGATGAGATAGAGCAGTTTTACGGGAATCTGCTCGATAAAGCGAGAAAGAAGGAGAGCGTTGAGATTGGTAAAGAAGAAATGAATCTCATGATCAACATCTTGTGCAAGATGAGCATGGGAAGGACTTTTTCAGAGGAGAACAGTGAGACAGAGAAACTCATGGGCTTAGTTACCAAGTCGATTGGCTTGATGAAGAGGATGTTCTTGGCAGTCTTGTTGCGCAGACAGCTCGAGAAACTTGGAATCTCACTATTCAAGAAGGATATTATGGGCGTTTCCAACAAATTTGATGAGCTGCTAGAGAGAATTCTTGTGGAACATAGAGAGAAACCGGGAAAGGATCAAGGTACGGATATGTTGGACGTGTTGTTGGCAGCTTATGGAGACGAAAATGCAGAGTACAAGATCACTAAGAACCAAATCAAGGCTTTTTTCGTGGTAAATGTTCCTCTCATTATGTGATTTTTTTGAGAATTCAAATATTGTCTGACACAGAAATGTTTGTTCAACCATAGGAGCTTTTCATTGGAGGCACTGATACCTCCGTGCAGACAATACAGTGGACAATGGCCGAGATCATTAACAATACTCACATTCTTGAGAGAATGAGAGAAGAAATTGATTCCGCTGTAGGGAAATCAAGGTTGATTCAAGAAACGGATTTACCGAACCTCCCTTACCTGCAAGCGGTCATTAAGGAAGCACTAAGATTACACCCACCGGGGCCTCTCTTGCCAAGGGAATTTCAACAAGGGTGTAAGATCAGAGGATTCTACATACCAGAGAAGACAACACTTGTGGTTAATGCTTATGATGTGATGAGAGATCCGGATTTTTGGGAAGACCCTGAGGAGTTTAAACCAGAGAGGTTTCTAGCTTCTTCAAGATCAGGGCAAGAGGAGGAGAGAAGAGAGCAAGCTCTTAAGTTTCTTCCTTTCGGCAGCGGAAGGAGAGGATGTCCTGGATCAAATCTAGCTTATATGGTAGTAGGAACAGCAATAGGAATGATGGTGCAGTGCTTTGACTGGAGAATCGAAGGAGAGAAGGTCAACATGAAAGAGACTATTAAAGGGGTCAACCTAACCATGGCTCATCCTCTTAAGTTCACTCCTGTTACTCGACAACCACCCTTGACTTGGATATGACACTGAATTCGCAGACAGTTATAACGGTCTCGTTGATCCTTAAAATGAAACTATAAACGTTGTGTACTTACTGTAGCTAGTGTTGGAACAATGACGTTGATCTTGCTCATCCTCTTAAGTGTACTCTTGTAATCTGTAGATTCCCTGTTAGTGACTTGAAGATGTCACTATAAACTTGCTGGCCCATAAGGGTCTGGTAGATCCTTAAATTAATGAAGGAAGCTAGCTCGCTACTGTTTTTTTCATCTTCTTCCTAGACCATGTGTTCCCCGGATTTATCAGTTACGTTTGCTTTGGTTTAACATTTTCCAGCTTAGGACAGATATTGTGTTATAATCGGCATAGGTATTAGATATTTGATCAGTTCCTATGTGGTAACTAACAGACACGCCTATGTTTAGTTTACATCTCAGACTTGCTTTTGATCCCTCTAGGTACTCACGTTGAGCATCCTTTAATGTTAAGTGGGTTTATGCTCGAAATATGGATGATTACTAGGTACCACATCAATTCGTTATTCGCGGTAAATGTGGTTCCTCTGGTTGGTTGTAGAATTCATTCGCGATAGAAGTTTTGCAATTCTAGCTAGGAGCTTTTCCTATAGTTTTGCAACTAATAACTAATTGAGTGTTTCTATCTTATGTCACATATGACAAAGACTTGAACATTGCATATATCTACTGGACATTTCTTAGTTGCAACTTACAAGACTCATAAGATCCACGTGTGGAACCTTAGGTGTCGATACGTGGGGTTTTTGAAGATTCCTTTTTCACTTATTGAATGATTATTATGAGCACGAGTGTCAAGGAACTTCTGAATTCTGATCCGAAACGTTTCTTGTTGTTTCTTTCATCTTTCCATTATTTACTTCTTCAAGAAAGAAAACATTTTGCTTAAAAGCATCATGGATTGTTGATAAGAGGAGACTCTGTTTCATCTGCCTCATCATTTTGAGCAACAATGGCAGTAATCATTGACTATCAAACCTACTTTATTTTTCTTCTCCTCTCCTTCTTTTCACTCCTGTGTTACCCTTTCTTCTTCAATAAACTAAAGGATTCACGAGTTGGGTTTGATTTGCCTCCAAGCCCTCCTTCTCTGCCAATCGTTGGTCATCTTCACTTGCTCCTCTCTACTCTAACTCACAAGTCCTTACAGAAACTCTCCTCCAAGTATGGACCTCTCCTCCATCTCCGTATCTTCAATGTCCCTGTAATCTTTGTTTCCTCGGCTTCTGTGGCATACGAGATCTTCAAGGCTCACGATGTGAACATCTCGTTTCGCGGCAACCCCCCTATCGAGGAGTCCCTTTTGGTCGGATCTTCTGGATTTTTCACTGCTCCTTATGGAGAGTATTGGAAATTCATCAAGAAGGTAATGGTCACAAAACTGCTCGGACCACAGGCACTACAGAGGTCACGAGGCATCCGTGCAGATGAGCTTGAACGGTTTTACATGAGCCTGCTCGATAAGGCGATGAAGAAAGAGAGCGTTGAGATTGGTATGGAAACGATGAAGCTCATTAACAACAGCATCTGCAAGATGATTATGGGGAGGAGTTTTTCTGAGGAGAATGGTGAGGCAGAGAGAATCAGAGGCTTGGTGACGGAGTCTACTGCCTTGACAAAGAAGATTTTTATGGCAAACATGTTTCACAGGCCCCTTAAGAAGCTCGGAATATCACTGTTCAAAAAGGAGATAATGGGTGTTTCCAACAGATTCAACGAAGTGCTTGAGAGGATTCTTGAGGAACACGAGGAGAAACTTGAAGAAGATCAAGATATGGACATGATGGGCGTGTTGTTGGCAGCTTACCGAGACAAAAATGCAGAGTGTACGATCACTAGGAACCACATTAAGTCGTTGTTCGTGGTAATTGTGTCTCTCAGTTAGCAGATTCGTCTAGCTATTATCCAAAATAACACCATTATTTTTCCTGTCTAAGAAACTTTTTTCAACTGCAGGATCTTGTCGTTGCAGGCACTGACACTTCAAGACATGCAACACAGTGGACAATGGCGGAGATAATTAACAAGCCTACGATTCTTGATAAATTAAGAGAAGAAATCGATTCTGTTGTAGGGAGAACAAGGTTGGTTCAAGAAACAGATTTACCAAGCCTACCTTATTTGCAAGCCATTGTGAAGGAAGGACTGAGATTGCACCCGCCTGGGCCTCTCTTTGCAAGGACAGCCCGAGAAGGGTGTAGGGTCGGAGGATTTTATGTACGAGAGAACACACCACTTGTTGTTAATGCTTATGCTATGATGAGAGATCCTGATTCTTGGGAAGAGCCCAATGAGTTTAAGCCAGAAAGGTTTCTAGGTTCAGGAAAAGAAGACGAGAGAGAGCATGGACTTAAGTACATTCCTTTTGGTAGCGGAAGAAGAGGCTGTCCTGGAGTAAATCTAGCTTACATTCTTGTAGGAACGGCGATTGGAGTGATGGTCCTGTGCTTTGATTGGAAAAACAAAGGAGATAAAGTTAACATGGAAGAGGCTCGTGGAGCAATGGTCTTGACCATGGCTCATCCCCTCAAGTGGATTCCTGTTGCTCGAACCCCGAACCTGCAGTGTCGCAGTGAACTTAAATGAAGACTTCAGCTTTCCATCATTTCACCTTTCCATGTTTTGTTTCATGTTTAGTGTCAGAGAAACATGTTGTTGATTAATGTCAGATAGCTGCCATCAATTAGTTAGGGTTAGTTAGCTAGCTAGTCACTTGGATAGTGTATTCACATAAGCAGATGCCGGATAGATAGAGATTTATTTTGACGTTTTACATTAATTTTGCCAAAAAAGATAAGATTCAACACATAAACTGATGTCGTCAAGCACGTACGCATGCTTGAACACAACTCTTCCAAATTTCTAGGTTCATCTACCTGGCCCCTCTTGGAAAACACATCCATGAGGAACATTGGCTTAGAAAGTGATTCAAACCAGAACAAGTTCAACACTATCATGAATATATATAGCTAGGATTCATTTATGTAAAAGGCAGGGAAAGGAAACAGAGATAGGGTGAATATAAAAAGGAACAAACATCAATTGCTGAAGAACTTAGAAACCGTGTTCATGATGATATCCGGGTCACTAATTGCATTGTTTATTTCAATCACTCGGTTTGCTCTGAGATACGCAAAGCCTATAGCCAGCAGAAGCACTAGCAGCATTACAATCTACATTTCCGAGTAGAGAAGAGGATAATTAAGTGATGTATTCAAAAATTATAAGATATATATTTGTATGGAAACCGTGGTAAAATTTATCTTACAATGAAGGGTTTTGGTTGTGCTCCGTCTTTAACCAAGGAATTTCTGAAGGTAAGAAAGGTAAAGATTCATTAGAACCCCGATCGATAATTCTATTCAACAAGGTTCTTTCGCATAATTACAAACCAAAAACATAGCAGGCTGTGGAACGACAAAAAGGCGAATTATTTGACTGGGCATAAATAATCTTCATGAGAACTTTCTAAAGAACAAGAAGATACGATGAAAATAATTTACCTCTTCTGAAGAACCCCAATGTCTCTACAGAGTTTTTGGACAACTTCAAGTCGGTGTAGAGTCTCCGTGGCATTTGGATCCTTCTTATCGACCTATGTACGTACAAATAAGATAAACATGATTCGTTTTTAAATAACAAGAGAGTAAACATACTAACATACCTTTGCATTCAACATGCAAGAAAAATCATAGAAAGCGCCATAGACATCATCCATTGTTTTTGTGCGATCCATGACTTTAGCAGTTATACCTAAATATACGAATTTCGTCAACAAAATATTAAACCATTGGGCCACACGTTCTTGGTTAGACCAACATCTTACCTCGCCTCACTTTCACAACGCCTCTAAAGACTTGTACATTGTCATAGCATAATGAAAGTGTTCCAATCGCCATAATCTGATCAGGGAAACACATTTACAATTTTACATCAATGTAGAGGCAAGTTTTAGAGTAGACTATATATAACTTTGTACATGAATGTCTGAAACCAGTTAAATATATATCGGGAAAAACAATCTAAACACTTTGTAACTTGGAAATTAAATAATTTGGAAAATGTGATGATATATTTCTCTAACCTGAGGGATGGCACAAAACCGAAATACGGTAGGATCACGCAATGCAGCCATGTACTTAAAGCAATCTTCAATATGAATCAATGCATCGGTGACCATATAATTTAAGCATTGCACTGCTTTGGCCGAGTTCTCCTCATCTTTGAAGTCCTCAAGCTTGCCAACATATTTGCTCCAAATCTGGCGAGGCCAGAACTTGCGTGGCTCTGGTATCTCATTAATGTCCTCAAGATAATCTTTGATAATGTGTGTTTTCTGCAAATATTGTTTAAAGTTATTTGATAACAAATGTTGCAATATATTTGAGGAATAAACATTTAACACATGTTGTACATGTAGAAATAAGCCCATTGAATTGGAAAGATGTTCCCAATCTGGAGTTAAAACTTCTAATCCCGATGCGAGGAAGAGTTTAGACAGGCCAAAACCCAAAAGTCCAGCAACATAGTAGCAATATTCAGTGTGGTCCTCCATAGTTTCTACCTGTCAGGTAGTAGAGAAGATTGGGATCAATGCACAAATTGTTTCACGAAGCATATATATTATTAATAAGTTTTGTATCAAAAACCTCCTGGCAAATGAACTTGGCCATTCCTGCACCCATTCTTTTTGTAATATCCTCAATAACTTCTTGATACCTGTACAAAAAAAAGAATAACATAAAAAATTAGTCAAAAAAATTTAGAAAGTCAAATGATAAAAGAGAACTAAATTTAATTATAACAAATGTGCCTATTTCACATAATAGAACTAACCCTCTTTCAAGTTGGAGAAAAGCGGAAGACACATGGTGGAATTGGTCCATTAGAACTTTGAACTCGTTCCTACCACCTAAATTTAGATGGAGAGTATAAACTAACACTCTAATACTAAAAAGAATGAAGATGTTAAAGAGAGACTCTTTTCTGACTTACACGAAAAGTGCCAGTCACGATCATATATGTGACGGTGGAAATCTGTCAGGATGGGAAGCTTGACCTCCTTTGAAATGCTTGTGTCATCCTCTGTATCACAATGGCTTTTATTATATCTTCTAGTTGACTAAAAAAAAGTAGCTATGGAATTTTTTTCACTTGTGACTATACAATTGATCATTGCTTTTTTTTTTGGTGAAAATAATTTCATAGCTACTTTTTTTTTTACTAGCTATGGAATTTTTTTCACCACAAAAAAAAAAAAAGCAATGATCAATTGTATATATAGTCACAAGTTTTTTTTTTTTTTTTGGTAAAAGTTTAGTCGCAAGTTGAAGAGAAATAAAAATCCAAAAGCTTAGAACTAGTTAACACGATAAACGAAGCTCCAAATGTTTTTAACCTTCTAAAAGTGAGATTCCAGAACTAAATAGCAAATTTTAAGCTTTGTTTATCTAAGTTTTGAATTTGCTCCAAAGGTTAGATATATAATGTTTTCGCAGATGTTTAGAGAGACTAACCGACGGTATCAAGAGCTCGAAGAACCAAGTAGAACACACACATCTACAAAAAGTAAAGGAAATAAGTTAAAGTTGATGTTAGAAAGAAAAGTGATGTAAGATGCGAAGGCATTACGGGGTTTCGAAGCTCGGTTCGAAGTTGGTGAATGACGTAAGAGAAGCTTGTAGAAACATTGTGGAGTAAGGAATAGCAGATTCTCCAGTGTTCCCCTGGTGGGATCTGCTTCTGAGCTTTCTTAATTTCCATCTTCAACTTAAGCAGTAGATATATCTCATCTGGGTGTCTCAAAATCTGTCCCAAGCTACCCATTTCTTGAAGAACCGATATTCCTATAGATTCGAAGACCCTTTAAAATATTTAAGGAGCAAAAATGTAGGAACTCTCATGTTTTCATGTGCATCGTCGCGTCGGTGCCATTGGAACAGCCCATCATATCTTCTCTTGTATATATTTCAAAGCTTCCATCTTGCGACAGGTGAACCCTTTTTTGTCGTTGTGAGTTATTTGGTGTGGGGCTGTGGGCTATACTCATATTTGATTTTTTAAGAAATTTAAAATTATAGTATTGGTAAATCGGTTTAATTTGGCATATAGTAACTGTAGGAGAGTGAAATGACTATGCACCAAAAGAGACCAATAATGTTGGACAATTCTTCATTTTTTTTGTTGATAAAATGGACAATTCTACATTACAAATTAAATATCTAACATATTTATGTGACGTTACATATTATTATTGCTCGCAATAGAATATAGATGTACATGATATACACTTAATATAGTAGGAGGGATGATATAAGCAAATAAGCAATAAACCTAAGTTTCCTAAAGTAGAAAAATACATATATGAAATAATTATTACAAATATATCTCAATCAGTTTTATTCCTAGATCAAACAATGTTCATGTCAATCGACTTTGCGAAAGCCGCTTTGAAGCGAGATTTATCATTTTCTCAGGTTCCGGTGTGAATTGATTATGGGCCACCCTATTAGGACCGACTTAATAAAATAAAGAGATTTTGATGTAAAAAGAAAAATGTATCCATAGATATGCATGCTAATAAGACCCTACTAATTGACTTATGCAAGTGATTGATTTGATCGTAAACTAATTTTGATTTAAAAAATGTCATTTTGGCCGACTTCCGGGTTTACGATTACACGTGTTTCCCGGTTCATTGGTTACTCTTGGTTTAGTTCAGTTTGGCCTTATCTCCGGTTTACTGTAAGAAACCGTAGTAAAACAGTGCGTTTTGTGTTTTGTCCTCCTTTCTTCTCTCTCAATTGTGTTTTCTCCTGCCTGAAATGGCATCAAGATCACAGCAAACAACCCATCAGTATATATTCTTCTTCTTCGGTTACAGTTGTTCATTGATTCAGATTTCACTGATTTTGATCTTCTATCTCCTTTCTCTTTATTTGGCTCACTTTGCAATCGTTGAAGTTTAGGTCTATTTCTTTCCCTGATTCTCATGCCTCGAGGACTAACCCATGTTTGAAATTGACTGTGTTCATGTCAGAAAGCCGTCAAATTTCGTCCGTGTAGGGTTTGGTTAGTTACTTGGCGTTTTATATCAAATGGAGCAATCCCTGCAACAAAACAAAACCTCTCATCGGTGAGTTTATGAATCACATTATGTATTATTAGTGTTTAGGCATATTTTACCATGTCTTTGTAACCAAACTTGGTGTTTAGGCCTTGTGAGTTACATTACATACAACAAGATTATTCTCTGTTTCCCAACATACTTGGCAGTTCACTCTTTACATAACCAGAAAACTTACTTGGTTTAGTAAGAGAGGGTTTTTTTTCTGAGGTTTTCCTTCACTTATATATTGCTTGCTATGTGTTGTAAACAGGTTTTGAACGTTGAACTGAAAGAACATCTTGCATCTCTGCAAGAAAGCAACTGTAATTACAGAAGGCTAACATGGACGTGGCCATTGGAGGGCTAATCTTGAGTGCTATCAAGGCTTTCCTGAAACCTTTGAGCTAAAAAGGTATCTTCTGTGAGGGGTTTTATAATATTTGTGGGATTTTAGATGAAGGAAAAACTATGGTTTTGGTGTTTATGTTCATTAGAGTGGAAAGGTTTTGACTTTGGTGATATATAGTATTGTGCCAATCTTCTTACTTGAGAATCTGGAATGTGTGCTTTTGGGAGTTTGCATAACTATAATTCTAACCTGGTTCAAGATCTTAAGAGATTAAAGAACAATAGACTTTGTTTGTTCTACTTATAGATCGTTTATACATAGTAAACATGTTTGAACGGAAATAGAGGAAGAATCTTTTGCATCTATGTGAGTGAGTCAATAGACTATGTTATAAGATTATTAATGTGATCACGAGTATGGCAAGGAACTTATAATACTAATAAGAAAATTTTAATAAACCTGAGCTTTCCACTCTTTAACGTTCTTCCAAACGGAAAACATCTTGTTAATATTATAAACACAGCATGGTTGCCTCGTTGGTGATACATTATCTCACGGTCTTCCAAAAATAATACTTTTTAAATCTTGTAAACAAAAGCATGGTCTGCTAGACATTATATTAACTGATTCTTGATTAGGTTTCATCAGCCTCTTCACTTTGAGGAACAATGGCAGCAATGATCATCGTTGACTATCAAAACTGCTTCGTTTTCTTCCTCTTGTGTCTCATTTCACTTCTCTGTTACACTCACTTCTTCAGGAAACCAAAGAGCTCACGAGTTGGCTGTGATCTGCCTCCCAGCGCTCCGTCTCTTCCGATCATCGGTCATCTTCACCTTCTCCTCTCTTCTCTAGCTCACAAGTCTTTACAAAAACTCTCCTCCAAATATGGACCTCTCCTCCATCTCCGGATCTTTAATGTCCCCATCATCCTTGTTTCCTCGGCTTCAGTGGCCTACGAGATCTTTAAGGCCCATGATGTGAACGTCTCTTCTCGCGGTGTTGCTGCGATTGATTAGTCCCTCTTGTTTGGATCTTCTAGCTTCTTTTACGCTCCCTATGGAGATTACTGGAAGTTCATGAAGAAGATCTTGGTCACTAAGTTGCTCCGACCACATGTGCTGGAGCAGTCGTGTGGTCTTCGTGCTGAAGAGCTAGAGCGGTTTTACGGGAGAATTCTCGATAAGGCGAGGAAGAATGAGATCATTGAGATCGCTAAGGAATCGGCCATGCTCATGAGCAACATCTTATGCAGAATGAGCATGGGAAGGAGTTTTTCAGAGAAGAATGATGAGGCAGAGATAGTCAGGGGCTTGGTGGGTGAATCATATTCCTTGGTGAAGAAGATTTTCTTAGCGTCTACATTGCGCAGACCGCTTGAGAAGCTTCGGATCCCACTATTCAAGAAGGAGATAATGGGTGTTTCCGACAGATTCGATGAGCTACTAGAGAGGCTTATTGTGGAACACAAAGACAAACTGTATGAGGAGCATCAAGGTATGGATATGATGGACGTGTTGTTGGCAGCTTATGGAGACGAAAACGCAGAGTACAAGATCACTAGGAATCATATCAAGTCACTTTTTGTGGTAAATGTTCCTCATCATGTCAGATTCATATGAGAAGGATCCGAACAAAAAATATTACTTATAATTGTTCAGAGTCTTTTCAATGCAGGAGATTTTCGTAGGAGGCACTGATAGCTCGGTACAAACAACATAATGGACAATGGCCGAGATCATTAATAACCCTGACGTTCTTCAGAGACTAAGAGAAGAAATGGATTCCGTTGTAGGGAAAACAAGGTTTATTCAAGAAATGGATCTACCGAAACTCCCTTACTTGCAAGCGGTAGTTAAAGAAGGCCTAAGATTGCACCCTCCGGCGCCCCTTTTGATAAGGACGTTCCAAGAAAGATGTGAGATCAAAGGGTTCTATATACCGGAGAAGACACCACTCATTATTAATGCTTATGCTGTGATGAGAGATCCTGATTCTTGGGAAGATCCTGATGAGTTTAAGCCAGAGAGGTTTCTAAGTTGTTCAAGATCAGGGCAAGAAGACGAGAAGGAGCAAGCACTTAAGAACCTTCCTTTTGGCGGGGGAAGGAGAGGATGTCCTGGAGTAAATCTAGTTTACATATTTGTTGGAACCGCAATAGGAGTGATGGTGCAGTGCTTTGACTGGAAAATCAACGGAGATAAGGTCAACATGGAAGAGACGTATGGAGGACTGAGCCTAACCATGGTTCACCCGCTTAAGTGCACTCCAGTTCTTCGAACCCAGATTCCCAGTTCCTAATAATACTCAGTTTGAGTCATGTGTACCAAGTGTGTTTTTCTCGAATCTTTTAATCTGCAGAGTCCGAGTGACTCTTGTTGTTGTTATCTGGAAGATGGGACTTTGCTTTCCTATGATGTGTTCAACTTCATTTGTTATGTTTGTTGTAGTTGAAAGCTTCACATTCAAATAAAATATCAAAGAGATTGCAAAAATTGCATTTTAGTAAGTAGAAAGTGACATGACACAATTTGGGAGACTTGAAGATACTAGTGTTTGAGTGATCACACAGAGTGGTTTGGATAAATCCCAATTCTATCATTTATCACCAAATCATGATCAATTTTGTTCAACGAGAGTATTAAACTTAAAGAACTTTTCTATAGTTTTTTTTCTTCAAACCTTTTTTTAACTGTATCAACTATTATCTCTCACCTAAATCACCCATAACAATAAGTGATTGTTTTAATAAAAAAAAAAATACAAATCGTGAATTGAAAAGAAAATGCTACAACGGTCGTTTAAAGTAGATCCGAATCCAATGATGAGGTTTGAAATTTTGAATAGAAAAGAAAAGAAAGCAAACAAATTTTATCATTAATCATTCCCTCTCCTTCGAATTTTGAATCTTTCGTCGTCTCTCGCTCTCTCTCCTTTTTTCGATCCCGCAAGCTGTTTCATTTGGGAAGCCATGGCAGACAATCGCATCGCCGGAAGCTTACCCACTTCCTCTAAATGGAGTTTTCTTCCCAAATCCGTATCCTCACACTTGAAACCAAGCTCAAACCCTAGATCTTCAAAACCCGACATCGAAAACGCTCCTCCTCAAGATCCAAACATCCATAATCCGATAAATCAATCTGTTTCTAAATCACCGGCTCTCAGGAATCAAATGGATTCACCCAATCGCAGAGGTGAAGTGTCAGCTTCTCGGGTACGTGAAAGATGAAAATTTCCCATTACTCCTCTCATTTGATTGAATTGTGAAATTCATCTTTTTATTTGGGGAATAAATATCAGCGAAGGGCAATATCGGCAGTGAAAACTCACAATGAAGTAGAAGAAGAAGCCTCGAATCCACATGTAAAGGTTGGTTCTTTCTATTTTTGGGATTTAAGGAAATTAAGAGCCATTGCTTCTTTCCTTAAAAAATCTGGTCTAATTCAGTTCTCTATATATCTAAGGTTGTGGTGAGGATTAAACCTACAAAGGAGTATTGCTGGAAAGTGAAAAAAGTTTCCAAAGATTCATATTCTGTTAGAGATCGCCAATTTACATTTGATTCCGTTCTCGACTCTAATCTAAATCAGGTTCGTCTCTCTCTCTCACACACAATTTGGATAAGTTTCTTTAGAAGCTCAACTTGTGTTAAAGTTCTTTACTTGTTGATGCCAGGACGATGTATTTCAGCAAATAGGTGTTCCTTTGGTTAGGGATGCTTTATCAGGTTACAACACTAGTGTGCTATCATATGGACAGGTACTGAATGATTATGTTTTTTTGGAACCAAAATTAATAATCACCATACCAAGTTTATAAAAATATCTTCTTTTGTTGGATCCTTAGAATGGAAGTGGGAAGACCTACACTATGTGGGGTCCTGCAGGTTCAATGCTTGAGGATCCATCTCCTAAAGGCGAGCAAGGACTCGCGCCTCGAATCTTTCAAATGCTGTTTTCTGAAATCCAGAGAGTAAGTTATGCTTCTTTACTATTAACTAAACCTTTTTGTTTGACTATGAGAGCTTTGATGGATGGTTCATCAAATAAGCATCATATTGTTGCCAATTATGTAGGAGAAGATGAAGTCTGGAGGAAAAGATTTAAACTATCAGTGCCGTTGTTCTTTTCTTGAGGTGCCTTTGCCAAAACCCATATGAAGTTAGAGAAAACATGCTTCTACAATTTCCTGAGTTATATTGCTTAATCTTTGCTTGCAGATATACAATGGACAAATTAGTGATTTGATCGATCAAACCCAGAGAAACCTTAAGGTTAACTTCACTAGTCAACTGTTTTCCTCTCATAAAGTAATTTTTGTTATGTATTTAAATTTTTTTATTGTGTCATATGGCAGATTAAGGATGATGCAAAGAATGGTATTTATGTCGAGAACTTGACTGAGGAATACGTTGATAGCTACGAAGATGTGGCTCAGATACTGATGAAGGTATCATGCCATCTTCATATTATTTAGGATTAGTTACGAATACTATGTGTAATGTTTCACTAGGTCTTGAAACCGCTAGATGCTTCTGCATAATGCACATTCAGCATCGTTGATGAAGTGTGCACTTTTTTCATTTCTTCATTGATTCCAAGTCTATATCTCATGCTTTGGTGTGTATTCTATTCTGCTTTTCAGGGCCTTTCAAGCAGAAAAGTTGGAGCAACTAGCACAAGTTTTCAAAGTTCTCGATCACACGTCATACTTTCTTTCATTGTTGAGTCTTGGAATAAGGTATAGTTATTTTTCGACTTTCTTACATATTCAACACTGATGAACGACTGATCAAATATTATCTGCGCACAGGGAGCCTCATCAAGATGTTTCAATACTACCAGAACAAGCAGGATCAACCTTGTTGATCTTGCTGGAGCGGGATCAAATGAACGTGATGCTACTAAACATTGTGTGGAGGAAGAGAAGTTCTTGAAGAAGTCTCTGTCAGAGCTCGGGTATAACTTTATGAACTCTCTGTGTTTCTTTCATAGTTTCAACTAAGAAGTTAGCATCCAAAATAGGGAACAAAAAAATCAACAACTTCATGAGTGATCTGTTAACACTGTCATTTTTACTATTGGTGCAGCCATGTTGTAAATGCTCTGGCGAAAAAAATTCACCCTGGAATATCCGACCGCAGTCTTCATAAAACCTCATGCTTGACGCATTTATTGCAAGAATCTCTTGGTGGAAATTCAAAACTCACTATCCTGTGCAACATTTTTCCGAGCGACAAGTATTTTTCTTCACCTTGTTATCACTTATTAGTTAAGTATAAACATAATAGCCTGATGGTACCAAGTATTAAGATTCAAACAATATAATGGTCTGTATAGAGAGATAAGCAGTGCAAATCTCAGGTCTTGCTGAAAGAACAAAGCTCAAAACACTTGAACATCTTAATGACAGGATACCCATTATATGTTCTAATAGAGTTTGTTTGTGTATCGCAGAGACACAAAAAGGACAATGAGCACCCTGAGATTTGGTGAACGGGCTAAAGCCTTGGGAAACAAACCAATGATAAATGAGATCTCAGAAGAAGATGTGAATGATTTGAGTGACCAGATTCGTCTGCTAAAGGTTTTTATCTTCTCTTGCACCAACCCATTCACTTTTTGTCTTTCGGTTTTTGAAGTTGGATGTCATTCAAATATCATTTACGACATTTTTTGCAGGAAGAACTTACAAGAGCCAAAGCCGATGCGTGTCATTCTGTTGGGAGTAAAAATGATTATTTCGGAGCAAAGAATGCACGTGAAAGTTTGAATCAACTAAGAGTTAGTCTTAACCGCTCTTTGATGCTGCCAAAAATTATTAATGACGAGGAAGAGATAACAGTTGATGAGGATGATTTTAAGGAACTGCATCAGCAGATCAAGTCCTTGCGTGGTTCATTCAACCAGAAACTAAAGAAGCTCCCTGTCAACAGAGAGTCAGTCAGCTCTTCCTTTGTAACAGCATTCGGTGAATCAGAGCTAATGGATGATGATGAGATTTTTTCAGAAGCAGTAGAAGTTGAGGAGAAAGATTTTGGTGAATCTTTGGAAGAACATGACGACGACAGTGCTGCAACAATATATAAATCAAGTGTAAAATCCAGGATAAAGGAATTTGCATCGGAAAACAGCATATCAATCAATCCCTGCCGTCAATCCATTAACTTGCAAGAACCAATCCAGTCAGAGTCTCCTAAATTCAGAGACTCTTTAAGGAAGAGCATAGCTCTTTCTTCATCATGTCTCAGGAATCAGAATAGCCTGGCGCAGAGCATAAAATCCACGTGTCTTGCCGAGAGCCAACATATCAGATCATCTTTACGCGGAAGCAAGATATTCACAGGTTCTACAGAATCTCTAGCTGCAAGTCTGCGCAGAGGCTTGGATATCATTGACAATCCGCTGAACCTGGCATCAAACCGATGCTCAGTTTCTTTGTCTTCTGATAACTTGACCATGCAACCTTCAACAGAGATACTGCTGGATGATAAATCTTTAACAGATGATCGACTACCTCTGTCGCCACTCTGTCCTTCCTGCAGAATTTGCAGCTCTAAAATATCAAGTTTAGTTGAGAGAGTAAGTATATCAAGTGATATGGCAGATAAAGTATGTTCTATAGATTTTAGTTAAAATTACAGGCCCGAAGCTAACATTGTTGGATTGTGAATTAGGATGGATATCATCATATGGAAGGGGTTATTGAGAAGCAGCAGGAGCTTGAAAAGTTGTGCACAGAGCAAGCAGCCAAGATTGAACAGCTAACACACCTGGTAACCCAATTTCTGTGTCTTATTTATGTCTAATGAAACTTGGATCAGCACATATGGTTAAGCAGTCTGGTTACTATTTTATATCTTCTTCAGGTAGAGCAACACAAACTTCCAACTGAGAATGAAAGAAAAGAACTCGTGGGAGCAAGTAATGAAGAACGACTTCCTTCTGCCAATGAAAACCAGGTTGGTTGTTGCTTTATTTACTCTGTGGACTATCTGTAGTAACAAAAACAGAGAGATTGTAACATGTATCCCAATTTCATGGTTCTGCAGCTTTTAAGCTGTAATGATGTTGTTGAGCGTGACCAAGCAGAAGTCATAACTGAAAAATATGAAGTTAAACAAATCCCAGATGACGGCTCTAAAAATACAAACTTTGATATTGGCGAGAAGGAGGCATTACTCAAAGAAATTGAAGATCTGAAAAGAAGATTGCAGACCCCTGTAACCATGTCTAGCAATGAACTGAGATCATCTCTGTTGGCTCGTTCGTTTCAACTCCGTAACAAGAATGCTGAAAAGGATATCGAGGAAGAAAGATTTAGGTGCACAGAAATGGAAAGCGAGTGGATATCATTGACCGACGAACTTAGAGTTGAGATTGAAACTCAACGTACTCGCGCAGAGAAAGCTGAAGCACAGCTTAAACAAGAGAAACTATCTTCTGAGGAGTTAGAAGATGCACTTCGAAGAGCTGTTCTTGGTCATGCCAGGTTTGTTGAACATACACAGAGCTACAAGAGAAGTACAACGACTTAGGCTCAAAGCATAAAGCAACAGTGGAATGGATAACAGAGTTGAAGAAGGCAGTAGCAAAGGCTGGTAAAAAGGGTTGCGGTTCTCGTTTCGCTAAATCACTTGCTACTGAGCTCTCAGCACTTAGAGTAGAAAGGGAAAGAGAAAGAGATCTCTTGAGGAAGGAAAACGTAAGCCTCAAGATTCAACTAAGGAATACTGCTGAAGCTGTTCATACTGCTGGAGAAGTTCTTGTTAGACTCAGAGAAGCCGAACAATCAGCATCAGCTGCTGAGGTAAAACAAATTTTTCATATTTCAATCGATGAACTGTTGGATTGAGACTGTGGCATTGTTTTCTGACTTTTAGGCCCCACTATGAAAATATTTGGTTGCAGGAAAAGTTCAATGAAGTAGAAGAAGAAAACGAGAAGCTAAAGAAGAAAATGGAAAAGCTGAAGAGGAGACACAAGTTGGAAGTGGTAACAATCAAAAAGAGTCTAAAGCAAAACACATTGCCAGAATCTGCATTGCAGGCCACTAAATCAGAGGAACTCAGCTATTGAGGAAGGAATGTAGAAAACATTATACCAAAGTGCATAACTTGAAGACCCTTCTTGGATCTGATTGGTATATTACACACATCTTTATTTTTGCTTCTAATAATAATCAAATGTCCTTATTCCACAAGGCATTTTGATTCTTTTTCCTCAATTGAATTATTTGTTCTACTGTATTTGATTTAAGTCTCGTGTTTGTGGCGTGCAAACTGGTCTTTGTATAACTTTAACTTGGTAATTCATTTTATTTTTCTTACATTTAAAATTGGTATCTTTCTTTCCAAACTCGAATTCCTCTTTACAAGATATCTTTGTTCATCTTGTAATCCTCTTTTGCCAAATCGACGGTGTCTTTATACCAGATACACTGTTTGACTTTTACTTTTTGTTAAAAATGTGAATTTGGTTCACCAAAAAGGAAAACTCACGTTTTGTTATGTGGTAAGAAAATTGGAAAGTTTCCGTTTATATATAGAATATTTCTAGTTTATGGTATATTTTCTATAGCTAAGGCAATAAATTTCTATCTTATGGAAACAAAAATATATGGACATATAAGAAAGGAAACTAGAATCATAAAAGCAAAGCTCGTATAATCTTAAGGAGTTCCAATGTATCATCTAAGTTGTGCTTTTAGGGAAAACAAGAATACAGCTCTAGAAACCAAGAACAATGAAGGGTCCTCCATTGGTAAGAAATTTTCCGTGTTTTCTAATACTTGTTTCCCAAGATATTATCTATATTTTTCTTGATAGTCCTCTAAATATTCCATGTGTAACTTTATGAACAGACATGTGTGTTTGGTGTGAATATTGGACTCAAGGGTTATCAAAAGATGTTGAATAAAATATATGCGGGCATTGAAGGTAAAAGAACTTTCAGTCTTGACGATCTTCTTATCAATTACACAAGAGTTTATGAGAAGACTAATTAAATATGTATACTTATTCTGAAACATGAAAGGTTTAAAGCTCGATGTGTCAAACTGGTTGGTGTATTTACGGGGCGAAATTGATCCTATAATCTTCATCAAGAAGCTATATAAAGCGAGAAGTTACATTGAGCTCTTCCGAATAGATTATGGATATGAAGAGAATCCAGAAGGAACCCGGAGACCAAGTTCTCACTTCATGGTTTTACATATCTCACAACTTCTCTCCTTTTCGCTACTTACAATTACTTATCAATGATTTAACATTTAAATCTGTGTGTTTTTGTCTTATGCAGAGATGTTGCTTTGAACTAAACACCTCAGATATAAGTTGGTATAAGAGAATCATAGGAGCTTTGAAGACCATCCAAGGTTCAGAATTTTTCTCTAGATGATCATCAATCTTTGGACAAAAGTTTTAGGGTTTTTTTTTTTTGCATGTTTTGATTCGTGGGTTTGGTTTTCAGGTGTATCATTTACCATAGATGCACAACCGGTTATGGGATATCCGATGGCATATGTATGTGGAAATATAGAAATTGGAGTGCTCATGAAGATGCTTGTGAAGACAGGCATTGAACTATCAGCAATGGAATATGGAGTCGAATATAAAGATGCAAACTTGAACCCACCTCCTCCCAAGAAACCTGAGGCTCCTTCAAACGGAACTGAGACACAGCCCGTCAAAGACACCGCGCCTCCTCTTCCTGAGGTTGTTAGTACATCAGCGAAACACCAAGTCATATACAAGAAGCCTGGCGGTTTAAGAAGGTTCTGTTGTTAATGAATCATGCATGTCGTCATTAGCACCATATTATCATTTTTTTGGAAACCAAATAATGGACCATGAGAAGAAGAACCGTTCGAAAGAAAAAAAATGAAAACAAAGTCCGATCCTATACTCCTCAGTCCTCTGATCACATATATATGTGTGTGTGTAATTTTTTGTTAAAATATAGGTGTGTTATTAATATGTTTACCTATTTGGTAACCCTTCAAGAGTTTTTCAAGAATCAGATAACAAATTTGTGTGCATAAAGTATTTTCATCCTGTTGCTCTAGACCTCTAGTTGTTAATGCTACTATGCGGTCTGCGTTATATATGCATGTGATCTTTTTTTGCTAAATATAAAAGTGAGAGGGCATTTAAAGAAAAAAAAAATCTTGAATGTATGCATGTGATCTTGAAAACTTTGACCAAAAAAAAAAAACAAAAGAACTCTTAAAAACAAAAACATAAAAGTGAGAGGGCATTTAAAGAAAAAAAAAATCTGTTTGCGTTACGTTTCACATATTTGCCTTTATAAAATTATAGATGGTGTTTAATTAATTAATAAGAAAGAAAAAATTGACTTGTGTTAAGAAGTATATGTGTTAAGAAGTAACTACAGAAACGTAAACATTGACTTGAATCACATGGGACTACGTACCGGACTAGTGATGAGTAGAATTATGTTTTCTTTCTCCTTATAAAAATGTTATCGCGCAAGCCAGCTTTCAAAACGCTCCCAACGTTATCGGAATCAATTCATATTACAACTTACAACAAGAAAGAAGCTGTTTTGCTTTGTATTTTACGTACGTAATTGATGAATATCTTCAAGAAATCAATAAACGTGATTATTTTATTAATTAAACCCTAAACTCTTCCACTATAAATATGGTATGATCAGTGTTCCAATTTAAAAGGATCAAACCAAAGCCAAAGATGGAAAATCGGGAAGCTTATGTTTACATTCTCATCTCCATCTTCCTCTCTCTCCAATTCTTGTTTTGGAGATTCCGGCCACGTTACAATGAAGTTACGTCTGTGTTGACCTGCCATCTGACTTCAGCCGCAAGCTATGATTTTGAGTTCATGTCGTATATGGTCAATAAGGCTAAGTCCGTCAATAAAGCACTAGAAAAGGCCGTTCCTCTCCGCGAGCCAGTAGGCCCAGTACTCAAGATCCGTGAGGCCATGAGGTACACGCTTCTCTCCGATGGGAAACGCGTAAGACCAATGCTTTGCTTAGCTGCATGCGAGCTCGTGGGAGGACAAGAGTCAACCGCAATGTCAGCTGCGTGTGGGATTGAGATGCTCCACGCGTCGTCTCTCATCCTAGACGACCTCCCTTGTATGGACAACGACATCCTCCGCCGTGGAAAACCCACTAACCATATAGTCTTTGGCGAGGATATAGCCATATTAGCTTCTCATGCGCTCATAACTTTGGCTGTCCAAAAGGCCGGGACATCCACCTTTGCGAACGTTCCTCCAGAGAGGGTTCTCAAGACCGTTGAGGAGATGGTTAAAGCAATGGAAGGGCTTGTTGCAGGTCAAGAGGCGGATTTGGCAGGAGAAGGTATGAGCTTTGATAGTGACACTGGATTAGAGCATCTTGAGTTTATACATATTCATAAAACGGCGGCGTTGCTTGAAGCCGCAGCTGTTACGGGAGCTATAATGGGAGGTGGGTCAGATGAAGAGATTGAGAAACTTCGGAGTTACGCAAGATGTATTGGGTTAATGTTTCAGGTTGTGGACGATGTGCTTGATGTGACCAAGTCGTCAGAAGAGTTGGGGAAAACTGCAGGTAAAGATTTGATCGCCGGAAAGCTGACGTATCCGAGACTGATGGGAGTGGAGAAATCGAAAGAATATGCAGAGAGATTGAACAGAGAAGCGCGGGAACATCTTCTAGGGTTTGATATAGACAAGGTGGCTCCTTTGTTGTCTCTCGCTGATTACATTGTCAACAGACAAAAGTGACACTATTTCTCAAAAGCTTAATAACAAAAAACATTTTAATTAGCCAAATTTGCATTAGGCTTTTGAAAATGTATAACCTCGTGTTGGCTGTACACATTATTGTAACAGAGAAACATAAGCTTACAAATAAGATGTTGAAATTCCTATATCGATATTTGCTCTAGTTTCAAAACTACATCGTTTTCATTGTTTAGACACTAAGAAACAAAAAAGGACGTAGTTTTGTGTAAACCGAATATCCACTCGTCTTTCTCCTTGCCACCATATCGCATGAGTCATATCAATTTGTAACGGTTGACTAAAATTGGTGAAATCAATGTTGGTTTCGGTTCAATACGTAGAGTACATAATAATTTTAAATTTTTGATGAGTTGGGGTTGAAAAATAGATTAACACTTTCTACATGTAAAAAAAAGACATGGTACAAAACTTTGAGGTTGAAATACACCATTTTCCCGTAGTAATGCAACTATAAATTCTTTGAACTAGTAAAATACAATACTAATTAATGAGATTTTCATTTCCCCTTAATCCCTTATAATAATGTTTAGCGTGCCATATAAGGCCAAAAGCTTCGTTAACGCTCCCAACGTGCCCTGGCGTTACAACGAGAGTGAGCTGTTTTTCATTGTGTTACGTAGTTCAATTGCTTCAAAAATCAATAAATGTTATTGATTTTGTAATTTAATCAGTAACCCCGTGCCACATGATAATATTACAACTTACAACGAGAGTAAGCTGTTTTTCATTGTCTTACGTAATTCAATCGCTTCAAAAATCAATAAATGTTATTGATTTTGTAATTTAATCAGTAACCGTACCCCGTCCACTATATATATGGTATCAACATTCCGACTTAAAAAGGATCAAACCAAAGCCAAAGATGGAAAATCAAGAAGCTCTTGTTTACACTCTCATCTCAATTTTCATCTCTCTTCAATTCTTGTTTTGGAGATTTCTAAGGCGTTACAATGCGGTTATGCATTCGGGGAGAGAGACCCGCCATCTCAATCCGCGAAGCCACACTCTGACTGCTGAAAGCTATGAATCAGATTTCATGTCGTATATGATCCGCAAATCTAAATCGGTCAATAAGGCACTAGACGAGGCTGTTCCACTCTGCGAGCCAGTACTGAAGATCCGTGAGGCCATGAGGTACACACTACTCTCGGGTGGCAAACGCGTAAGGCCAATGCTTTGCTTAGCTGCATGCGAGCTCGTGGGCGGGCAAGAGTCAACCGCAATGCCCTCTGCATGTTCGGTTGAGATGATCCATGCATCGTCGCTCATCCAAGACGATCTACCTTGTATGGACGACGACAACCTCCGGCGTGGAAAACCCACGAACCATAAAGTCTTTGGCGAAAACATAGCTATCTTGGCAGTTGATGCGCTCATAGCTTTGGCCATCAAGCACACCGGGGAATCCACCTCGTTGGACGTTCCTCCGGAGAGGGTTCTCCGGGCAATTCTAGAGATGGCGAGAGCGGTGGGAACGGAAGGACTCGTTGCGGGTCAAGCGGCTGATTTGGATGGGGAAGGCAAGAGCTTTGATAATGACACAGGACTAAAGCATCTTGAGTTTATACATATTCATAAAACGGCGGCGTTGCTTGAAGCGGCGGCTGTTATGGGAGCTATAATGGGAGGTGGGTCTGATGAAGAGATCGAGAGGATTCGCAGTTATGCGAGATGCATTGGGTTGATGTTTCAGGTGGTTGACGATGTGCTTGATGTGACCAAGTCGTCGGAAGAGCTAGGGAAAACCGCCGGTAAAGATTTGATCTCGGAAAAGCTGACGTATCCGAAGGTGATGGGAGTGGAGAAATCGAGAGAATACGCTGAGAAGTTGAACAGAGAAGCACGGGCACATCTTAACATGTTTGATCCAGACAAGGCGGCTCCTTTGTTGTTGCTCGCTGATTACATTGTTAACAGACAAAACTGACTTTTGTCAAATTGTTAATTGCTCGATGTAATCGATGTAGCCTTGTTTTTGTTTTTTCTTTGACTTCAAGTAATCGATGTAGCCTAATTAATAAACCGAGCAAACCAAAGGCCCAATTTGAGTCAATGTAAACCATTCGAATTAATTCGGTACATTAAAATTCATTCTAAACCGGGTAAGCGAAACGTCGTCTCTCCTTCAGTGTGTCTAGGGCTGGTCAAATCTGACGTGGCATATTTCAATCTGTTGTGTTGCTTGAATCTCCATTTTCGTCTTCGTTTCAAGCATTTCGTGCTGCTCTCTTGATAATTCGAAGCTTTTTGGTTATCTCCAGAAATGGGTTCTTCAGATTCTGAAAGTGGAAGCAGAGGTTTTCAAAACCCAGATTGGGAAACAGAGTTTAATCGATTCGAAAATGCGATTTCGTCTGGTTCTGCTGCAATTCGTGTAAGATCCGTTTTAAAGTTATCAGCTTTGACGAATCGTGTACCCGAGAGATATATATCCCTTTCAATTCCGATTCTCGCCGGTCTTCTTCGTGTCTCCGATGACTCCAATCGTTCCGTTCAAGCTGCCGCTGCGCATTGCTTGAAACGTATCGCCTGTTGCGGCGGTGAAGAAAACGGATTTGCGGTGACGATGGGGAGGTGTGGTGTGATTGCTAGCTTGTTAGGGTTGTTACTTGAGGCGAATACTAATGGTAATGTGTTTCGAAGGATTTGGGTGAAATGTTTGTGGAGTTTAGTTACTTTTGGATCTTCGATTCGAGTTGGTTTGGCTAGGTTAGGTGGTTTGGAGATTGTGATTCGTGAGTTGAATAATTGGGAAGATGATGGAAGTAGATGGTATTTGTTAGAGATCCTTAGTGCTTTGACGACGATTAGAGAGAGCAGACGCGTTCTTGTTCATTCTGGAGGGCTTAAGTTTCTTGTAGAAGCTGCTACAGTTGGGAACTTGGCATCGAGAGAGAGAGCTTGTCATGCTATCGGATTGATCGGTGTTACTAGACGAGCTCGGCGAATGTTAGTTGAAGCAGGAGTGATTCCAGCTCTTGTGGATCTATATCGTGATGGGGATGATAAGGCAAAGCTTTTAGCTGGTAATGCCTTAGGGATCATATCTGCTCAGACCGAGTACATTAGGCCTGTCACTGAAGCTGGTTCCATTCCTTTGTATGTCGAGCTTCTCTCGGGACAAGACCCGATGGGGAAAGATATTGCAGAGGATGTGTTCTGTATATTAGCTGTAGCTGAGGGTAATGCTGTTTTGATAGCGGAACAACTGGTGAGGATCTTGAGAGAAGGGGATAACGACGCCAAGCTTGCAGCTTCTGATGTGTTATGGGATCTTGCGGGTTATAGGCATTCTGTGTCTGTTATTAGAGAGTCTGGCGCAATTCCTTTGCTGATCGAGCTTTTGAGAGATGGGTCCCTTGAGTTCAGAGAGAGGATTTCTGGAGCTATTTCTCAGTTGAGTTACAATGAGAACGACCGTGAAGCCTTTTCTGATTCCGGTATGATACCGATTCTGATTGAATGGTTGGGGGATGAGTCAGAAGAGCTCAGGGATAACGCAGCTGAGGCACTTATTAATTTTTCTGAAGACCAAGAGCATTATGCTAGAGTACGTGAGGCAATAGGTCATCCTGTGTTTCAGAGTATGCAGAGCAGATTGGCTAGAATCCGAGCTTCCCATGAACTGATGGTTCGGTCAATGCGAAGGGTTACAATCGAACATCTTGCCCATAACCATGATCTTCCCTGATCTGATGGGCAAATGAAGCTTTCCATCTGTTTTGATGTATGTTTATATTCTGACTTGGAACAAAAAAAAGACTCAAATGTTGTTTGATTTCTGCAATTTGTTTTTGATACGTTTGTATACATGTACTAAAAGGTTTAAACTTTGAATGGAAATGGAATCTATATCGTTAGTCTTCTTTTACATAACTAAGCACCCAGTAGTTGGACCATAAGAATCATGCACTATTCTATAAACCTCAGGCCTTGGCTGCTCATTGCTAACCACAGGACATTGAGCTATGCAGCAATGCGGTGTAACAGACTTCTCTTCGACCTGTGGCTTCTTCTGTGGCTTCTTCACTTCTTCAAGAGTCTCAAGAGTGACATGACATGCTTTCTTCCTCAAGGCCATAATCAAAGAAGCTGTATCCACTCCATCTCCAACAACCACAAGCTCATCCTGAAATTCCCCTTCCATCGCCACTGAAGTTACACCTGCGTTGCCATATACAAATTTATAAAAGTTTCAATCTTTTTCCATTAGAAACCTCTCTAGATCGGTTCAAAACTTTAAATCTGTTTTGACACTAACCATCTGCAACAACTGCTACTTGCATTGCCTTCTTCCTGCATTTTTCACTATTCACTGACAATTTGATACGCATCTTTTGCTGCAAAAATGCTCCAACCAAAACCCAGGATTCAAAAGAAGAAACAGATCAAGATCCAAACCGTCCATGATTATCGAAATAAAATGAAGAGACTTTAAGCAACAAGTAAAATTGGCACCTTCATTGCCCTGACGAAGCTTTGTCTCTCTTTAAAGCGTTTGTTTTTAAAGAATCGAAGCCAAACTTCCTCAGATAGGAGTAAGAGGACCAAACCCTAAATGATTCTCCTTTTTGCACGGATTTCAAAAGCTAAGAAGCTTCTACCCACAGAGTTTCAGAACCGTCAGAAATTTCTTCTTGACCGAATCAGACACCAACTGAGATTCCAATTTGTCTTGTCTGTTGTGTTCGGTCCTTTGATTCACTCCAACAAGAAGAAGAAACAAATGAGAAGAGAAGAAGAAATTAAGTATAGCGCCTCTCTGAGAAAAAGCACTCTTACATGCTTTTTAACTTGATACACAAGGTCGCCCATTTCCCTGACAGATTTGCCAATGATTCCCAGTGTTTAATTACCACTGTGCCATTGGGTTTTTGTCTTCTTTGAAAAATCTGTCCCAATGTGTATCATATGCTGTCCCCTGTACAAGACTTTCAACCAATTTCTTACGTCAATATAAGTAGTAATAGTTTAATTTAGTTTAACATTTTATTTGTTATGGAATGCATCTTAATTCTTAATTAGGCTTATGATGATCTTTCCACAATTTAAATTAGTTCGTTTGATAATAGCTCAATTATGATTATCTCAATATAACATACCAAGATTTAGTTAGAACAAATAAATGAAATGACAAATCACAACAACAAGGATTGTATAACTAAAAAAACCAAAAAGAATCGAAAGGCCACCCTAAGATCTCTCTGAAGTCTAAATAATCTTTAGACAACACATGGAAACAAAAATCAAGTCTTGCATTTTGATACATTGTTGGGTTTTTGTCTATTCTTGGTGGGTTTTGATCTCTCTCTTCTGTTCATACGATTTTTTTTCTCTTCTCTGGAAGACAGGAGAGAGAAAGGACAAGTTCTTTGGAAAAGAGGTAGAATTCTTCTTGAGGAATCGATTCTATAGCGTGTGTTAGCTGCAATGCTAACCTGGGAGCACCCAGTTATGCTTGCAAGCAACACCGCCTCAACGAAAAAGCTAGCCTTCGTTACCACCTTCCTCATCATTGTGTTATGTCCGGTCACAATGGTCATGTCTCAGCCGCAGGCGGATGTTGTGCCACTGCCAGGCTCAGACGCAGATTGTCTCTTGCGATTCAAAGACACTTTGGTTAATGCATCGTTCATTAGCAGTTGGGATCCTTCCATCTCCCCGTGTAAGCGAAACTCGGAGAATTGGTTCGGCGTTCTCTGTGTTACCGGTAATGTCTGGGGCCTACAACTCGAAGGAATGGGGTTAACCGGGAAGCTAGACCTTGAACCATTAGCTCCAATCAAGAATCTACGAACCTTAAGCTTCATGAACAACAAATTTAACGGTTCAATGCCATCTGTCAAGAATCTCGGTGCGTTGAAGTCATTGTACTTGTCTAACAACCGGTTTACAGGGGAGATACCCGCCGATGCGTTTGATGGTATGCATCATTTGAAGAAGCTTCTGTTGGCTAACAACGCGTTTCGGGGGAACATCCCTTCTTCTTTAGCTTCTTTGCCAATGCTTTTAGAGTTGAGGGTAAATGGGAATCAGTTTCATGGGCAAATACCTGATTTTAAACAGAAGGATCTTAAGTTGGCTAGCTTCGAAAACAATGACCTCGAGGGACCTATACCGGGAAGCCTTAGCAACATGGATCCTGTCTCCTTTTCAGGTAACTAAACAAACAGTTCAACATCTTCTGCAAATGTTTGGTAACTATAGGATTTCTTATGTAAAAACAGAATCTTTCTTGCTTTCTTGAACATTGCAGGGAACAAGAACTTGTGTGGTCCTCCACTAAGCCCATGTTCGAGTGATTCGGGATCTTCTCCGGATCTCCCTTCTAGTCCCACGGAGAAGAACAAGAACCAATCTTTCTTCACCATTGCTATTGTTCTGATTGTTATTGGGATAATACTAATGATCATTTCGCTTGTGGTCTGTATCCTTGATACCAGAAAACGGAAATCTTTGTCGGCCTATCCATCCGCGGGTCAGGACAGGACAGAGAAATACAATTATGATCAATCCACGGACAAGGATAAAGCCGCAGATTCTGTAACGAGTTACACTAGTAGGAGGGGAGCAGTACCAGATCAGAATAAACTCTTGTTTTTGCAAGATGACATTCAAAGATTTGACCTTCAAGATCTTCTTAGAGCCTCTGCTGAAGTTCTTGGGAGCGGAAGCTTTGGTGCTTCTTATAAAACTGGGATAAATAGCGGACAGATGCTGGTCGTGAAGAGGTATAAACATATGAATAATGTCGGAAGAGAGGAGTTTCATGACCATATGAGACGGTTAGGAAGATTGAACCATCCAAATCTGTTGCCTATTGTGGCTTACTATTACCGCAGAGAAGAGAAGCTCTTGATCGCTGAGTTCATGCCAAATCGTAGCTTGGCAAGCCATCTTCACGGTATGTAACATTCAATCTTTTGTTATTTAAAATGGTAACTTAATCAGTTTTAACACGAAAAATGCTCTGTTTCAGCGAATCATTCTGTGGATCAACCTGGATTGGATTGGCCAACAAGGGTAAAGATTATACAAGGAGTGGCTAAGGGTTTAGGTTACTTGTTCAACGAGCTAACAACCCTAACAATCCCTCACGGTCATCTCAAGTCATCGAACGTTGTATTGGACGAAACATTCGAGCCTCTCTTAACCGATTATGCACTAAGACCGGTGATGAACTCAGAGCAGTCTCACAATCTAATGATCTCATACAAATCACCAGAGTATAGCTTAAAGGGACATCTAACAAAAAAGACAGATGTTTGGTGCCTCGGGGTTTTGATCTTGGAGCTATTAACAGGTAGGTTTCCGGAGAATTATCTAAGCCAAGGGTACGATGCTAACATGAGCCTCGTAACTTGGGTCAGCAACATGGTTAAGGAGAAGAAAACGGGTGACGTGTTTGACAAGGAAATGACTGGCAAGAAAAACTGCAAAGCAGAGATGCTAAACCTTTTGAAAATCGGGTTGAGTTGTTGCGAAGAAGATGAAGAAAGGAGGATGGAGATGAGAGATGCTGTGGAGAAGATAGAGAGGTTAAAGGAAGGAGAATTTGACAATGATTTCGCATCGACTACACATAATGTCTTCGCTTCTCGGTTGATAGACGACGATGACTTTGGTTTCGCCATGAATCGATGATGAAACTGATCAGTCTTCTCCAGAACAATGGAAAAAGCAAAACAATTTGTAATCTTGATGCCAAACAAAAAGAAGAATTTCTTTTTGTTCTTTGTTATGTAACTTTTTCCATCCTTATAAATCACTCTCTTCGTGTAATTGTAAATTCATTTTGCAGAGTTTTGAAAGTTTATTCGTTTGATTGTCCCATTTCTTACTTCACAAGTACAAGAATCGAATCCATGCAGAAAAATAATGAATTCATGCTTAGTAACAACATAACTTGAGATCTTCATTGTATATGGATAAAAACTTTAGTATTGAAAAAAAAGTTTGGAACTTTTTTCTCAAAAATTGTATTTAGGGCTAAAAATTGAATTTTGAGGATAAAACTAAATTACTATGGCGGAGAATTCGCGACTACGAGAGCTACGGAGACACAGATGATGAAAGAGAGAGAGGCCGAAATTATCCATTGTTGTTCTTCAGTTCACCACTGAATCGAAAAATTCTAATTTGGGGAAAGAGGATTTCTTGAAAGCCCTAATTTTGGAATACCGCAGATTTCTTTAGTATTGAGAATGAGATTCTCCAAGAAGATAGAGGCAAAAATTGTAGTGGATCAAGAGATTTATATCGTTAAATGCGGGGAATTTGCAATCTAGGGTTCTTAAGGTTTGTAATCGATGAAGGCTCAAAAGGGAAGCTCGAAGAAGAAAAGTGCGAATTCTGGGTTAGTCGCTGTAGCAGTTGATAATAATAAAGGAAGCCAACATGCTCTCAAATGGGCTGCTGATCATCTTGTCTCTAAAGGACAAACCATTATCCTCCTCCATGTTATCCTTAGATCATCCTCTGATTCAGGTCTGAGCTTTTGTGTTAATGTAATGCTCTACTTATTACAAAACCTTGTTGTTGTTGTTGTTGTTCTGAGTTTTTTTATTCTGGAGAGACTTGAATGTTTTGGTGCTATGGGTTTGTTTGCAGGTGAGATTACTGCAGAGAAACATAAGCAAGCTGAAAACCTTTTCGTGACGTTTCATTGCTACTGCAGTCGAAAAGAGGTAAAACCACGCGAGATAAGATCGCTTGTCCTCGCTTGATTTGTTTCTAATGTGACCCTATGTTATAGTAAAGCTTCTGGTAATTTGAATGCATTGTTCTTTACTCTCTGTTGGTTTCTAGATACAATGCCTTGATGTCACGCTTGAGGATGACAACATTGTCAAGTCCCTTGCTGAATATGTTTCCTCTGGCGTGATTGAGAATTTGGTTCTTGGTGCCCCTTCGAGGCATGGATTCATGAGGTAGTATTATGAATCTCTTCCCTTCTATCAGTTGAATTCTCTTTCTAGTTTTCTCCTTATGTGTTTCTTTTATTCAATCTGTTTACAGGAAATTTAAGATTTCTGATACACCGAGCAATGTAGCGAAAGCAGCACCTGATTTCTGTACAGTTTACGTTATTTCAAAAGGGAAGATATCATCTGTCCGCTATGCCTCACGAGCTGCTCCATATCGGTCTCCACTTATGGGTCAGATTGAAAACCACTCTGAAATCATTAACTACGAAAAGTTCAGAAACACCATGAGCTTTAGAGGTAAAATCATTAACTAGTTTTTTGAGGCTTAACCATGTGACACCACACACATCTTGAAATTGTTCTTTCGTTGGTACAAACAGATAGGGCTCCGGCCAGGTCTTCCACTGCTAGCTCCATTGAAGATTATGGAAAGTAATGTTTCATGAGAATCTTTTTCTTCTTTGACAAAAAACTGATACGTTTTGAAGGAAGATACTTATTGTTCTTTCTTTCGCGGTAATATCGTCAACAGGTCACCTATGGCAAGGACATCAAATTACGCAAACTCATTCTTTGATTTGGAAGACTCCGAAAACGACATATCATTTGTTTGCTCAGGCAGGCCAAGTACCACAAGCTCAGGCCGGCCAAGTACAAGTACCGGAAGGTCTGACATATCTTTTGTGAGCTCAGGCAGGCCGAGTACAAGCACCACCGGAAGCCCTTCCTTCATCTACGATTTTCCTGATTCTGGTTTAACTCCGAGAAAGTCGACGAGCTCTGGACACTCTATGCGTCTAGGAATCAGGTTCAATGACACCAATATCCAACATGATTTCTCATTTGTCTCACAAGATAGCGGTCGGTCATCTTGTTCTTGTTCACCACAAAACTTGGTAAGATGCGTTTGATTGGTTATAGACAGCAATATATGTTTTCGGGAATGGTTGCTATATATGTTTTCTTGAAATGTTCAGGAAGAAGTGGAAGCTGAGATGCGGAGATTGAAGCAGGAACTGAAACACGCAATTGACATGTATGGATCAGCTTGCAGAGAAGCACTAGCTGCAAAGCAAGAGGTAAAACGATATAAAACAAAACCCGTCCCTGTGTATATATATTCTTGTACAGTGTTGACTGAAAGAAATTTTACTTTTGGATCAAAGGCGAAGGAGCTCCAACGTCAGAAAATTGAAGAGGAAGGATGGGTGCAAGAAGGACAGTTATCAGAGAAATCTACAAAGTCCATAGTGGAGAAAGAGAGAGCACACAAAGCTGCCATGGAGGCTTCTGAAACAGCAGGCAAGATAGCAGATCTCGAAACACAAAGAAGAGCCATAGAAGCTGCAGGTTCTTTCTCTGATTCCAGTTTAAGGTATCGAAGGTATGTTATTGGTGAGATTGAAGAAGCCACAAACTCATTCGACAAGGCTAATAAAATAGGCGAAGGCGGGTATGGTCCTGTCTATAAGGGTTATCTTGATCATACCCCTGTTGCTATCAAGGTTTTGAGAGCAGATGCAGTTCAAGGAAGATCTCAATTTCAAAGAGAGGTAAGTTGACCTAAATCCTATACTTCTCAAATCTAAATATAAATCAAACTTTAATTTAAATGTGGACCAACTATTGAGCATTGTTACAGGTAGAAGTTCTTAGCTGCATAAGACATCCACATATGGTGCTACTTATTGGTGCATGTCCAGAGTATGGAGTGCTTGTTTATGAGTATATGGCCAAAGGTAGTTTAGCTGATAGGCTCTACAAGTATGGAAACACGCCACCGCTCTCGTGGGAGCTCAGGTTCCGAATTGCAGCCGAAGTTGCGACGGGTCTGCTCTTCCTTCACCAGACAAAACCCGAGCCTATAGTGCACCGTGATCTGAAACCTGGAAACATTTTGATTGACCAGAACTACGTAAGCAAAATAGGGGATGTTGGATTAGCCAAACTAGTGCCTGCAGTTGCTGAAAACGTCACGCAGTGCCACGTGTCATCAACCGCTGGGACTTTCTGTTACATTGACCCTGAGTACCAACAAACTGGAATGCTCGGTGTGAAATCTGATGTATACTCTTTCGGTATCTTGCTTCTCGAACTGCTCACAGCGAAAAGGCCGACGGGTTTGGCCTATACTGTTGAGCAAGCGATGGAGCAAGGGAAATTCAAGGACATGTTAGACCCAGCAGTGCCTAACTGGCCGGTGGAAGAAGCTTTGTCTTTAGCAAAGATTGCACTTAAATGTGCACAGCTGAGAAGGAAAGACAGACCAGACCTCGGAAAAGAGGTTTTACCAGAGCTACATAGACTGAGAGCTCGTGCAGATACAAATATGGAATGGATGATGTTCAACTTAAGCAGAGGTCGTCTAACACCAAATCATAGCCAAGTTTCCTTGCCACCAGTTGTAAGTATTGAAAAAGCTCTTAGCAATATCTACATTTCGTTTAATTATCTCTTCTCGTCTTAAAGTTAAAATCTTTGAAATGCAGGATGAACTAAGTGTATGCTCGGATAGCTCTTATACACATTCAAGCACTTTATCCGACACAGAGAAGAACTCAGGTGCATTAAAGAATCCTATATTTTCCAACAAATTCTTCTATAACATTTTTAACATGTGTTTGATCCTTCAAATCTCACATTTTACTCTGTTTGTTTTCCAGACCAAAACGAAGAGGATTAGTATTCTTGTCTATGTTGAAGGAGATGGATGAAGTGAGGCCATTCTTGTCTTTTTTAGTTTGGTTAAGCTTATGTAATTGTGAATATTGTTGTATGTATAAGATTCGTAAAGGAAGAAAAAAATTGAAAGAAAAAGTTGAGTAGGTTTGTTATAATATCTCTGCAAAGACGCAAACTCTTTTTTAATATGTAAGACAAAAATCTAGACCACATAATTTGCACACTAATTCTAATAAAGTTCTAAATTGAGAAATTGGTTCATTGATTTCAGTGGAAAGTGGTACTTAGCTAAATTGAGAAAAGTGCCGTAATTTCAGGTAGAACCTGACGCAAAATTTCGCGATCATTCATGACTCAAATTGGTTTATTCACTCAAATAAAAAGTTGTTTCCATATCTAGCTGAAGTTCTCAATTCATACGCATCTTCTTACTTCTTACTGGAATGAATTTTTCGTCAATGCTCCACTTTAATATTTGGTAATAAAGTCCAAAAATTATAGTAATATTATTTAGTTAAATCATAATAATATTAGTTATTTCTGCTAAATATATTAGTTTTAAATTGGTAAATATATCAGTCATCATTACTCTATATATATGCACAAGAACTTTAAATAATAATTTGACTCACCAAAAAAAAAAAGAACTTTAAATAATTTGAACGCTATCGTCTATATCTCGTCCAAATGTAAACTTCATTATTCTTATGATTTTATTGCTGATTACTTTAAAAATTTTCACAAACTCTTTTATCATTCTCTTCTATGTGTGGATTCTCATATTTTTCCACCAAAATCTACTGAAAAATAATACTTTGTAAATTTCTGTAAAATCTTCAAAATTAATTTGGTAAAAGAAAAATCATTTAAAATCAATTTGCATTAGCTGGATTTATTTCCAAAGGTGTGGTATAGTGTTTATGTGGAGTTGCTGACTAGTAATAATAAGAAAAGGAGTGTAACATATGTAGTATATATGATGTATATGTAGTTTTGTTTCTGTATTAACTAATCACTAATTAAGTAGTATGCATTAATTGAATTATCAGAAGTTGGTCACAAGAGTCTACCAAAGAAAAAGTTGGTCACAAGAAAATTAAACTAATGAGAATAAAAATAGGAAAAAATAAGAAGCTAGCAAACAAAGCAATTAACATTTCAAGGCAGTTAGTTCATCATGCAAGGTGCTTATGTGTGACAACGTCATGCGTTACTTTTTGCGTCTACACTCATCTCTCTAACGCATACCACTAATTCTGGTTAATGGATTTTGCTATTTAATCCAGCCATTTTCTTCATCTCAATCATCATAAAAAAAAACATTTTCTTCGAAGTTGTTTATATAAACAATGTCTCGTCTTGGTCACTTTCAGATTCTTGTTTTTCTTCATGCTTTGCTTATATTCTCAGCTGAATCTCGCAAAACCCATTTGGTGGACGATAATGATGTTGAATCTAGCGACAAGAGTGCAAAAGGCACGCGATGGGCTGTTTTAGTTGCTGGATCAAATGATTATTCTAACTACAGGCATCAGGTTTTTAGAATTTGTTTGAAAATTTAACATTAAAAAAGTATACATGGTCCAAGAGGGATTTGTATGAACTAAAACTACCGATGTTTTGTTTCACAGGCTGATATATGCCATGCGTATCAGATACTCCGAAAAGGCGGTCTAAAAGATGAAAACATCATTGTCTTTATGTATGATGATATCGCGTTTTCCTCGGAGAATCCTAGGCCTGGAGTTATCATCAATAAACCAGATGGAGAAGATGTTTATAAAGGAGTTCCTAAGGTTCTTATTTTTACTTCCTTTGTGCATTTGTATGTTGAATCCATATATATTCAAGTTTTGTTATTGGTTGGTAGGACTACACTGAAGAAACTGTTAATGTTGAAAACTTCTATAATGTGCTACTTGGAAATGAAAGTGGCGTCACAGGAGGAAGTGGCAAAGTTGTGAAAAGTGGTCCTAATGATAACATCTTCATCTACTATGCTGATCATGGAGCTCCTGGCTTACTAGGTTTTCTTAGATTAATGAAATTACCATCATCCATATCTATAATATAAGATTTGGTTTTGATACTACTAATCCGCGATTTTCTCAGCGATGCCCAATGGTGATGAAGTCCTTGCAAAAGATTTTAATAAAGTCTTGGAGAAGATGCATAAGCGAAAAAGCTACAACAAGATGGTAGGATGACTCAACCATTCGTAACCTAGCTTTATATATGTGTTCTGTTTTTTGAATCTTTGAGGTCTTTTTTGGATGTTAGGTGATCTATGTTGAAGCATGTGAATCTGGAAGTATGTTTGAAGGGATTTTAAAGAAAAATCTCAATATATACGCAGTGACTGCTGCTAATTCTAAAGAGAACAGCTTTGGAACTTACTGTCCTGAGTCATACACTCCTTCTGCTCCTGAGTTTGAAACTTGTCTCGGCGATGTATTCAGCATCTCTTGGCTTGAGGACAGGTACTGCAAACAAAAAAGATTCAATCTTTATGGACTATTCGAATGATTTGATTTGTTCTTGAAGAGTTTGAAAATCACTTTTCTTGGTCAATTTTTCTCTGTTTTGTGTTTTTGGGGACAGTGACCTTCATGACATGAGCAAGGAGACTTTGAAGCAGCAATATCACGTTGTAAAGAGAAGAGTAGGATCTGATGTAGAACAGACTTCTCATGTATGCCGTTTCGGGACCAAGGAGATGCTTAATGATTATCTTGCCTCTTACATTGGAAGAAATCCTGAAAACGAAAACTTCACTTTCACTGAATCCATTTCCTCACCAATCTCTAATTCTGGCTTGGTCAATCCGCGCGATATCCCTCTGTTATATCTCCAGAGAAAAGTGAGTTTTTCGATCATTTTTAACGAAAGGGTTTTCAGGTTTTAATGTTTATTCATCTCTCAGATTCAAAAAGCTCCAATGGGATCACCTGAAAGCAAAGAAGCTCACAAGAAATTGTTTGACGAAATGAATCATAGGAAACAAATCGATCAGAGCATTACAGAGATTCTGCGACTTTCGGTTAAACAAACCAATGTCTTAAATCTCTTAACTTCCACAAGAACAACAGGACAGCCTCTTGTAGACGACTGGGATTGCTTCAAGACTCTGGTAACAACCACATCTCAAGTCTTGTTACTTGTGTTCTACGCAACAACCATTGCATTATTATTAAACAAGGGTATATCAAACGAAAATCGCAGGTTAATAGCTTCAAGAATCACTGCGGTGCAACAGTGAATTACGGATTGAAGTATACAGGAGCGCTTGCCAATATCTGCAATATGGGAGTGGATGTGAAGCAAACTGTTTCAGCCATTGAACAAGCTTGTTCAATTAAATGATTTGCAAAAAAATGTGATCGACTTTTAAAATATCAAAGTTATTTCAATAAAACTCGATGTAGAGATGGTTGATTAGACTATTTTTACATGAAAAGCTTTTTAATTAATAGATGATAACGCGAAAGTATTGGTTTTAATTTGTGAATTGGATTCATGGAGCAATAACCTCGTACCAACTGTACGGTACGGACGGCTGTACTTTGGTTGAGTTGTCCAATAATAGTCTTCTTCCAATAACTTGTTGACCACGAAAACAATAGACATATAAAAAGCAGACAGATCATTTAAATCAAACAAGGAAAATAAGAAACAAGAACAACTAGGGTTTCGTTAACCTAGCTTGTTTTTTATTTTTTATGTTCTATGAAGATAACAACTTTCATCATAAGATCTTTATCGTTGTTTTCTATGATCTATCAAATGCAAAGTCTTTTGACACTGATAGATATATAAATGATTCCTTTTGAACTTTTCTCAAGACACCATTCCGTTTGATTTTTTGATATCTTTCTTTTCTATTCAACAAAATGATTTCGCTAAGTTTCATTGTACGTCTAGCGAACCAGGAGAACAGACGAAACAGAAGGTACGAAACTAACATTAAGGATCGTCTTATCTCGGGGGAGTTATCGGACGGTAGCAGACCAGCCAGAGATCAAAACGATGTCCCGAGAGGGCATCTTGCGGTCTATGTGGGACGCGAAGAGAGGCAAAGGTTTGTGATACCGACCAAGTATCTTCAATATCCTGAATTTAGGACTTTGATGGATGAAGTAGCGGACGAGTTTGGGTACGATCATGAAGGAGGGATTCATATTCCTTGTGAAGAGAGTGTTTTTGAAGAGATTTTGATTAGATACATGTCTTGTGACAAGAAGAAATAATTGTACATACAATACAAATATATAATCATTTTTAAAATATTTCTTCTCCTTCGTATTCTTTCTCCTCATTGGCATTTCATCGAACACCTAGTGAGCAACCCTGTGTTCCTGAACCATTCTCTACCAAAGAGATCAGTTCTCTCCTCTGCTCTGCATAGGCATCAAAACAAGACACAGACCTTTCTAGGTAATGCAAATGCTAAGTCATGTATTCTAAGAGTGAATCAAGGAACAAAAATAATGCCGTGTTCCTTAATCGTATCGATTACAATCCCTAGCTTCCCTTCAATTCTTTCTCCCTTTCTTGGCTCATAAGACACAGCATAGACGTCTGCTTCCATTGAACGCTCAGCTATGAGCTTACCAATGAGTCTACACGCTTCGTTATCCACAAGAGACGGTATATTAGTCCTTATATCTCTTGCATTTGTGGTGGCAACCGAAATGACTTTGCTTGTTGGCCTATGCATCACTTTGGCGTGTATGAACTTCCTGGAGAAGAAAACATTCAAAAGGAAAGGCCTCATGTACATGTCTGTTCTCTGTTTCCATGACTTCCTGTTGGGTCTTTTCGCTGCTTCACCACGTGATCTTCGAGTCCACGCAGCTTGCACAAAAGAATCCTACAACAATCCATCAAACAAAACTTTCAAAAAAATTTGGTGGGTTCAATAGCAAAAAGAACTCTTCTTGATGTTAATTGGAAGACTAAGACAAGAGGGAATTCTGAATCATTAGGTGCTATTTAGAATAAGAAAGATGAATCTTGAAATACTCAACAGATAAAAGAGATAAGCTTTGAAGAGAATCACTCTCAAGCCTTAATGGCAAATTGAATTTCCGTGAGGAGAAACACAAATCAAGAAAACACACATTCTAATTCACATTAAGAGCTTCTAGTTTCATGTTCATAAAGATTCACTAGAACCCTAGATTTTTAAATTAAAGCCAGCCACAAATTACAATTGCCTAAATCTGAACAACGAGTTCAAACAAACAAGAACACACACTAAGCTACAAATCAGACAAGCACAAAACTATACGAGCAAGAGGAATTACGAAAATATCTTAGAGATTGTGCACAGATAACGAAAGTAGATGGCTTTACCTTTTTGACAATGGGAGATGAGATAACAGAGCCGATTTCGATGGAGAGTTTGGGAAATGAAGATTGCCATGAAATTGCAGAGCCCAGTTTACAGGAACGATTTGACCGAGTTAGATTCGAGTCGATGGGGACGAGTGAGCAAGTTGATGAGACCAAGCAAGACATCTTCGTCGAGCTTCAAGAGTGAGAAAGCTATTGGACTGGAGATGGTAAAACGATCGGATAGGGCTCGGCGGCTAAACCCCGAACCGGCTGATTTGAGGGGTCAAACGCGGTTATTAAAAGCCGGATAAAATTGGTGAACCGGATCGAATCGTTAACCCCAAAACTTACGAACAAAAGAAAGATATTTTCGAAAAATAAAGGGCCAAAAATAAGCGTTTTGATTCCACAAGTGGGGTTGAAAAATAAATTCTAGAAAATTATTAAAAACAAATAAAAATTGGGAGAAACACATAAACCCTAAAAAGCTTAAATCTTCCCATAAATTATTAGTTTATAGTCTTCTAGGTCTGTTCACAATCTGAAAGTTTGTTTTTTTTTGTTTTCTAATTATGTTTAATTGAATATTCTTTCTTCTCTGTTGCCCTTTTTTGAATCTCCTGTTCTGTCTCTGATAAAATCTTTGAAAGAACAAACGGAGACAGAGAGAGGAGAGAGAGAAAATGGCAATGGTTGTTCCAAAAGAAGGTCTTGTGGTTATGGACAAGGAATCTCTTTCTTCAGCTTCATCGGATTCTCATCTTCGTCTCCAACCTCACTTTCCTGACTTCACGATTCCTGTAAAAGTCAGTTCCTTTTTTTTTTTGTTCTTTCTGGTTCTGTCTCTCTGCTTCTTATGAGTATATTTGAATTTGTAGAGTTTTAACAATCTGGATTATGTTTTGGTAATGGTATTATGGTTTCGATATGACTGAGAGAAGGGTCTGTTGGTAATCTCAATTGGGAACCATTGTGTGAATATTTCTCTCTGTTGTGTTTGATTCAGGATTTCTTCAAGTCTAGGGAAGCCCGTGAGTTTCTTAGTGGGGCTTTAGCTGGAGCTATGACCAAAGCTGTTCTTGCTCCACTTGAGACTATAAGGTCTGTATAGTCCCCCCTTGTAATCTCCTCAGTGTAATCAATAGTACACTTTGATGTCTATTTAACTAGATTGCATTGTGTTGTGTGAATTCTGGCAGGACAAGAATGATTGTTGGTGTTGGATCGAGAAGCATTCCAGGTAGTTTTCTGGAAGTTGTACAGAAGCAAGGGTGGCAAGGTCTTTGGGCTGGCAACGAAATCAATATGATTCGAATCATTCCAACTCAAGCAATTGAGTTGGGGACATTTGAATGGGTTAAACGTGCAATGACATCAGCACAAGTGAAGTTGAAGAAGATTGAGGACGCCAAGATTGAAATCGGTGATTTTAGTTTCAGTCCGTCCATATCGTGGATCTCTCCTGTTGCTGTGGCTGGTGCATCTGCTGGTATTGCCAGTACACTTGTTTGCCATCCTCTGGAAGTTCTCAAGGTAATGTATTACTCAATCAAAGTCTGTTGCATGACGCAATATTGAAATCTTTTCTGTCTTTAGAGTTGAAAGAGACTGATGTTCTCTGAACTTTACCAGGATAGATTGACTGTGAGCCCTGAGATTTATCCAAGCTTAACCCTTGCAATTCCAAGGATTTTCAGAGACGATGGAATCCGTGGATTTTACGCTGGCTTAGGACCAACACTGGTCGGGATGCTTCCATACAGCACATGTTATTACTTCATGTATGACAAAATGAAGACCTCATACTGCAAATCCAAGAACAAAAAGGCTTTAAGCCGTCCAGAGATGCTTGTTCTTGGAGCTTTAGCTGGTAAACAAATAAATAAAAACTTCCTTTTGCGGTATTTCCTTACTTGAATCATGTTAAGACTCATCAAGTTATGACTGGGGTCAGGTCTAACGGCGAGCACCATAAGCTTTCCGTTGGAAGTCGCACGGAAGCGGTTGATGGTTGGAGCTCTGAAGGGGCAATGCCCACCGAACATGGCTGCAGCAATTGCAGAAGTAGTGAAGAAAGAAGGAGTGATGGGACTCTACAGAGGATGGGGAGCAAGTTGTTTGAAAGTCATGCCGTCTTCAGGCATCACTTGGGTCTTCTATGAAGCCTGGAAAGATATTTTGCTTGCCGCCAACACCAAACCACTCATATAATGACGAAATTGTAACCTAAGTTATCATTGTTACTTAAAGCTAAGCCTCTCATCACATTTCTTAGTTATGATTTAGGGAATGTGGTGGCTTGGTTTTTCCCCATGAGATGTTTTTTTGGCACTTTGGGAGTGTTTTGGTTCCCATGAGAAGTAAGAAGCTGAGTTCTTTTTTTGTCGAGGCTAATTCTCTGTGTTCTTCTCGTTCAATAAAAAAGGATGAAGAAAAGTAATAAGCAAATCAAATTATTAACCACAGATCATGTCCACATCATATACATATTGTTATACCATCACACTTCCATTCATAGATACAAGCATATATACATAAGCACTTTCAAATATATATTTGTCTAAGTCAAACATTGTCCAAATCTGCAACCCAAAAGAAAATCTTCTGCCTAACCTTCTGTTCCCTCTTCTGAGACTTCACTCTCTGTAACAATAACATATCAGAACGTTCTGATTTCTTTAGTACAGAGTCATATTGACTGCTCAAGTTTTAGTTTTAGAGGAAAGTACCTTCACCAAACAGTTGTTCGAATCGGGCTACTATGTGTTTCCCGTATGTGTACTTCCGCAAACTCTGGAGATGAATTTTCATCCTCTGCACCAGAATCTCCCTTTGCTGATCTTTACTGATCTCCAAGACTTTCTGGACCACGTAATTTGCAAACTGATCCTTCATCATCGCCTGCAGAAGAAAAAAGAGTGTTAAATAAGTCCAATGAGGTTTCAGAGAGCTTTCTTTAGGATTGTGTTCTTACTAGCAAGTGATTGTCTTCCTCGGATTTGCCCATTATCTCTTCAATCAGGAACTCTCTCTCGGTACTATCAGCGTGTTCCAGACACTTCTCCACAACGTTAGAAGCGTATTTGTGCTGACTCATCTGAACAACATTCCCAGTCAACTTCTCAATGATCTGTCTCCTTTCGTCGGGCTTCCCTCTCTCCAGGACATGCTACAAGAAAAACATAAGCCAAAGCACAATATTAAGAAAAAAAGAATTCAAGAAAATGCCAAGAGAGACAATGGATCCGCGATTAACCAGACCTGAGTGACATAATTCCCATACTGATCATGAGCAAGAGCAAACGCAGATTCCAATATTTCATCGATTATACAATGAGTCTCCTCATCATCTGAACAATGCTCCAAGATTCTCTATAACAAAGCAGACAGGAAAAGAATGAATATTTCAAGTTCAAAGCACAAGAGGAGACAAAGCTCACTCTATTCCATTTACCTGGATAACTCGGCATCCATAAGGGTGGGTAGAAAGAGTGGCGACTTGACCACGGAAAGCAGCAATTACAAATCCAATCCTACCGGCAGGCATACTCTCGATACACTTTTGGATAACATGATTTCCGTTTTGATCTCTAACACACTTCAGCACATTTCCATCGAGCTCACGAATTAGTTCTGTCTTTTGGTCAACATCTATCACTTCAAGGGCCTATAAATATCACAAGGCACAAACAAGCACATGGAAACTTAACTACAATTTAGATCAAGAATCAAGATACTGACATTGATATAAGGAAAGTAATATTAATAAATTTACCTTTTGTATCACACGACATCCATACATTTGTAAGCTTAGTGAAACCATCTGACCAGCAAGTTGCTTCACAAGTTCTTCTCTCTGTGCCGGAGTTCCATGTTCTATGAACTGATCCAAAAATCACAATGTATTTTATAGACAATTCTCAGTTTAGGAAAAAAGAAGAAGAAAAAATGGCTCACTTTTTGGATGACATAATTTCCAAAAACGTCAGTCATCAATTTTGAAGCTTGTGGAAGAACCTCACTGAAAACAGATGCCTTCTCCTCATCGGAGCAATGCTCCAACTTCTGTTGAATAAACCGGCTGCCATGCTGATCGACGCTGAAGTTCAGAAAAATGAGTAGTAAAATAAGATTAACATGACATCATTTCTTTTGAACCTTTCAAAATACTTCTTCAGAATTAAAGAAAATGATAGATTTCGGAGCAGAAACACTGCCTGAATTCAACAACGCGCCCTGCAATATCAGACAGCTCGAGTTTCCGAGCGTTTGGAGACTTGAGTTCATCAAGAAAAGAATGTCTTTTTAGATCATCAACGATGCTGCTGGCTCCTCCTCTGTTCCCTTGCCATCCACCAGGGTAGATCCCAGTGTTTCTACTTGGCCCTTGTTGATGATACCTTGTTTCACTTCGTCTTCCAAAGTGGCTCATCATTCCACCAACCGGTGAGGAAGGCATCACCGGACTAGCAAGAGGTGATCCTGGATACTGCGGCATGACTCTTATACCAGGTGGCACTGCAAAATAATTCCCCATGTGCCGCGGACTTTGCATCCCGTAACTCGGACTCAATGGACTGTTGAGAGGTTCATGATTTGCCATATAGCCAGCAGCTTGTTGGTCTTTCTGCCCAAAAGAATCAGTGCTGCTCTGAAACGGAGGAGCATACGCGTCCACTTGAGCCTGTTGAAAATATTGCAACTGAAAAGGATCCACAAGCGAAGGAATGTTTTGTCCACTCGATGATACTCCAGGTAGCAGCCGAGCGTTGTTGTAGCCCAAAGAAGTAGATGAGATATCGTATGGCATAGGAACAGTTGCTTCATGCGATGGGTATCCACTCATATATTGAGGGACAATACCAGAACCAGGAGGGTAACTGCCATAATTATATTGCGGGAGGTACATACCCGAGGACTGAAAATTTTGATGGTAAAATGGGCTCAGAGATGTCATATATGCTGCTGTAGATGTATACATGGGAGGCGGTGCCAAACCGTGAGGAGATTGAAAAGTCGAATGTACCTCGCCAGTTGCAATCTTTGGTAAGCTCTGCATCATGTCCTGTGTACCACCCATCCTCGGATAGGTCATTTGTTGTGGCGAACTAGCCTGAACCTGATACGATGAAGATGTGTATTGCAGAGGCATTCTCCTTCCCTGAGATTGTTGGTCTTCTTGATTCCTCCTCATTCTTGAAGCAACAGAGGACGGAGGAGAAGCACCAAAAACAGATAGATTGTTGTCCTCATGGCTCGCTCGCCTCGCGTTTAATCTCTCATTCTGTACATTAGTAGAACTTTGTGAGCCCAAATCAGTGGTAAAGGGATCTTCATTAGCAATAGCATCGATGGAGAGAGAATCTGTCTCCCTCAGCAGATTAACCGAATTTATATCAGACTCTGGTAATCTTCTCGTGTTTTCTGAAGATGTATCAGAGGAAATGGCATGGATGTCTTGTGCTATTGGACGATTTCCTGCCGAATGAGGCCGCTTGAACACAGAAGAAAGTGTAAGAGGGAAATCTTCCTTCATGTAAAATGATCTAATATTTTACTAACAAGTGATAGAATAAGGAACCATGTACCTGAATCATATCAGCTATGCTCTTACGACGACCAGCCAAAGAAGCATAAGCTTGTTGTTCCCCAGATGATGCCTCATCCTCAGGCTCCTCTCTATGAGTCGAAAGAGCAGTTCTAGAAGAATGCAAGGAGGACCTTATCCCCATATTATCCCAAGAAGTTGTTGGACTCTGATTATTATCACCAACCCCACCGAAATGACGCAACAAGTGCTGATTCTCCCGTGAGATTAACGGAGGAGGGAGTCTCGGATTCAAGTTGATGTTCGACAAATAGTAAGCTACATATGCAGGATCACTACGTATCTCTTCTTCCGAGTCATAATTCTCAATAGCCCTACTTAAAACTTCAGAGCTACTACCTTCTTGTTGTTTCAAGAGATTCCTAAGAGCTGCAACGGAACCTTCCATGCTAGGCGGCGCACTTCCGCTCCTACTAGGGATTTTACCGGTATGATCACCACTATCCAACCTATTTCTTTTCATTAGGAATCCTAAATCTTCAACTGCCATATCAAGTGAACCAAAGATCCCACTATCCCTAGAAGCCTGCCAATTTTTTATATGATCACCCTCAACCATTCTCATAGCGCTCTGAGTCGTCGTCATATTTCTATTATAATCAAGTTTCTATATATCATACAAAGTAGTTTCACAACACCTGACACAAAGAACAAAACCTTAGTCCATAAGAGAACAAAAATCTAAGAACTTTAAGATATGGTCCCAAATTTCATAAATCACAACAACAAAAAACAAGTAATCGACCATATATGAATGAAATCTACATACCAAGGATCGAAATTTCACACTAAGATTTTACCATTTCCTGAAGCTAAAAAATCAGTCAACTCACATAATCAGCAAAAACAACAACAAGATCATCAAAAGACGCCATCTTTATAAAAGCAAACGAAACCGTTGAACTCATTCATCAACCTCGTTACAAACAGAGAATCATATCCAGAAGCTATAATTAGGGATCAAAATTAAACAAAAGACTTAAAAACTTTTATCTTTTTTTATCCATAAACTAGTTCCTTGCATGACTTGTAGAAGAAAAAAAAGTAGATACAGAGAGGAAGAGGGAAGAGGAAGCAGAGATAAGTACCTGATGGTGATATTCAAGCTTCCATGAAAGTGTTTTCTCAAAGAGCTTGAAATAAAATGTTCGAAGAGAGAAGAGACCCAGAGAAAAAGAGAGATAGAGAAATTAAAACTAAACCCTTTGAAAAGTTTGCTTCAAGGGGCTTCGTCGAGTCACCAAGTCAAGACTAATCTAAAAATGTTTTTTTTTTCCGGCAATTATTGGGATGTTTAATCTTTAATTTAATACACAAAATTTTTGATTTAAAGAGTTTTTCGATATCGTCTTTTAACAACATTTAGAGTATTCAGAATCACGACGGATTCGCACACGAAGAGGTCGTCGTCTCTATATAATGACCAAAATATCCCTTGTAATGTTCTTTAACGGTAGTGGTGAAGAAAGTCCTTTTAAGTAATTTCAGCTTTGGCTCCAAATTGGTGACTAGGTTTGCCACGTGTTGACACTTCTAGTTGAAAGAGATACGTTCACGTGGCTTTGTCTCTGTTGCCTGTTCCTTACCACCACCAAAACACACTTTAGTTTTTGTTTCTTCTTCTTTTTGGATTAAGAAAATCTAATTGTTTGTTTAGAAACATAAGCACTATTCAACATTTTTATAATGTTCATTTTGTTATAAAATATAACGTAATGTGTATATATATATTATATATATATATGTGTATTTGTATTAAGTATTTATGAAAAGAAAGAAACGTAGAAAGAAAGAGAGAGGGGAGAGCAAAGGTACGTAAATCTTTCTTCTCATCTCATTACTTCACTTCCACAATGACAACATATATATAGTATCTAAAAATTAATATTCTAATGAAAACTTGGTGAAGAAGCTAAAACATGATAAGCATTATCCAAATATTAGAGATAGAGATGAGTGATGGATAATCACTTCCACAATTATCCATTTATAACACTCCCCCTTGAGTATCCATCACTATTAATGGATTGCGTACTGCCTCGTTAAAAACCTTATCATGGCAAAACCATATAGGATAAAAACCATGATAAAGGAAAAGAGTACAGTAACACAATCTCCCCCTGGAACAAACGAACCTTGTTTTCTTCATAGGTTTCGTAAATGATGCATCTCGATCATTCTTTTCGATTTTTCTAATCTTGTCAATATATGACAAAGATTTTAGAAAAGAGATAGATCTTTACTTTGATGTCTATCTTTTGCGTGTTATTTGCTGCCTCGTTAAAAACCTTGTCATGGAAAAACCCAGTGGGATAAAAACCATGATAAGGGAAAAAGAGTGCAGCCACGCTCATCATCACATGTCTCCCCCTGGAAGCATCTTCTTCAAAAGACGCATTTCGATTTGTGAAGATGCTTTCTGAATGTTGTAGCTGGAAGCGCCTTCGTAAATCTACTACATTGTTACTTGGCCGGATGTATTGGACATCAATTTCTTGCTTCTTCTCAGATTCTTGAGTGCAAGAGAAGAATTTTGGAGAAATATGTCTTGTCATCTTGCTCTTGACATAGCTTCCTTTGAATTGGGAAACATTTGCAGCAGTGTCTTGTTGTTGGCTCTTCACTGGTGCCTATATTGCTTGCTTCTTGCATATGTTGAGGGCATCAATCTGAGCCATACAGATTTTCGACGTGCTTCATGGAGCGCAATAATTTTGGCATGGCTTGAGAAAGCGACGACCAAAATTTGTTGTTGGAAACGCCACGTAGTTGTTGTTTTGCCATATATATTTAGACAGAGCTGATATAGATTCTCCATCTGCAAAACCAACTAAACCAAACTCGGGGTTTCTAGAATAAAATAAGCCCAAGTCAATTGTACCTTGCAGATATGGAAGACACATTTGAACTCATTCAAGGTCTAGCCGGAGGAGATCAATTAATCCTGCAAGTAGATCAGTAGCAAATGCTAGATACAATATATTCACTAGATATATAAATGCTCGTCAACATTTATATATGCTAGCTACAATTCACAAAATATATAAATACTCGTCAGCATTTATATATAGTGCTTCATGATCAAACTATATAAAGTCGACTTCCTTTAGAAGTGATGACTAATATAACATCTCTTTCTTTAGATGTTTAGTTGGAATATCTGGAGACACTTTTGTCTTTCCAAGATCTTTTATTCCAAATAACTCTTAAAGAGTTTTGATGATGTTCAAAAATATCATGCTTATAAGTTCCCGGGAATATAACTATGATATCATATATTTTAGGATTAGTCCTTCAGACATCCCATGAGGCGCAATTCAAGTCATTTATTCATCAACTCAATATCGAGTGATTTTGACAAAACCCGGCGCGACACACCGTTTTGTCTTAAGTATCATAATACTTTTTTTGATGCTTGGACCATGTGTCCAGAAATTACTCGTTTTTTATACGAGATTAATATAGACTTGGTTGCGTCTTTGTTTATTGGCCAATATATATCTCTTTACGCTCACAGAGCGGAGATTCATGATCCTCATTAATCACATTTGCGCGCTAGATCATTTTTATTGTCGACATTGTATTGTCTTTGGTTCCATATTTACCGTAATGACATGGTTAATCGAGATCTCTTAATCATTTTAAATGATTTTATTCAGGTACCTGATTTCGTTATTAACCATGCCAATCGGTCTTTTTACTTCTCTTTAGAAGTATCTTTGCTCCTGTCGAGGAGTCTCTATGCTTCTCTTTAGAAGTCTATATGCTCCTCTTTTTAAGAGTTTAATCCTCTTTTTAGTAATAATATGCTCTTTTTTATTTTCGAGGATTTTCTTTATATTTGGAACCAAAGTTGTCTATCACGATTTTATCGTGTTATAGACAATAATATGTCATCCGCCAGAGACATATTTTTGTAGAGCATTTTTAGCTGGGACAAGAGATTTCGTATGAACTTTAAGTTCATATGCATTTATACGAAGATCAATAATTTCATGAAATCTCATCCATCAGCTTTTTGCATTTGATTTGCAATATATTTTGAATAGTGATCCTTTTGAACTTTTGAACTCTAAAGGTCATATTTATGATATTCATTTGTTCAAAGATCCAGACTATTCAATGATTCTCCCATAAGGATGGGGAACTTTATCATCAAGATGATGATTTGCAAATCTTGCAATAGGCACATCTCTCATAAGATGGCTCAATATTTGTAGAGCAGAGACTCATCTCCTGCATCTATATATTTCATCCTTTTTGGATGATATTTTTATGCAGTGCAGAGGAGCATTTATAACATATATCTCACACCCATAAAATTTAAAAATGAGAAATATTTGATCTCCAATCATGTATATAAAACATGGGAGAAATATTTCTTATAAATCGTTGGCCTTGTATATAATCATTAATACATGCAAAACTGCATGATCCATATAAAAATATGGAGATTAAATCACCATGAATCGTTTTGCAATCTCTTGGATTTGCGTTATGAACGATTCGCTTAAAGCTCATTTTGAGAGTGAACATTATTTTTAGATGTTCCACTTTATCAAAAAGTGATGACTTCACCAAAGTTGTCTCGCTCTGGGGTGTCAAACTCACAAAAATTCATCGACTTTTTGTCGATATGGGATTTCTTTAATTCTCCCCCTCGAGATGATAACTCTTCGAGTTCATTCATCTCGAACTGAATCCCACTTTAGGATCAATAACATATCCGATACGGATCATGTATTTATTCTTAGATCCTTATAAAAAAATGTGGGACTCGTAATAACCCCTCCCAAGATGATGGCTTTTCAAGCCTATTTATCTTGGACCGAACTTTATTTTTAGATCGGTTATACTCGGGGATTAGTTTGGGGATTATGAAAAAATCAACCAGCATATATATTGAGCTTTAAAAAAATGGTGATTTGGCCAAAAATCATATGATTCTGGAGGCATAATCTACCACAGAATGAAGGAGGAGGTATACAACCATCGACTCTATATTATATAAATATTCATTATAAATTAAATGTTACCATCTTTATTTTTGCATGATATAATCATACATATGTGTGTCTCCATTGTGGTTAAACATTCAATACCACATTTATTTATAGTCTCAATATAATAATTATAAAGAAAAATATTTTAGAAACTACACGAGTTTCTTTGAGACTTTGGAGAACACGAAGCATCGATTATTATGAATCTGATGCATTTGGAAGTCGAGAGACTAGCTCATCTAGACCTTCCAATTATTTTGCACTGTCTAAAAATATTTTGACACGTGCTTTATATATTCTCATAAGAGAAATATATTTTTGATTTTAAAGACATATTTCAAAGTCTTTAAATCTCATATAACACATATTTATTATTTACGAATAAAATAAATTAAAATAATTAAACACATAAATTCATAAAATTAATAATATAGAGACAAAGGCCTTTTTATACGAGAATTCAGGAGGCATCGCCTTCCATTAAGAATTCAATAGGCATAGCTTTTATTTGATCGTAGAGAAGAAGGCAGAGCCTACCATATATATCGATCAATCCGGAAAAATATAAATTTTTATTTGATCGTTAGGAAGGTAAAACCTACCATATATAACGATCGATCCGGAAAAAGCATAGCCATTTATTTGATCGTAAAGGAGGCATAGCCTACCATATATTATTATCTATCCGGAAAAGACATAGCTTTTTATTTGATCGTAAAGAAGGCAGAGCCTACCATTTATAACGATCAAACCGGAAAAATGCATAGTCTCACGATGTCTAAAATAATTATGTTCTATAAACATAAATAAATTTAAATAATATAAATTTTACTTACCTCGTAAACGCTCTAGCGGTAAAGACATCGTGCTGATAACGTGTTATAAAATATAACGTAATGTGTATATATATATATTATATATATATATGTGTATTTGTATTAAGTATTTATGAAAAGAAAGAAACGTAGAAAGAAAGAGAGAGGGGAGAGCAAAGGTACGTAAATCTTTCTTCTCATCTCATTACTTCACTTCCACAATGACAACATATATATAGTATCTAAAAATTAATATTCTAATGAAAACTTGGTGAAGAAGCTAAAACATGATAAGCATTATCCAAATATTAGAGATAGAGATGAGTGATGGATAATCACTTCCACAATTATCCATTTATAACACATTTATAGTTCTTAGGATTTTTGTTAAATATGAAGTGTGGAAAAGAAATAAAAGTCCTTTAACGACACATCAAAGACTTTGGCCAAAAACAATGAAAGTGATAGAAGAATAAGACTTTTCCATCACCATCATCATCATGATCATGGATTTAGTTTCCCATCAACAAGACAACATTGGATTCTTTCGTATGTGCTAAATCCAAACGACAACAATGAAAATGGTCCCTTAATAGTGAATCTATGACCAAAGCAAGTGTGTTCTTGGAATTGGACCCTTATTGCAAAGAGAATGAATGAAAGCAAATGGAACAAACACACAATTTCTTCTTTGATTTGTCCGCAAAAGAAAAAATCCCCAAACCGGATCTTAATGATCAGATAAAAAGGGAACATTTGGTGCGACTGTATTTGAAATCATTGTGTTGTTCATCATTTTATTATCAACATGGGAAAAGAATTGGAGATGGGTGTCTTTGAAGCTTCCCAGCTGAAAAGTTGAGCTTTTTCATCTTTTCTTCACACCATAGAAGTTGCTCTTTACTGATTCTCGCCATCCTCAATACCCGTGTTGCGAGTTTGATGTCAATGGCTGCAAACAAGAGTTGAACACCTTCCCATGTTTGAGGCCATGATTTCTTTCTCAAACCTTTTGTCTTCTTTGAAAGCTCCTTCGCTTTCACCCTTTTCTGCAAAAGTTTTCTCTTTTATGAGACACCAAAGAAGCATACATAGTTTCTACAAATAACATTTGAGTACAGACCTTATCAATGGATGACTGAACCAGTAGTAAAGGAGTTGTAGAATTCATATGGTTGTTGTTGTGGTTCCCAAACAAGTGAATACCCCCATTTGGTTTCTTCTTATCCATTTTCAAGAACACGTTGAAAGTAAGGATCGAGCTCTCGATGATTTGGATGAGATCATCAGCGAGGACCATGAAGCCTGTATCTTTCTCCATCTCCTTTTTATCTGACCCTGAGATGTTTTGAACATAACCAACTCAAAGTGTTACTACTTCACATAAGGTTTTAAGTCGCAATGTGAGAGCTGAGGAAATCAGTACCTTGAATCTTAGGAGCTTGAAGTAGCTTAGGCATTGCATTTCTAGCACGCGCATAAAGTTCAGATCTTGAGCCTTGTTCAAATGGTTCATTCTCTATATACCTCTGCAACAAGACTAGGAATTGCTGAAACAGTTGCGCAGTATGGTTGTAACATGTCGGGGTTTCGGGTTGGCATGAGATTAAGTGGCTCAGCTGCGTGTATTGACAGTGAAGTGCCTCCCAAGTGAGGCAGAGTTGAGCAACATAGGCCGTCTCTAGATCTTGATAAGGGTCAATTTCTGTCGGCTGCAAATGCTCGATATCTTCCTCGGGAACATCCAACTTCTTGAGAGAAAGACATCGAAAAGGCGAAGACAGCTTCTTAGATGCAGATCTTGGCGATGGAGTTGAAGGACTTGGAGCAATTCCAATGCCTAAGAGTAACCAACAAATCCAAGAAAGAACAAAAGTTATTCCACAATCCTTGATCAGTCCAACTTTAGCTTAACCACTAAAAAGCCATTGAAAGACTCAATATAAACAGATCAAAGCAAGAAGCTTTTACCAGTTTCCTTGAGTTGCTGAGAGCTTAAGCGATCAAAGAAGAGCATTCGCTCACAATACTTTTCATAAACAGCATCAAAACCTCCCCACCATTGAAGTCCTTCAGCGACCACATCTCTCCACTCACTTGAACACTTGTCTTCTCCGTCATCATCATCTTCGTCTAGATACGATTCCTCTTCTTCTTCTTCTTCTTCCTCAGGTATCAACACCATGAAACTGTTTCTCCTTAACTCCTTGAGCCTTCTCTTAACCTCATTGGTAATGAAATCATCATCGTCATCTTCGATCTCGTCTCCTTTCCCCGAATCTGTCACACCAGCTTCAGTGTTCTCACTCCTTGCCTGCTCTTGCTGAGCCAATATCTTGTCTTCTTTCTCCTTTTCAAGGTTTGGCTTCCGTGACTTTCGAAATTTTCTAACTTTCAAGAAATCCATTACCTCCTCAAACACACTTGGAAGAGTGTCTCTTTTGTTAAATCTTAAGATCTAAATTGAGACTTCTTTGCATGAAAAAAGGATTCTCTTCTGCCCCAACGGACTTAAACAAAGTAGCAACTAAACAACAAAATGAGGAAAATGCATGAATCTAGAGAGATCTCAGAGAATCATGACCAAACCCTAGAGAATCAGAGCAACCGACAGAAGATGGAAAATGCATAAAGAATCAAAATTTTCACAAGATCAGTAGGAACAAGAGCATTTGTCTGAAAGTTCAGATTCGAGTCATCAATCACTAGCTGAGAACTAACCACTAGCATTCCCTGGTAAATCAAGACTCCACTGAAACTAGTACACTGAGGAAGAGTGTGAGAAAAAAAACAAAAAGAAAGAAAAAGATTCAAAATTTAAGAAAGAAAGAGAAACCCATAAATAAAAGGATTTTAATCTAGTCCGCCCCCTGTGCTCAAAATCGATTCCATTTAGCCCCCTTAATAAAATTGATATAGTTAATGGTTTATTTTAATTCAGAAAAATAGTAAAAGACAAATAAAACAAAGAGTTTTCATTTATTTACGATCCAACCAGTCAGTTGGATCTAACTCCATATGACTTTCGGATCTTTTATTCCTAAAATCAAATCCAAACCCTAATTCCTAAGTCACTTGTTTTTTTTCTCCACGAGTCTTTTTCTTCATCTTCTTCATCTTCTTCTTCTTCATCTTCTTCATCTTCTTCTTCTTCCCTCCACGACTTTTTCATTTTCTCTCTTCTCTAGATTCCGTCGAGACTCTTTTGTCTTCTTCTTCTTCTTCCCTCTTCACTCGTTTCTATCGATCCAAAGTTCTGTCCTCTCTCTTCTTTTTTTTTTGTCAATTCCTCTCTCTTCTTCTCCATGAGAAATCCGCCGTGAAATCGAGGAATCCGCCGTGAGAACACCTTGTGTCTTCTCTTTGTAAGATTTCATTTGTTTGGTCCCTAATTTCGATTGATTGTGTTTGATTTATTAGGGTTTGATTTCTTCCGATTTCTTCCAATTTCTTCTCCTCTATGAGAGTTTGATCTGTAATTCTCTATGATTTTGTTTGAAACAGATGTATATTGGATGGAATTTCATTTACAATTAGGATTTTTAATGATTACAATTCGGATTTTAAGATTACGGAATAGGATTTGAATTACAATTCGGATTTGAAATTGGGATTCTTTGAAATTGTCTCTTAATTTTCTGTGTTTGTATTGCAGGAAATAGAGATGGATATGAGTATGTTCGGTTCGTCTTTTGGTTTCTTAGGTTGATATATAGAAGGAGAAGGCGAGGGAGCATGAGCAAGAGAAGGAATATGAGAAAGAGAAGGAGAAGAGAGGAAGATTTGGTGTTTGGGTTTTTAGATACAATTGTGTTTGGTTTGTCTTTTGGTTTCTTATGTTGATGTATAAATCTAAGTGTTTAGGTACAACTAGAACGCTTAGGTACAACTATGTATCTGGGTTTATGATTTTTTGAAAAAAAAAAAAACTATCCAAGTATGTATGAATCTATGAATCTTAATCTTAATATCTTTATGTATGAAAATAATCTAAGGGTTTTGATCCAAAAAAAAAATTTAAATAGCTAAATTTTCCAAAATATATGACAAATATGTATGTTTCTAAGGGTTTTGATTCAAAAAAAAAAAACAAAAAAAAAAAAATGAAATATCTGAAAATATCTAAAAATATCTGACAATATCGTACCTGGCGCCGTTATTTTAGAAAAAAATAATTAAATAGTAGCACAAATTTACTCATAGTTGTACAGTTGTACTCGGTTGCACATTTTTGCTCATAGTTGTACAATATAGAGAAACTAGTAAATCTAGTTGTTATCAATTCTAAATTAATTTTTGTGGGTGGAACCGATGGTATTGCCTCATCAAAATACCATTATCTTGTATCAGTGTAGTTATATTTATCAAAATACAAGTATTTCGAAAATTTAACATTTTTTAGTTTAAATCTACAAAGTAACCATGTAAGTATAAGGTTATTAGTGTATGAATGTGAAATTTTGTGATAAGAATTTCATTAATTTAGAAAAATATGAATTTTTTTGTCAAAAACTTCTTGTGTAGTTTCATTACCACCTAGTATGCATTTTTTAAGATTTTCTAATTTGGTTTTAAATTTTCAGATTTTATAAAATTTTGAAAACTAGCCAAGGCAATAGACCTTAGTTGTACAGGTTGTACTTAGTTGTACCAAGACAGAACAATTTAATTTGTACTGATACGACAAGGAAATCAACCAGAGTTATACATGTTAAAACTTAGTTGTACGAAACAAAACAAACAAGTTTCACAACCAAAACCAATACAAACAACATCGCTTCTTAAATAATCCTAATAATGGCACTCATAAATCAACCTTGGTCATCCTCATCGTCCCATCATTGGTAAACCACTCGCCTAAACCACTCGGCCTCTTCGACCTCTTCTTACCTCATTTTTCTCTATGTTCTCCAACGAAGGGAAATCTTGTTTCTTGTCATCTTCCTTGTTTTACTTCATAATCCGGAGGATAAGCAAACTGTTTCATTATCTCCTTTGGAACAATCCATTGAAAATTATAGAGAACCGGATAAATCATTCTCGTATAATTTGGTCTACTTAGTTGTACCCAATGATTTCAGTTGTTCCAAATCTGCAATCCCCAAAATTTTCTACCAAAAACCGTATTCAAGCTACGAATTCAATTTTTCTCAATTATATTACCCTAAGAAAACAAGTATACTTACCGTAAACTATGGTGGATAGAGAAGAAGAAGTAAACAACGAGCGTCAATGGTGGATGGAGAAGAAGAAGAAGAGAGGAGATATGTCGTTGGAGATGCTTGAATCATAAGAAGAAGGAGAAGAATTTGTTTTTTTAGGCTTTTGGATGGAGAAGAAGAAGAAGAAGAGAGGAGATATGTTTTTGGAGATGCAAAATCGTAAGCTTTAATGGTGGATAGAGAAGAAAAAAGAAGAGAGGAGAAGAAATATGTCGTAAAGAGAAAAGAATTAATCTCATTTTTTTAGGTTTTTGGTAGTTAATGAGAGAGGAGAGAGAATGAATATGATTGGTTGCTTTTAAGAATTTGTTGGTAATAAAATTTAATGTATAAGTAAATAGGATAAAGGGGAAGGGTAAAGTTGGTTTTTAAATGTATTGGGAAGGAGAGGGGGTAGTGAGAATAAGTGAGGGTTTTTGAAAGAATGTTTGGAGGAAAAGGGGCTAGAGAGATTTAAATCCTAAATAAAAGCAAAACAAAATCGAAAGAGGAGAAATGAAAACGAAAGACAAAGACAGGAGGAGGAGGGAGATTAAAGAAGGAGAAATGTTTCTAACCACTTGCAAGAAAGAGAGAGAGAGAAAGCAAGTATAGTAATGTCTTTACTCTATTCAAGTTTTTCAGTATATAGACAGAGAGAGCACAATATAAATGTGAGAGGAGAGGAGTATTATTGATTTCTAAACAGATGTCATTAAATTCAGTAATTAAACTTTGTGATTTCAAATTCCAAAAAAAACTAGAAATTTTCTTCCTTTTTTAAAAACCCTTTTCCTCAAAAATTTCCATTTCCAGTCAAAACCCTTAGAAAGAGGTTCCTGAGTCAATTGACTTATTTTATTTCCTAATGGGTCGAAATTGTCTTTTACTTTTTGGTTTCTTACTTTACTTTTCTGATACTCCTTTTTCTATTGGTTATGAAAATAAAAACTGAAAATTCTTAATTTTTGTTTTGGTGTACCCTTGATTTATTAGAGAAGGTAGAGAAATCTAAAATATGAAGGAAAAGGAGAAGAAGCAGCAGTAACTCTGGTGACTGCCTACTGGTGAGTGGGGGAGAGAGCAAAAAAAAGCATCGTACAGAGAATATTGTCAGAAAAGCCGCGCTATCTGTTCTCCTTCCATTTGGTCACTGCTCTCTCCTAAATTACATCTTTACCCTTGTCCATTTTTTATAAGTATATTATACGGATCTTGTCGTTGTCTCTAACTAATGAAAATATGGGCTTCTCTATAATTGGGCTTTTCATTATTAAATTTATGCAACTCACTGCTATGTGACGACGTCGCTGAGAGACATTGATTACTTTGGTATGGTTTTTCTAATTTATTTTGGTTACGGTGCGGTCGAGTTGGGTTGGATTAAACCGAATTGGAGAGCTTGTGGTTATGGATCCATGGCATCATTTGGCATGTCGTCGTCTCTCTCACACCAGTTTCTTCTAAGGGACTACTACTAGTCAAGTCTACTACTTCTTCCTCTTGTAAGTTCATTTTCGCTTGAATTTTGTTTCAGCTGAAGAAACCGATACTCTTGTTTCTTCTTTACTCAGCTGGTAGGTACCGTCGTACCGAGTTATCATCTTAGCCGTTTCGTTTTCTCGTGTTACAAGTTTTTTTTTTTAATTGAATCGTGATACAAGTTTGAGTTCTTAAATAGATTTTTTTTTGCTTCCAATCAATCAGATTGCTATGATCCTCTGGGTTTCTTTGTTGACTTAAGCCTATAATAATCAAGGGATTTTCCGAGATTATTTTTAAATAAATTTTACTCAAATTTGGTTGTTTTTTTTTTTATTATTATAACTTGACAAAAAAAGTTATCCTTTTAATGAATTCTAATCGTATGACAATATTTTTTTAGTCTTTGTGCTTTGCCTTAGGCAAGTGAGTTTTTTAGTTTGCTTGTTTACGGATTGTGAACATCTCTGTGAGTCTGTGGTCTTCTTGTATCGCTTGGTTTATGCGAATGAAACTTCTCTGGGATTGAGAATCTGAGAGTAATATGTTTTTGTCTACATATGCTTCTAAGTTCTAAGTTAGTGTTGTGTTAAACGAGTGCTAATCAATAATGATGTTCTGCTTTGATTTGGATGGAATAATTTAGTGTGACTGATGTTGCTTTTATGTCGTTTATGTATTCTTGGTGATCTATGTGTTGCAAGGATAGTAATGAACCGAAGTAAAGAGAACATTGCTCCGACAATGAAAGATGATAGTCCATTTGGAAAGCTTACAGAGGATCTCTTGATAGAGATATTTATCAGAGTTCCAATAACAAATTGGGAACAAATATCTTGTGTAAGAAAACAGTGGTCGAATTTATTCCGGGGAGAATGCTTATGGCTGGCTGCTCTTAATCGGGCGTATCCTCTTGCTAGCAATACTAAGAGCTGGATTGGACCAATCCGTCAAGGATTAAGCAAACGGTGACTGGAACATACTTGATATCTATGAAAAAAGCTAGCTTAATATCTTTGTTAGGTTCAAGGAACTTAATTGCCTTTTAGCTGCAGGAGATATGTGGCTTTATACATCAGCAGAAACATATTAGGTGTGGATACAGACATAGATGAGATGCTTGGACATATTTACTTGTTCTTGAAAGATCAACTTCAACTTTCCACTATGCCTGCTTCAGGCGTTTTGCACGGAACCCTCATCGGTAAGCTAGTTTGGTATATGCATTTGACTCTGCTTAATGAATCATTGCTAATGACATTAATCTTATATTCTGGCGGCAGACCAATTGATTGTTTGTGGCAAATCGAAAGAAGAAGCTGGGGAGCTTGCGACAACGATTTGGCTGACTCTTCTCGACAATTTAGAGGACACGAAACATACATTTACCGTGCTGAAATCAATCGCACAAGAATATGATGTACGAAAGGAAAAAAATGTCCATAAAGTTTTCAAAAATTCTTCTTTTCTTGTAGAAACTAACTCTCTAAGAGAATGCAGGGCTTTCTTCCATATCCATATTCAAGACCAATCAAAGTCCAGTGGAAAGTGTTTGAGAAACTGTTTGTGGATTTCCGTGACTTGCTTGATCATTCAGAGTACTGCGACCTAATAGGAATTGCCAAGAAGAAGTTTCAAACAATACCTTATGTTTGGTTAGGCTATTAAACTTACTTGTACATAAGACATCTAAAGTCTGCATCTTGTAAAAAAGAAAGACGTGTAAAATGCAGATTCTTGGCCATGTATAATTCGTGGTTAGTTTTAAAGCAAAAGTCAAACGTTTTGTTGACTATTTTAACTTCTTCGTTACTTGCTAAGTTCTGTTATCCACTTTATTCTTCTTCTTCTTGGAAATGGCTCTCATGAAAGTAATGACGATTCTGGTTCTCTTCGTCTCGGTGTCATCGACCTTGGCGCAATCCAACAATGGCGGTCACATTTCGATACTCGTCTCGGAAACGGGTCTTGAATTCGCTAAAGATTACCTCATCAAGAAAGTGATCACTACGACGCTTCCGCTTCAGCTACCAGACATTGAGAATAAGGTTAAGATCCCTTTAATCGGGAAAGTTCGAATGGGTCTATCAAATATTCAGATTGAAGCAGTTCATGTCCAGTCTTCGAAGATCGAGACGGGAAAAGATGGAATTGTTTTGAGTGTTTCAGGTGCTACAGCAAATTTGAGCATGGACTGGTCTTATACTTACAGAGCTTCCTTCTTTGAGATTTCTGATCATGGAGATGCTTCTGTCGAGGTAAAACTCTGGAAAAGTTTTGTGCTTTTGAAGTGGGTTTTTGGTTTATGTTCTGAAACTATCGAAAACCAAATTGGGTCTTTTTAGTTCTGTTTGTGTTCATCTCATTTTCTCTTGTTCAGACATTGTTTAGCTTAACAGGTGAATGCTTCTGATGATGAAGGTTAAAGGAATGGATTTGAAAATCACTGCCGCTTTGGTTAATGATAATGGAAGTCTAAAGATTGTATCACGAGAAAATGATTGTACAGTGGAAAATATTGATATTCATATCAATGGTGGTGCTTCTTGGCTATATCAAGGGTATTATTAAATGTTACATAAGTTTTCGTATCTCTAATCTCTTATTCCAAGATTAGAAAGAAAAGATGAAGAAAGTTTATTTAGTTTTCTTTTTTGCAGGGTGGTTGATGCATTTCAAAAGATGATTATATCTACTGTTGAAAAAACTGTCTCTATTAAAATTGTAGAAAAGATGAAGAAGCTTGATTCGTTCTTGCAATCACTTCCAAAACAGAGAAAGATTGATGACTCTGCTGCAGTGAATCTCACTTTTACAGGCAACCCTGTCTTAGGGAATTCGTCGGTTGAAGTTGACATTAATGGTTTATTCTTGCCAAAGGGTGATGATATTAAAGTTTCAGGATCTCGTTCTTCTTCCTTCTTTGGTGGGGTTAAAAGAATGGTGACAATTTCAGTAGAAGAAGAAGTTTTCAACTCTGCAACACTTGTCTACTTCAATGTAAGTTCTCAAATCTTGATATAGACTGATTGATGAGTATGGTGGAACAAGAAAGTTTATAATCTTGTTGGATTGGTTTTGATCCAGGCTAAGGTGATGCGTTTAGTAATCGGGGAAACAAAGAACGGATCGATTCTAAGCACATCTGACTGGAAACTCATCCTTCCAGAGCTGTACAAACATTATCCAGATAATAAAATGGTGTTTAACATGTCAGTAACATCTCCTCCTGCTGTTAAAATCACAGAGAATGGAATTGATGCGACGATTCAGCTAGAGATAGCAATCGATGTTCAAGACTCCGGAGAAGTCCTATCCGTAGCACGCATTTCATCAGTATGCTAATTAATCCACAAAAAAAGTCTTAAGTTAAAGAAGCAATCCATAATCATTGGTACTTGGTTGCAGGTTTTGAATGTTGCATGTTCTGAAGAAATAACAAAGAACAATCTAACCGGTAGCCTCAGATTAAAAGATTTCAATGCAACAATGAAGATGAGTAAAATTGGAGAGTTTCAATCAAACTATGTTCAGGTAAGTTAGTTATATCTTGAGTTTAAGATTTATCTTAATTAGCATCAAAATGGTGGATATGTGTTCCTGTTTTTAGGCTGCTACGTCTAGGATTCTTGAAGCCCTGTTTTTGCCGTACGTAAACACACGCCTCAAGAGAGGATTCCCTTTGCCGATTCCGGGCGATTTCACGATAAATAACATAAAGATTGTCTATGTTAGAAGTGGCATTTCGGTGTGTACCGATATCGGCACTGGCACAAACCATTAAGCTATTATATAGCTTCTTGCATTGCATGTACGTAAGTTGGAAGAAAAATAATGACAACCATATTAATTTTGCATGAAAAAAGCGTTTCTCTTGTGCCACAACAGACTTAATCGAAGAATCAACCAAACAACAAAATGCGGAAAATGCATGAATCTAGTAAGATCTCACAGAATCATGACCAAACCCTAGAGAATCAGAGCAACCGACAGAAGATGAAAAATGCATAAAGAATCAAAAATTTCACAAGATCAGTAGCAACAACAGCATTTCACAGGATCAGTAGCAACAACAACTACATTGTAAAATGGACTATTCAAGTTGCATTGAACTTGGAACATAAGAGCACACAAGTGGTTGGAGATCTCTGTTTCGAGATTCTCCAAAATCCACTTCTTTAAAAGATCCATCCTCTCCAATGATGAAAGTTGCGTTACGCATCCCCATCATGTCTTTGCCTTTATTAAAAACCACAGCGATTTTCTTCTCCTCATCAATGAAGAAACTTGCACCACTAAACGAAAACATAAACCCTTTCCCGGTGAGAACTCTCATATCCACTGATAAGAAGAACTTGCTGCCCCACGACAACGTGTTGGGCTCAATCTTAGTTGTAACCCATATCTCCATTTGTAATGTATCCTCTCGTTGAAATAACACAGCAAGCTGTTCATCTCTAACAGTAGATAGACTCAGAGTATCTACAGGACACCACTCAAAGGGCAGAGGCAAACGCGGCCCAAATGTTTCTCTTGTGAAATCAAAAGAGATTAAGAAACTATGGTCTCCTTGGCTAGGGTTTTCTGAATACATCTTTTCAGCAAAGAAATATGCATTTCCCTTGAGAGAGACACCACCGCAATACCAACATATGTCCCAGTCTCGAGTAACATCAAGAACCCTCCATGAATCAGAGTTAAAGTCGTAGATTTTGAACTCAGGCAAAGCCAAAGAGAAAGGACCATGATATAAAATAAATCTCAAGATTTTGTGGGATTTGGTGTTGCTATTGTATCCCAGAGCAAACGAATAAAATTCCAATCTCTGATTATTATATGTGGCTTCGATCCACCGGGGTTGCCCACAATACGGATTAAAAACCACGAGCCTAGGGTTGTCTTTCAGGATGCATAACAACAAACCGTCACAGTGAAAGACTTGACGTACATAGATTTGATCTGAAGCGTCGAGGAAAATAAGTGTGCCTTGACGTTTTATGCATAATTCAACCTTGTCGTAGTGAAGATTTACGTGCATCAAGTAAACCCTAAAATCCATCATCATGACTACCATAAACTCCTTTTTCTTTGCTGCAGCTACTCTTGCTTGACCAAGGTGCTTCTTTGCAAAGCTCCTACGTTTGGACAAAGTGTTCCATGTTTTGCAAGTAGATCGAACTCTTCTCAGAGATGTCACCGGAACCACCTTAGAGAGCACCTCTTCCGCCAAATCCCTTGGAAGATCCGAAAAATCCTTTGGAAGATTGGACATTGAGAATGGTCGATGTAACCTTAGAAAAATCTTTTTTTTTTCCTCCGTACGTAAAGTTTACAAATTTCTTCCTTCCGCTTCTGCCTTTAAAATTGAGATGCATACATATATATATACGTGGCTGAGGGAGTTCGGTTTTTTACATGGGCCCCCACAACAGATTACACTATTAACTAAAATCTTTTTTAATGTGTCCCCTGAAATAAGCCATTATATTGAAGAATGTTTGTCCAACATCTAGCATCCTATATTATTATTTGGGGAGTACAATTTATGGATTACCCTTAATTAACCTTTCCATTTGTAAGAATTTACTTAAGAATGCCATTAGAAATAAAATTTTATAGAGTAAATTAATTCAACTCATTAAGGATAAACAAGTCAAATACTATTTTATGCAATTTAATTTTTTTAATTTAATTATAAAAACGAAAATCTATTATTAATTTCTTTAAAAAGAATGACCAATCAAAATGAACATATAAGATTTGATATCTAACTTACCATATTAATTTGTTATTAATCATTATACTTCACCTCTCATCTTTATATGATTCTATTTCTATAAATAAATAAATCATTATATCATCTATATAATAAAAAAAAAAGTAATTTTTTTTTCCGCATATACCAAGATTTGAATTTTTAAAAACGAATATAAAATATTCAATGTATGAAAGAACAAATTTAACGGGTCAAAAATTCATATTTGAGTAATATATTCCCCTTTTTTTTAATATCATCAATACTTAATATATCAAAAATTTATGAAGTATAAATACTCTAATTTGATTTTTTGAAACAAATATTTATAATAGGCGGCGGGTTGAATATAATATATTATATGATGAAATGAGTTATGATCCTTATAACTATTTGAATATTTATATTTAATTTCATATCATTTTTTTAAAATTCATAATTTTACATAATACAATAAATTTTTTAAAAGATTTTAATTTGGAACATTTTAAAATAGTTTAATTTAATATATTAAAGAATATCATAAATATTTAATATTAAAGAATATCATATATATTTAATAGATTTAATGTAATGTATTATATGGTAGAAAGTTATGATCCTTATAACAGACGGCATTTTAAGATTTTATGATGAGATGAGTTAAATAAGGTTTGACACTTCTAAATATTTGAAAATTTGATTCTGCAAGCAATTTTGAAAATAATAAATAATAGATTGTGCCGCAATATTTTTATACGGATTGTAAAATGAAAATATAGACTCCACACACGGATTGAATTTGGTATTATTATATACCAAATATATGTTCATAACATATTTGATTATGTGAATAATTGGTAAATTCCGTAATTAGCTCAAACAAATCTCTATTTCAACAACCAATGAATCAGAATTTGAAAAAATAATTTCTTAAATTAATTCAAAATAATAGCTAATTTTCTTAAGTAATTCAAAATAATCTACGTTTTAGATGCGATTCATTTATGATATTTTAATTTTTGATCTAACTAAATTATATGCACTCTTATTTTGTGGTTGTTAACATAAATTAACTCATTGTTCAAACAATATTTTTTTTTTTTTAAAAATAATCTTATTTTCCGTTTTCATATCTTAAAAAAATATACATAATTGAATACTATAGAAAAAGGAAAATATATTCATTCTAATATTATATATAGGGACTGACAAAAAAATATTATTTTTTCACTTACTATTATAATATATCACAACTTTATTCTAAAACATAAAATTTATAAATTTTGTAATAAATGAAATTTAACCCGTACTGTAGTACGGGTGATGATCTAGTACAATATACAATGTTAACAATATGTAGATGCGTTTGCATTTAAGTTTGGTTTTTGGAAAGGACGGAGGAAGAGATGTCTTGGGTAGAGTCAGATTCGGGTTTCACCGGAAGACGAAGAAGCGTTTGTACTATATCTCTTTAGTTCTTTGGCCACTTGCACCATATTTGGAACTTCACCTCTAAGACCGATGCATCTTTCTGAGAGGTTAAGGAAAACTTCCATTAGGCAACGCTCTTCCTCTGAAACCTCATCCATTTTCTTCAACATGTTTGGATCTATGATCTCATCCATTCTTCCCTCTCCCATGGATTTGGACAACCATTTTGGAACTTTGTTTTTTCCTCTCCAATTCTTCCAACCACAAAGCTCATCAAATCTTTCTTCTCCTATCAGAAGCTTTTGCATAAAAATTCCAAAGCCAAAAGCATCAGTTTTCTCCGACACTACTTTATTGAACAGATAATTATCGTCCATGTAATCGTAATCTCTTCCTGCCCAAGTAAGCTTGACAAATGTTTCTCCTTTTGGAATAGAGACACAATAAGACAAATCAATCAGTTTAGCAACACCATCTTCATCTAATAAGATATTCTTAAACCCCATATTCCTATACACAAAGGGCCTTGGGAACGCATTGTGAAGATAAGCTAAAGCAGTTGCAACCTCCTCTGCTATCTTCATTCTCCTTCTCCACGACACTACCACTTTGAGATCTATAGGAGAATATTGTTTCTCTTTACCATAATAAACCAGGACTGGATATTCAAACTCCAAACAACGTCATCCCACCAGTTTCATGAAGTTTTTGTGACCGCTAACCATCGATGATATGGCTATGTCTTTGGGAGGTCCTGAGCAAATGTCTCTAGGAGGGTTAGGACTTCTGCCTAACATCTTCTTAACGATAACCATGCGACGGCTATCAAGCGTACCAGAATACCATTTCCCTTGAAAAAGTAGTTCAGAAATACGACTACACTCGCAGACGTTTTGGCTTCTCTCAAGGATATTACACTTGCAGAAGTATCTTTCGGTGGCTTTGAGTATTTGATCAGCAGAGAAGAACTTGATGGGATTGGTTTTGCCATCGCAACATTGGATGAGCTCTTTTAAAAACATCTCCCCTCTCCTTTGGCCTCTGGCCAACCTCTCTTTTTTAACAACGGCTCGTGACATCTTCTTCTTCCACCAATCCATCTTAATTATAAAAAAAAAATGAAAAAATGTTAGGACTGACTTAGGATTTGATCATGTTAATATTTTGATTTGAATATAAAATGACCAAGGCTCAAGACTCACACTGAGTTGAAAAGGAAGAAGGAAGAACATGAAGTTGTTGTTACGTTGTTGAATAGTCCTTCCTCGAAAATTTCCTGACGATTGACATATTCCATGAAGATCTTTCACGGAAAACACTTAAAGGAAGAGTAAACAATTAATGACGATAAGTTATTAAGTAGTTAACCTGATGAAGGCAGAGCCGTGTCTCTCTTAGTGGCAAAAGGCCTTAAGCCACATTTATAGTTAAACATTTTGGGTCATGTTTTCAGTAATATTGTTAGTTGACTTTGTGTTGATGTAATCAAGTCTTTGATACGATGGTTTAAAATCTCATATCATGATATTAGACTTTTTTAGTATTTGGAACGTCGTGTTTTTTATATGCATTCCTAAGTAAAATTTGTTTGTACTCCTTTCATTATAAATGTAATAATGTAATCTGTGTATCTACCACAAACTATTTGGTTTCTACCATTTTTAAATGTTTCAAAAAATTTGTTCCTATATAAATTTATAAGTTCATATTTAAATATATGTCCAAATTTTGTGGAACAGAAATTTTGAAATTATCTTAAGACTTATATTTGGCAAATGATAGTTAATTAGTGATGTTACGCTAGAAGACATATGTATATTGACTCATTTTTCTTTGTTGACTTGACAAAGTCCTTGTAGCTAGTGTGCGATTTGGGTTATTGCTTATTTGTTATTTATTATGATGTTTATTATCTTCAACAGCGTAGCCAATGGTTTGTAAATGCAAATGCAAACGTGATTGTACCACTTTTTTAGATTAGACTTCCAATTTAAGTTTTTTTATTTTTTTCAATTTCAATTTGCGTTTACAATTAAAATGGCTAATAGTGTAGCTTCATCTGAAATAACAAATCATTTTTTAATTATAAACGTAAACACTAAACGTAGAGTTTAAATTTATAAACGCAACTGCAACTGCAAATAGCGTTTTGTAACGATTGCGTTGATGATTTATAAAACAACTTAAGGCCTGTTAAATATGGGCCCAACTTCCTAAATAACAAAAAATTATTCATATGACGCAAAAAAAGAGGAGAAAAAAATGATTTTGTATTATTATATCTCTGTAGAAAAAAAGTAAAGTCAAAAGATCCTCTCTCATCAATCTCTCCTCCGTCTCCTGCTTCGTGTATCGGTTTGTTAACATCACCACTCTGATTTCTCCATTTTTTTAAACCCGCGAAAACAATAATAAAATTAAAATGGCTTTTCTTCTGATTTTCTTTTCAAAATTTTAAACCTTTCTCTAACGATATGGAGATCTCCCTCCTTCCTTTCGTCTTCTGCTTCTAGGGTTTCTCTCCTCTTCTCTTCTCTTCTCGCTGAGGTTTTCAATGGATGTAGCGACCAGTAATGCTCTAATCAATCTTGAATCCGCCGCGACGAATTCGATGGTTGCCGACGATAGAGGAGAACCGCCTGCGAAAAAGCCACGTTTTGACGAGGAGCTGAATAGAGTGGCGGAGATTGTTTTGGTTCTATCGGCGTTAGGGAGGATGCGAGGTGGGGAAACTCCGACGGCGTTGGAACTCGACCTGATGTTTGAAGCTAGGTCGAAATTAGCTGGCATGTGTCAGGAATTTTACCCTAAGGATATTGTTCGTAAGGATGATGTTAGAGCTGTGATTGACGATTTGGGTTTGGATGGTAAGCCTAAAGACCAGCGATTAGGGTTCCGAGCTCCTAAGCTCCCCATCTCTGAGAGGCTATCTCTTGGGAAAAGAAAGGTAATGCCTTTTGCTACTTGTGGTCAATTGGCTATAGTTTTGGCAGCATTTTGGCCGTTTTCATCATTGTTTTGATTTAAATGTTGTCCAGATGGAAGAAGCTGAAAAGTATCCTACCTCTACTACTGTATCCAAAGGGTATGCATTGTCACAGCCAAACGGTAGTGCTGCATCTCCTGGTCTTGGTACGGCTACACATTCTGTCCCCATTTTGAAAAACCACCAAACCTCTATCTTCAGGCATCGTGACAGTTTCTTCACCCTTTTGTTTCTGCAGTGAATAAAGCTTCTATGGCTCATCCGTGGCCTAGTAGTGAAGTTGCTACTGCTAACACAAGCGGAAGCCATTTCAAATTGGAGAGACCTCAGATGATACTTAACGGTGCTTCTCAAGGGACTCGTAAGTCCTCATATCCCCCGGTTGTTTGGTGTAGATATTGATAAGATACTTTTGGCCGTTGATTTGGAAATTACAACACTCTTAGTTTGGCTAGGGTATTCTGGTTGGTTTGCTATTGCTTTATACAATAGGACTTATAAACTTAGTGAAGGTGATCATAACAGCCGTATACAGATAATTGACCAGTCACTAGGTTATTAGGCTTGTAGCTGAGTAACTAACCCTCATGCTTAGAATTAATTATACTTTTGGTGAATACTGTCATTTTCTTTTGCAAAGCTTACTTGTCATGTTAGCCTTTCTTTTTGGTTAGGTTCTATCTTGAGTTGCTAAATTTACATGTTATGTTTCTAGTTCTTTAATAGCTTTTTCATAGTTGATTTTGAGTTTGTTTCATATATTACTTGTTTCAGCAATTTCTTCCACAAATTATTATGCTGAACCCTGGTCTGCCCAACTTCCATCCACCATATCTTTCAGTACTGCACCAGATAAGAAGGTTCCTATTCAAAGTTCTGTCAGGGCAGCAGATCCAAGCTTTAGGCCATTCAGGCAAGGTACATTCGCAGGCACAAATCAGCCGATGCAGGGGCATTATAGTCAGACTTCTTCGTTTGGAAACAACCATAGTGAAATTGCTAAGATAATCCATAAATTTCTGCAACCACGGGTTAAACAATATCCTTTGTGGAATCCACCTTCAAGAGAGTATATGAGCAGGGCAATGCCATGCCAGATGTGTGATGTTACCATCAATGAAATGGACACTCTACTGATTTGTGATGCCTGTGAAAAAGCATACCACTTGAAATGTCTGCAAGGAAACAATATGAAAGGTGTTCCAAAATCTGAATGGCATTGCTCAAGATGTGTGCAAGCATTCAATGGGAAGCCATTTCCTCCTACATATGGGCGTGCGACTCGTGCCGTACCTACGACTACAGCAAAAATGCCTTTTAGGGCAGTTGGAGTTCTATCATCCTCAGCGAAGAAGATTGGATCGATGGATATTAAGGGTAATCAACAAAAACCAATTGTAACTACGTTTTCCAGAGTGCAAAATATTCCTGGCTTGGTTTCTGGAGCAGCAACTACATCTCGTTTTGAGTCTGCTAGTGTAAATGCAAATACAACTGCAAGCACAGCAAAGACTACTAACATTGGATCACAAGGCTTTAAGGAAAGTGTTATTTGTGGAGCTAATTCTCCAGCACTTGTATCGCTTACTGAGACTCCAAATCGTACAGCACTTGCAAGTACAAGTTCCGTGATAAACAATGGCCTCATTTCGAAACCTTTAACACCAGTTAGCACTATGAGCAGCACTTCTCCATTGCATGTTGGTAACCAAGTTCCCGTGAATGCAACCTCAAATGCTAGTCCGAGTACACCAATAACTGCTAGCCTTGTAGCACCACCCCCGACAGTTACCCAAAATGGAGACAGCAGCTCAACCGCCTCTGGGACTGCTGACCATTCTATATCGAATGCGGACATTACCCCTCAAGTTCATACATTGACTGTTACTTCCAGTAGCAATTTTCAACCGGCAGTGTCACATTCTGAGATTGCAAACCAAGTTCCCGTGAATGCAACCTCAAATGCTAGTCCGAGTACACCAATAACTGCTAGCCTTGTAGCACCACCCCCGACAGTTACCCAAAATGGAGACAGCAGCTCAACCGCCTCTGGGACTGCTGACCATTCTATATCGAATGCGGACATTACCCCTCAAGTTCATACATTGACTGTTACTTCCAGTAGCAATTTTCAACCGGCAGTGTCACATTCTGAGATTGCAAAAGCAACTGAAGATGCAGCTCCTACTGAAAATATTCCTGAGTGTGAGAATCAATCAGAGTCTACATCTCATTCAGACTCTGTGAATGATAAAACAACATCAGATATTGGTCAAGAATCAAGCAAGGATGCTAAAGTTGCTTCTGAAACTTGCGAGAACCACCCTACCAAATCTCCAGCCACAGTTGTATCAGATCAGGACACAAAGATCACTGCCGAACTATCCATGCCACAAGAGAATTCAGCTTTCCAGACAGAGAAAACAGCGTCTCAGCCACTTTCGGTGTCATCTAACTATGATTCACAAACCGAGAAGGTTACACCAAGTGTCCAAGATTCTTTACAGAATGTTCCGGGAGATTCACAGGAGGGAAAAATGTTAGATGGTTTAGATGATAGACATCAGGAACAGCCTTCTGAGCCGGAGTTGTATAAGTCAGATTCGATAAAGGAAGCAAATGATGCCTAAAAGTTTTGAGCATTCACCTTGGGATTACTTCACCAGCGATTATCGTCTTCTCTCTCCCTTTGGTCCTCAATGGTTTATATATCTCATTTGTTAAGTGAAACCAGTCAGATTCAAAACATTGAAGCTGTGGATGAACTTGTCATAGCTTGTGAGTGAAGACAATGACGATTTGATATAACATGTTACATGGGTTTAGGGCATCTTTGATCTAACTCTGTGAAGGCCGAAGGGAACTGTAATAGAATTTTTTTTTTTTTTTTTTTTCATCCAACTGTAATAGAATCTTGATTCAGGTTTTGCAACTTATGAAATAAAATGATTTTTCTTATTCAGTATAAACTGTTTTGGATCCTACAACATGATTCAAGTGCTATGTTACATTTCAATCGTTTCATTGGAATCTGATTGTCCTTGGTATCCAGAAAATAATGTATACTTTGGAAGTAGTGGAGTATTATAGGAAACAATTAGACTTGTTTGGCATGTTTCCTGTAACAAATATTCAAGAATACACCAATAAACCAAACAACTAAACAAAAATTAATTTGATGCTTACAATATATACAGATTTATATATATTGAAAAGGGGAAAATCACATTTTTAACCCTCAAAGTGTAACTGGGTAGCACTTTAAACCTCGAAAGAATTCTACTAACACTATAAACCACCAAGATTATATTATTGACACTTTAAACCTCCAAATTAGTTTTTCTGTTTGCAAAACCATAAAAGATGATGGAACAATCAGTTTATGTTTGTTTAATATATATTTATTTAATTTAATTTAAATTTTAATTAATTTTATTATTTATTACGATTTTGACGATAAATAAAAAAAGTTAAAAAAAAAAGTCATCATCTTCGACTATTCACCGTCCGACCACAATTTTTCAGATTTTTATTTCGTTTATTGTATGTGTTCACCATCTTTTTATTCAATTGGTATTATGAGATTCCAATTTATCCAGTGGAGAGAGTGAAAACGCTTATGGATCATTTTAAAAGATTTTTTCAACAGTTTATAAAAAAAATTCATGGTCGGATAGTGAGTAAACGAAGAACACAAAGTTTTTTTTTGTTTTTATAAAATTTTATTAATTGTAATAAACAATAAAATTCATTAAAATTTAAATTAAATTAAATAAATATATATTAAATAAACATAAATTGATTGTTTCATCATCTTTTATGGATTTGCAAACAGAAAAGTTAGTTTGGAGGTTTAAAGTGTTAGTAAAACAACCTTGGTGGTTTATAGTGTTCGTAGAATTCTTTCGAGGTTTAAAGTGCTACCCAGTTACACTTTGAGGGTTAAAAATGTGATTTTCCCTATTGAAAAGGTATCATTTTAGACTTGATATTGTAGTAATACTTTTGGTTTGGGAATTGTGATACATATAAGCCAATTATCAAGTCAGCACTCTTTATTTGTCTTTATTGTCTACAAGTCTTGTAAGAATACAAATGTGCATTGATGCTCACAACTCACAAGTCACAAGGGCTAGGCCAAAAGTGAATGTATATAGGATTATACAGCAACCACAGAGATAAGAGGGATGAAAATATTAATCATAAGGGTTTCTGAAACTTTTCAAGAGCTCTGGAATGTCATACCCCAACATATCATCAACAGTCTGCAACATTTTCGGCTTTAGCTTCTCAAACTTGTCGATGTTGTAACCACTTAGCACCTCCCTGAAATGATCCACATTTGGGAAATCTCCTTTTGGTAAGTGATGCTCTCTTTGTACCTGTTTTCATGTCACCCACAAAATTGAAACACATATTAGCATGAAATATTCTCGGAATCAGAACCGGCGTACTGAAATGATCCGCAGAATCAAACCAATTACCAACCTTTCCAAACTCGTCTTCCAAGTTATCTATCAGTTTCTGTTGAGCTTTGGCTTTCCCCATTATCGCTGGCATCTCCTTCTTCAAATGGCTGATGATGTACGCATGTATCTTTGCTGCTCTTGCCCGTTTCACAAACTCATTTATCTATTAGACAGAAAAAATATGGTTAAATCCAATCAGAGGGGAGGGAATGAAGGAAGAAAGGTGCACACTCACTCGGCGATCACAAGCTTTCTTTGGAATGTCTTTCAAATCAGCAAGAAGGTCATCTTGCTCCTTTTCAAACAACTCTCTCCCAATTGGACCAGTTGCAGCTTCGTTTATGGGTTTATCACTAAACGAACTGTTCAAAGCAAGAAACAAGGACATCAAAACATAAATTTTAGTTTCAAACCGCTTTTATATAAGCCAAACACTGCCACAAGTTGAAGAAACAGGTATGCTTACCCAATGTAGACACGGGAGACCTCAGGAGTATTGAGAACTTTCCCAAGTGACCACATGAGAGCACCATATACCCTCATTAGCTATACAAGATAAGGAAAAAGACATGTAAATGTATAAGAACATGGAAAACAATCCAAGAAGTGTGTGAAAGAAGGAACGAAATAGAATCGATAACAGATCAGGGCGTCAATGGTCAACCTGCTGAGTGTCCACTTGATCAGCCTTATTCAGAACAACGCGGATCTTGTCATCATGACCGCGTAAAGATGAAATTACACGCTTGAACTCATCACTTACATCCAGCTTGTGTGGGTCAAATAGGAGGAGGATAAGATCGCACTTAGAGGCAAACCATGATGTAACACCAGTGAAATCATATGCTCGCTGTGTTCTTTGCTTTTCCCCAGATAAAACTCCAGGGGTGTCGACAAATGTTACATGCTCCAGCAGCTTAAACAAAGATGAATGGATCAACAATTATCAGCAAATCAATACAGGCAAAAACAATGAACAATCTCCTGTCAGAAGCATGAGGTTAAACATACAGGGTGAGGCATCTGAGAGCATTCAAACTTTGACAAAAAGGCAGTCCCAAAAGTTGTAAGACCACTGAATGGCATATCTGCTTGAACTGCTACTGTGTTCCCCGGAATGCTTCTTTCATCAGGTCCAGACTGTGAAACACATTGAACAGATAGACGTCACCCTTCACAAGAGGTGAAAATGAAGTAATCTAGCTACCATTGTCAACTACATAATTGACACTTAAAATGTGTATTATTCAACACAAAAACCAAATGTTTAGCAGAAGATGATGGATCAACGTGTTGAAGGACTAACACATCCTTCCACAAATCAAAACCCATGGAAAATTACAAATTAACATACCATGACAACAACAAATCTGTCAGTAGTCGGTTCTGGTCCAATATGAGCTCCTGGAAAATATGATAATTGAAGTAATAAGAAGCTGTTTTATGGTTAATCATTGATTGTATCTCCTTTTAAACATCGAAACTAGTTAGGTCCCAGAAGGAGAAGAAGAGAGGATAAGAAGGATAACTTGCCTGGATAACTAGCTTTAAGCAAATGCTTAATGAATGTTGTCTTTCCTGTGGAGTACTGACCCAGAAGCATTACCATAGGTTTCGCATCAAAATCACTGTTAGTCTAAGAAAAACACAAGTATTTAGTTCAATGGTCAAATATAGCTCAGAACTCAATAGTATTTGGAACTTAAATAACGCCATAAGAGTACCAATAAGCAATGCCCAACTCACCAACAAAGGGGATACAAAATCGTTAAACCGATATGCTACTTCAAGTGGCTTCAGCTTCTGAATGTACAACCTCTTCAGGCCATCCACTATAGATGTTACAGAGGACAGAGAAATCTGAGAACAAGAATATCAGTTTCCAGAAACGATAGATGTAAACTAACTATATCTTAGCAGCTGAGAAAAACTTGACAGGAACTGTACCAATGACCTTTTTGAATACATAACAAAGATATAGGTAAGAGCAACCAAAAGGATCCTTTACTAAATATGGCAATAATTGGTTGGTGGTTAGATAGACTGCTTGGGGCAAAACAAACCTTTTTTGAAGATTTTGAAGAGAACCACTGAGCTGTAAGTGAAGTGTCTGCGGCAGGGCTACCTGAAAAATTGAATCAAATGAGATATATAATTACACAAGTAAACAGTTGGCTCTATAGTAAGAAGAGATTCTTTGTACCATTCATATTAGGATCACTCGATTTTGATGAATGCTTCTTCTTCTGTAATAATAAATGAACAGTTGTAAGTAAAATTTTATTTGAACTCGGAAGATATTATATGAAAATTACAGGCCCAATACTAACCGCCATTAATACACCCAGACCTTCCATGGTAGGAGGACTGATATTTTTGAAATCAACTGCAGTCAGCCAAAAATGTTGCAGAAACAAGAACAATATATTAGCAGGTATCATACAGTGAAGAAATTGAGATGAAGACAGCACTTAAGCATGAGTTGGAAAACTAAAAGAAAATGGATTCACAATTTATTCACTTTACCATCGCTATTAAGAATTTCATGCGATATTTCATGTCCAGTTTGAGCCAGCGCAACAAGCTATAATGTTGGAAAAATAACAACATATTAGATTCCCAGGGAGACATAAACATGTAAATGTGAGATATAGACTGGATCTCAACCTGCATGGCAACAATAAAGTCTTTGAAACCAAGATACCCTTGTCTCTTTGAATCTGCAATTGCCCAGATCTATCAACAAACCAGAAGAGAAGCAGCATAAGCTTCACAGTTAGCACCTCTTAGACAACTTAACTGAATCAACGAAAGGCTTCAATGCTTTGCAAAGTGACCAATTAAACACAATGATATCATAAAGCCTAAAAAAATCTACGAACATAACTCTGCGGACAGCATGATCGCAAGGGCTTGTTATTTGAGATAAAGGGTATTTCTAACTCCAATAAAGCTATAACCCTTGGCTTCAGAACTCAAAACAATTCAAGCAATCACCTATGTGTTTCCTCTTAATATTGATTCTAACTCATTATATAACTCCATCCCCAAATGAACTTGTTCAATCAATACAGTGGCCATTAATAAGGTTCCACAAGTACGCAACGCAATAAATTCAACACAAAATCCTTACCTGCTTCAACTCCGGTCGAGGCAAATTCGACATAGTGAAGAACTTGATCGCATCGTTACCAGTAATACGGCCATCGCCGTCTGCTCATTTACACAAAACAGATAAGAAGCTCTTAGCGCATATAGTAAGACGAAAATCGAAGACTGAAGAAGCGCACTGCCAGAATCAAAAAAAACAAAAAAAAAAAAGACTACATGAAATGAGACCTGAATCGGCGAATTCGAACCATTCCTTGTAGATCATTTGATTCTCTTTGGAACAAGAACCAGCTGCGACGGATTCGATCTCCATCTCCGATTACAAAAATCTGAAGATGAGCAGATTAACAAACTTCTCAGGTGTGAATCCAGATTTGAGAATTTGCAGATATTGAACTTATACCGGAGAAGAAGAAAAGGTAAGCGAAAAAAAAAAAAATTGGTTTTGTAAACGTGAAATTACGGTTTCAGAGAAAGCGGGTTCTTCGTCTCGACGGCAAGGGAGGGGAAACAAGAATTAGCAATGCAAGAAACTGCCCATATTTTCAAAATCTTACACATATGCCCCAAAACTGCTGATTTATCGTAATAACCCCTATTATGTAGTAGATTTTGCTGCGTCGTCTCAATTATTGCTAGAGGATTTTGATAGCTACATGTCAAGGACAAGGAGCAATAAAGAGGTTGAAGAACAGATTGGTTCCTTGGATAAGTGATGAACTTACTTTTTGTCAATTTGGTAAATACTTTTATGTCTCAACATGGTAAAATATTTTGTTTGTCAACAAGGTAAGACTTTAGATTTTAATAGATTGATTGATAGATTCTACATTAAAATGAAGGGATCTGTTAGACCAAAAAATGTCAGAGTAATTAAGTAAAAGGCTATGGAAAAAAGGGAAATAAATGAATGGCAAAAAGCAAATTAAATATTTCAAATAGTCTAATTTATTTGTTTCTTAACTAGTATGGAATATGGATAATTGTTTTTTTTTATGTGTACATCCTGACTCGTATATCCGAGAAATAGCGGCGTAACGGAATAACTGAATAGTTAACGGAAATAACTAAACTGGATTAAATTTTGGTAAAATGATTACAAAACGCTAAAAAACTAATTTTAGTATATTCGTCATGTTTACTTTTTTATTATATATTTTAACATTTTTTTGTTAAATATATTTTAACATGTTATTAGTTGTATACAGCGGAATTACTTTTTTTTAAAAAAAGGTAAAAAAGTAAGAATTTGATTAATATTGTGAATAGTAAAAATAGTGAAACGTGAAAAAGGTTAACAAATGGTATACTATTCCTCCTATATGTTATATGTTGGGATTTGGAACCATATTTAAATAACTTTTGCAAGTTTGAACAGTCGGCTGCCAAAATTTACAAACCAGAGTTCTATTAAGTAATGGAAACAGATGGTTTAATTGATTTAGAAAATGCCATATAAAAATGTTAAATATAACAACTTCAAAATCACAACACGAAGATGGAACAAGAGTAGAAATCACAAAGACAATAGGAGCTTTTATAAGGCTAATCTAATTTACTGTAAGATCACTCGTTGAACACATGAAATCTATTACAAAATCGACTTGTTAAAGAACAAATAAGAAGATTTACAGTGATACAAAATGAGAAATTGTTATTATACATAGAGCCTCGGCATATACATATACCAACATCATCCAACAAGGGAGCCAAAACTTTGAGAGCTTTAATGATCCAAAGAATGCTTCAAGAAATTCCAATGGTCTTACCAAGTAACCAGAGAACAAGCGACATTTCGATACCAAAGATTGTATGGAGAGTACTTCTATCAAGTGTAAACCCAAACACCGTGATTCCTGCTCTATTGTTCTCAAAGTAATTAACTGCAAAATACAACAAAAAATTGTGAAGATGAGTAGAGATATAACTAAAGATGTGAAGATATGGGATTTGGTGTGGATGCAGGGGAATATATTTACATACCTAGAGCTTGCCGTTTTTGGAATGATATGGTGCTATAAGCATACGCAGGAATGAGATTGTTGTTATCGAAATCATCTTCTTCGTCTCCATAATCTTCACTGTCTGATTCTCCATTATCATCATCTGTTGGATAGTATCCGTGTCCGCTTGCTCTATCAACTAACCTTGGAGTCTCTCCATCTACTGTCTCAAAGGATTCTATTGTCGCGCAGACATGCCACTTGGCTGCAAGACAAGTCACCGCCTGAGCCTTGTGTGTGATCTTTGAGGCACTTCGTAGTAGAATGAGCAGCGCGGTGACCAGCGTCATTGAACATAGCTGAGATAAGCACAAGAAAACAAAAAAGAGTAAGCAAAAAATTTCATCAAGAACCAATAGAAAGTAAAACAGAACTTACTGCTAGTTCTCCAGCTCTGTAGATATTCAATTCAGCATAGGCCTTAGTGGTAATAAGCAGAGAGTAAAACTGACTTCCAGTGACAAGAATCAAGGACAACAATATAAAGGTTCGGTATCTGTGGCTGATGATTCTCAGGTGACGTCTGATGCGAAGATGTTCAGACAAGATGGAACCAACATCTGAATCCATCTGGAAAACCTGAGCAAAGTCTTGCAGCCTAAGGATCTGAAGATGGCAGATAAGACGGAAGAGGACACAAACCAGGAAGATCACGGTAGTACGGTACAACCACGAGCAGAGTTCCATCAAACAAGCGACTGTATCACTCAAGATAACATTACCAAGGAAAGGAATCTGAGAAGCTCCTGAAGCATACCACCATATCTTATAAGAGCTCATCGCTAGGAAACAAGGAGTGACGAAGTAGGAGAGAATCTTAAGCGATCTCTGCAAAACAAAAAGTTGGGATTTCAAAACATTGTAATGCTTGTGTAGCAAGTAAAAAGACGATTTTCAAGATTTAAACACCATCACCGAAGCTTTATGTGAATCCTAAGATTTCTTGCTTCTGGATTGAGATTCAATGAGGGTTTTAAACCTTTTAACTTCAAGATTGTTAATTTGATCTACTCATAGAACGACAAAGATCTGGAATGATCCAAAATTTCGACAGAACACGACAGATTCAAACATTGTCGGAAAAAGCCAAAATCATTTTAATCGTAGGCCCTCAGAATCCCCAAAATCTAAGGATTCCACCGAATAATCGAGAAGCGCAAATTCAAATTGAAAACGAGAAACGAAGCAAGAACAAACCTCAGATTTCAAGAAAACCAAATCAAGAATGCGAAATTCGAAACGGAATTAGGAAAATGGAAACAAAAACTCACATTGAGCTGATTGGTGTAGCCTCGACGAACCGTCTCGCTCTCATCCCAAAGCTTATCGAAGAATAGGAAACGTCGGAGACCATACTTGCTAACGAATCTGGAGAGACATAGAAACGAAAGAGCAGCGAAACTGCTAAGAGAAAGCTGGACAACGGAATCGTAGGGCCTCGAGTGATGGCTATCGCAGTCAGCACAAGCGAGCATGAAGTGAGACGTGGCAGGAACAACGAGCGTGAAAACAACAAACATAGACCAAGAGAGAACCGCGGTCCAAGGACTCGACTGATCCACGCACATCCATCGCAGATATTTCCGGAAACTCTGGAGCTCGTCTTGTGCGTGAGATACGCTACGTGTAAACTTGGTCTCTCGGTTTATTAGACGTTCTCGTGTTCCTCTTCCGTCGTTTCCTCCTGTTGTTGCTGCGGTTCCGATGTCGATGTCCGCCATGGACGATCGCTCGGGAAAATGAGAAATTAGCGGAGAGGCTCTGTTTTTTTTTTTTTTTTTGCCAAATATAAATTGATGACGCGGTTGGAACAAGGAGACAATCAGGAATGGCTAAAATTGTCTTAAGGTTATTTATAAAGGATCGATGTTAACGTGGATTTGACAACCGTATTAACATAAATAAATTGAGTGTATAAATATTTTCTTTTTTTTTTGAATGTAATGTTAAATTGAGTGTATAAATATTTCGTATGAAGATGTATATGTTTTGTATCTTATTGGTTCTGTTTTATTCGAATATTTACATTTTCAAAAATACAAGTTACTTGGGGTTTCTCTACTCTATGATTTTAGAGTTATTCATGAGGGGATATCTGAAAAGATAGAGTAGAATTTGGGGATTAAGTGGAGACGAAATTGTGCACTTCCATTGTAAGAGAGATTTTTCATTCACGATAAAACAAAAAGGAAAGTAGATTTTGTGTTCATGCGACAACCATGATTTCACAATCACGGGGTCTATCTACTTGCTAATAAAGTATTTTCATCATTAAATCATAGATTTTATTTCTGTTTATATACCTTAATAACATGTAAATTAGTGTATCTCATGATTTTTTTTTTTAGGTATGAAATTCATGGAATTATCTGTAAAGAACGTTTTACTAGTATATTACAGATTTAATATACTAATTACTAAGTATTCTTTTCTCGAAAAACAAAAATTACATATTGATATATTATCCATATTTCGGCGGAAATAGGTTTACGTGGCAATGAAAATATATTAGAAAAAAACATATGAAAGAGGCAAAAATTAAAATAAATAAAACGATGCTGGTGAAGTGAACACAGGCTGTAGAATGGGTCCCACAGTGACATGTGATGTGTAAAATTTAGGCCGTAGATTACGCATATCTCCGTACTTACGGCGCCACGTATGTTGCTAATCTAATTATAATTACCATTATTATTGATTTGATGTCTTCTTATAAAAAAAAAAAAAACCTAAGATAATTAGACCATGTACATGGGTGATACTTTTAGAGTATCACAAGCCCAGAAATTATTTTTATATTGACAAAACAATTAGAATTGGCATGATTAGTATCAATCCAGTGATACTTTTGATACCAGTATCATCTGACGTGGCATCTCCTGATTGGTCGCGTTTACCAAAAGTAGGAGAAAACAATAAAAAAACATTAAACAAATATTATAAATAATACTAAAAAATTTTTAATGATACTTTATGAGTATCACCCATGACCATGCTCTTAGAACAACTATTAAACTCTCATTTTCTCCGTCTTAATTTTTAATTAAAGGATTACTTAAAGAATTTTAGATCCCCGGCGGCATGTCTTGAGTTTATTGGAAGGATGAGAATATAAAGTTTAAAGATTTTGATGATTAATCGAAATGAGTATTAAGTTGTCGATTATTCGAATAAATCATGGGTTTGGTTTTATTACTTGTGACCTTATGAGTGGCTGCCTATGTATTCATCATTTCATCTCTATGCCCTCACGACTTTGAGAATATTTCATTATTCCATTTACTATACGATAAATGTTGTTACATCTCTTAATCAAATGTTGAGTCATTTGATTTAATTTGTTTTATTTGTTTGTTTGTTTGTTGAAGAATCGAAACTTACAAAATAAATTTTGATGTTTGCTCTATTTAAATTTACAAGCAACTATAGTTTTGATTTAAAGTTTTAAACCTTCATTCTTGTAGATTCAAATTTTCCTTCTTGTAAGTTTTAAATTTACTCCTTTTTTTAGTTTTTTGAATAGTTTTTTTTTATGTTAGTTTCTTAATTTATAATTTTTGTAGGTTATGCATTCAAATTTTCCTTCTATTTATTATATATTACGAGAAAAAAAATGCATTTAGTTTTTTTTTTTTTTTTTTTTTTGGTAAAAAAAATGCATTTAGTTCTTAGTAGTAGAAACGAATAACATGTCACAATGATTGATTTCCTTTGCTAATTAAAGAGTATAGAACACATAAGAAAACAAAAATCATGTCAAGAGCAACATTATTTTTTTTTTAATCATGTTAAAGTTTCCTAGTAAAATGGTAAATTTTAATGGTATATATTAATGCTTCGTATTCAGGATTCACCATAGTTGAGTAGTTGGTTTGCAACATTTGATTGCTTTTGTTTATTTTAATCATTTAATGTAATTTGTCCTAAATTCAAAGAGAATTTAATTTAGTATATAAAAAGTAAACCACGTCTTTACACGTTTTTAAATGTAGAACAAACGTGTATTCACCCAGTTTGTTCTAAAGTCTCTGTAATTACTTGAAATTCAAGATTGATCATTCTTTATTAGCCTCCACTATATAAAAGAGTTTCAAGAACTATCCAACCACAGCTTTCTTGATTTGGTCAAACCTCAAAATATATTCTTTTGTTATCTTTCTTTTTCTTAACTTTTTATTTAAATTCCATATGTACAATGTAGATTGTTATAACTTGATGAGTCAAGAAATTTAAAAAGCTGTGGTTACATAACAGATAATAAATAATGAGAGAACAAATCAAGAAATTTAACGATCAAATTTCAAATAATCTCTATAGAATAAACAAAATAAATTCAGTCGGCGAATCTTCAAATTTCAAAACGTTTATATACACACAAGATACACAACTTCCTCGATAAAGAAAAACAAAATGCAAAGTGAGTGGTTTGGTTGAAGTGGTTGTCTTGTGAATTGCGATTTTTTTTTTTATTAAATTCGTAGAAAATTTTAAGTAGTTTAGAAGAATGGAAAATGGACCAGCACAAGCTTTTGTGGGCTGATACAGATAAACACGTTGAGTTAGGAAGACGCAAACCGGTAATCTACTTCTAATCAATTAATTTCAATGAGTATTTCAGGCGTTTATTATAACTCAAAAGTCTTGTTTTCCGACAATTAATCTTTTGAGTGATTAAGATGAAAATAAGAGAACTATGACGACAAGCCAAACTCTTTTGTATGTTTGGAAAGAGAATAGAACAAGCCTAGCTAATTCGTGAACTTATTATTTTCTTCTTAGATTGATGATTTTATAATTATCACCATACACTCCTATTTAGACTAGTGATGGCCAGGTGCCCGATTCCTATTTTATATTACTCTCTAATCATTCTCCATTTGTCTAGTTAACCTTTAGCCATTTCCCATGTTAATCTTTTTTGACCCTTCTTTTTCTCCTTAATTCAAGAATACTGGAGTACTATCTAAGCCATTCCATTGTCTAGTGATGAATCCATTTGTCTCAACAATTTTCAGATTCTTCATTTTTTCCTTAATTCTAGAACTATCTTCAATAACTATAGATTAGACCAATTTGTCTCATAATCTACTCCGCAGAGAGCAACTTAGAATCATTTGGAGAGAAACTATCATTTCAAAGTTTTAACAACTCAATCCTCGAAAGGTTGCAAAAGTAAAAGTATCATTGTGGATTATTCTTAACTCCAGAAAAATTACAAGATTAATCTCAAATAGGAATTCGAACCGAAAAAGGAAAAGCAACTTGAGATTAGTTAAAGTCATAAATCGTTAAGAGTAAAAAAACAAGACATTTCTTTTGACTTCCACTTTAACTTAAGAAGAAGCCTACCCAAAACGGTAAAAAAAGCTCGGTTTTGCTTCAGACACAAAGATTCACTGTCTGAATCCGTGGCAGAGAAGCAAAGTAGATACCAAATTTGGGACAAGTCTCTACCAGCAAATTCAAATCAAAAAGGTCAAACACACAAGGAAATTTGCCACCCCAAGCCACAGCTCTTAAAGATCAAAACAATCATCTCAGCCACCAAACTTTAACCTAAAGATTTGGCCTTTGCTCATTGAGATTTATCGATCACACCCAAATCACTCACCGCCCATTGACCATGCCCTTAATCTCTCTGTTGTTTAACATCCAAACGTCGATACACGAAAGGGAAAGCTTCCCTTTCTTGTCTCCTTGCTGCATCTAAAATGATGAATGAAAACTTCATGCTTAACAATGACAATGAGTATTCCAACTTCTCTCTTCGAATCACCCAAATTACTTCCCCATTTAGATAGCAAAAGAGCTTCACCGTCTTTCTTTCTTCAATTTTTTTCCACAAGATGTTTAGCTTCCATCTCACAGACCCTGAAGTAATCAAGATGAAGCCAAGAGACGAGAAACAAAACAAATAGTTGTGCCCTGTGTGGTTCTGTTACATAATATGTAAATGCAGCTTCCTACTCACATCAGGGGATACTCTAAGAAGAAGTAGAAATCTAAAGATTATGGATTTGAATCATTTAGAAATCATCATCAGCTTCAGAACGTTATATATATGTAACAAAGGGTTGATCTTTTTTATAAGAAACAGATAAATGAAACCCAGATCTGGTTCTTACAGTAACAGATCTTAACACACTCTCTCTCTCTTTTTTTAATCGTCATCATCTTCGTTGATGATAAAAATCATCACGCTCAATCTTTTTTTTTGTTCTTCCTTTTTTTTTTCTTTCAATATGATATCAAAGGAAAATGGAAAAAAAAAAAAGGAGCATAAAATTTTCATTTTGTAAAATTTGTGTAAATCAACGGATCTTGTTGGGTTTTTTTTTTTTTTTTACCACGAAATCAGAGACGTAGATCGGTACAGTGGAGATCATCTGTCCCGCCAGCGAATAAGTCAACGCCATCCAACGGCGGGAAATTAAGATCAAACTGAAACGGCGGTTTCCGGCGCGAAGACGAAGATGCTATATCATCTCCGTCGTCAATAACCGACGACGAAGAATCGCAATCGCTATGACAATCCTCCGGGGCCACCGGTGGAGTCCTCGGATATCTCTTTATCGCATGTAACGGTTTCGCCACCGACGAAGACGCCGCCGCGGCTTCCATCGGTCTCGGTCCGCTACACGATTTGATGGTACTGCTCATGCTGCTACTCGCCGGCCGACTAATAATCTGTTGCTGCTCCTGGAAACTACCTCCTCCGTATAACCGATGGTCCATAAACGGATCGATCTGGTTCTGATTCGCCGCAGGAGAACAGAGGTTCTGATTCTGATTCTGATTCTGTAGGTAGTTGAGAGGTTGGAGAGGAGAAGAAGGAGAGCAATCGATCGGGAAATTGGTCTTAGCCTTTGGACCACGGAGGTTACGTGCGGCGGTATCGTAAGCGCGTGCAGCTTCTATGGCGGAATCGAAAGTACCGAGCCAAACACGAGACTTCTTTAATGGATCACGGATCTCAGCCGCGAATCGACCCCAAGGTCTCTTCCTAACGCCTCTATACCTCGGCTCCTTCACAGATCCACCGGCGGTTACTGGAAGGGCGGGTCCAACGACGGAAGAGCCTCTCCCTTTCCTCATGGAGAAGAAAAAAGGTGTAAAACCAGAAGTAATGTGATGAAGAAGAGATCTGTGTGTGTTTGTGTGAAGAAGAGAAGAAAATGTTGAAGAAAGAGGAAAGATGAGGAAGAAGATGAAGAAACAAAGGGTAGAGATTGGAAAAATATTAAAATTCTCTTTTTTAAAAAATAAAAAATAAATTAATTTACTCAAAGAATTTTCATTTTTTTGTAATAATAATAATTTATGGTTGGAATAGCTTTTTCTCTTTTTTTTTTTTTTTTTTTTGCCAGTCAAACACCATATATTAATTCACGGAATAAGACTCTCTTCTAGAGAGAGCCAATCAGGTACCGTCGAACTTACATGGGAAAAACAGAACCCGCGATTTCTTGCACATTTCGCAAGATAGTCGGCGGAGGTATTACCACTACGAGGGATATGCTTAAGACTAAAAGTAGTAAAACGATCCCTGTAATTGTAATATGTAAAGTCTTTCAATTCTGTAGAAAACGTAGGCCACTCTTCAGGAGCACATGTCATAGCCAAAAGGTCAGAACAATCCGTCTGAATGAGGATACTCGTCATTGGGATCGCCAATAAGCACTTCATCGTCCATATGAGAGTATCCAGCTCTGCATGAAGGGGAGAAAGACTTCTACGCGAGCTTTTTCTCTTTTTTTGTTGTTGTTAATTTCGATTTTTTCTCTACCTTCACGCCCGACCCACAAGACCGACCAATTCGTTTTTTGTTTAAATTTAATTATGGAGTATCATTTTCTTAACTTGGATTCTTTTTTCTTTTGCTTTAAACTTTTTATTCGATGTATTGTATGGAAAAAAAAACAAAAACTGAAAAATATTTAAAAGAGTTCACAAGAGATGTCTCGAAATGCGAAGAAAGTAAAAGAGGGTAAGCACTTGCACTCTCTGTCCTGACCCTGACCATATAATAAAATCTTAAGTCTTATTTGTTTATTATTAAAATGTACCTAGAGACCAAATAGTCCACTTGTAATGACCAAAAACACCCTCCGAATATTTTATTTTATTTCATTTGAATTAATTTATTTAAATAATAGTACTCCGTCTGGAAATTATTATTAGTGAGTGAGGAGGTCTTCTTCTCCTTCCTTGGGACCCTACACGAAAACGAGACGCGCTTATCGTCATCGTCGTCGTCTCCCGTGTTAAAAGTAAATGCTGTTGAGGAAACGCATTAATGGAGACACACACATTTTTGTTCGTATAAAACTGAATTATGTCTCTCCATTAAAACCCAAATTCAAACACAAAACGAAAAAAATAACTCTAAAGAAGAACAACACATTCCTTCTTGAATATTTAAACTTGCTCACCTTAAAAATTCTGGATTTTATTTTTCCAGACTAAAATCTACAGGCTTATCATAGTAGCCTGCTGAGGGATTTGATGAGTAGTTTAAGGTTTTTTCTTGTGGCTTCATCGCCTGTGAACCCCAGTATATCTGAGCTTATACTCTACAATCAAGAAAATCATAAACCATGTCTTTGTTAACATTATTTCTTCCAACTTGTCAAAGCTGATATTGATTGAATAAGAAGAAACAAAGTTTACCTCGACGTTCTTCAAAGTATAAACCAGAGTGTAGATTGACTTCTGTATGAGTTCTGTATTCTCAGGTGTCATAATTGACGAATTAACCTTTCTGCAATGTAACAAAAACAAGAAAATTAGACTTTGCTGTCTACAGGTTCTTATAATCACAGAGCTTACCTCTCAATTAAACATACGCATGTATCTAACCGAGCTTTTACATAGATGTGGTCCAGGAACATACATTAAGTGATAGAAACAGTAGATTCGGTCTCAGAAACAATAGAGTAAAAGAGGCAAACAAGATGATCAATTATTGAAATTTTGAAACAATAGAGGAAATATTGAAAAGCAGTGATGAGCAAAGCAGTTAATTTAACATACATTTATGCATCGATAAGTATATGTTTTAACAATCAGCTCTTGTTCAGAAACTAGTCCACAAATAGAGTTTTGAAGCCACAGAACAGAAGTAGATGGAAGTCAAGTGTGTTTTATATCTATCATATGGTCTCTTTTCATCATGAGGCAGAAATAGTTTAGCATTTGCACTATGGAATTCAAAATATTCATAACAATATGCCAAGATTGTTACCCTAAGAGCTATTACCTCAAATCGTCAGAAGCTTGGGTAAGGCTTCGAGTAAGACACTCAACTTCCTTGAGCAAGCCGCTATCACGAAACTCAGAGAGCAAAGGTTGAGCATCTTCAGCCATGGCTTGAATCTGTGACATCACTACATCAAAACCCAACGCTTAAGCATGAGAATACATTTTTTTTCCAATCTTGAAATTCACCTAGTGACTCTTTTTGAATACTGTAAACAAGATCTAACAAAGGCCAACAAAATGACTCATATCACCTTTTTGAGCAATGGCCTTGCTTCCTCAATAACCGAAGCTGCTCTTTCAGCAAGCGAATACGTATTGGCAACACCAATGGCCTCTACTTCGCGTCCAATACGAGTGAAAATTCCAACTAATTCATCTAAACTAACTCCTTGCACTCCTTTTATCGTCTGCCTATCACAAACGATCAGACCTTCTTTACCACATTCAGGATGCAGAGGTCCTACTGAAGGTTCTGGTATCGGATTTCTAGGCATAATGTCGATCATAGTTTCCATTAGAAGACCAGACTGATTCACCTCAACCAGTGAATTCTTCGGGATAATAATCTTGTCATCTTCTATCTGCAAAAGATGACAAGAGCCTAATTTAAGAAACAAACGTACTATCAAAACCAGATCAAAGCACCACTAGATCATACCTCAGCAATAGCTTCAATATTCTTCAAAGAAGGATTAACACGAATTATCGTACCAACAGTAACCCCACGGATCCTAACCGGTGTTCCCGTGCAAATGCCTGATGCATGCCTTAGCTCAAACACAGTCTGATATTTCCTAAACTTAGAACGCATTTGAAACCCTCGCAACCAAGCCCAGCTAAGAGCAAGAAGTGTAGCTCCAGAGACAATAAACAAACCAACCCCACCTTCCCAAACACTTCTCTTACCAAACCCAAAATCACTCAAAGGTTTTAAAGTCTGTCTCCATATATTCCTGGGCACATCCAAAACAACCGTAAGCGGATTCTTCCCTTCATCAGACGATGGTTGACCGTGAGCAGCGTCGGAATTGGATACAGCTCTGACCACTAAATGCCTAGTTCTAGGTTTCGGTGGAAGATAAGGAACCCCATTGGGTGAAACTCGAGGGCAAGCAATCATGGAAGATGATGGCATTAGTGATGATGGAACTTGAATTACCGCATTCCCAATCATCTTCCAAATTCAATAAAAAACTAAACTTTATGTTGCAAGTTCCAATTTTGTTTCCGAGCTGTAGTTAGAAAGAGAAAGAAACATGTGAATTGCGTGAAGCTTCTACTTTACCGATCGAATTAGAAGTCGAAATTAGGGTTTTTGGAGAAATAGAGAATACCTGGGCTCGAAGCTTGTGACGAACTGGTGTCGTGAATCTGAGAATAGCTTCTCCAAAGGCTTGTTGTTGGGACTTAGACGGCAAAGAGAAAAGACGGAAAATCCCATGTGTTTATTATTGTTAATCATAATTAATTAATTAATTAATCACCTAATTTTGAAAATGTAAAGGCTGAATCTCAAGCCAATTTGGAAGGAAGCAAGGGCATTTCCGTGATAATCAGAAAATATACAGTGAATACTGAAAAGTGAAAGTCTCTCTCTTCTCTGTATGTTTCGTCCTTTAGAGAAGTGGTAGGCCAAATTGTGTTTGCGTTTGCGGTTGACCGCAAATGGGAAAAAAATAGCTCAAATCAATTATTCATAAAGTTCAACAACTCTTCCTCATATCAGTCTTTTAACCAACAAACCAACAGATCCTTCTTTTTGTTCTTTTAAGTAACATCAAAATCACACAGCTATTGTGCTTAACACTCAAAAATCCCTTAAGCTTCGGGTTTTATTATTGCAGAGTCCTTGTGCTGATGATAGGCTTGAGATTCAGTTCATTGAAGGATTTAACTTAACGACCATGAACCATCCATCACCAACCGACAAGCAGTAGCTTCAGAAGAGCCATTCTAATGAACAAACCATTCTTTGCTTGTCTGAAGTAGGCAGCTCTTGGATCAGCATCAACATCTGCAGTAATCTACACAAGAAGAATTACAGCGAGTGACGATTGTGTCACGGTACATAGATGCACAAAGAAAGAAAGAAAATAGAGGTTTTATTTTAACTTACTTCATCCAATCTCGGTAAAGGATGCATGATAATAGCTTTTTTCTGCATTACTCCTAACAGATCCTTGTCTACGATATACTTCCCACGAGCTGCTTCGTAAAGATCAAGCCTTTCTCCAAACCTCTCTCTTTGGATTCGGGTTTGATAAACTACATCACACTTGGATGCTACTTCCATTAAATCCGAACTTTCTTCCCATTCGACCCCATTTGACGTCAAATAGTCTTTTATATCATCCTACCATTAAAAGAACACACTGAAAATGATAAGCAACATACACAATGATGTTCTCGAGTAAACTAAACCATCTTCTTCAGGTTCTTTCAAGGAGGGTGGCAAGTTTGGTGATACTTACTTTCATTTTCACAATTTCAGGGGAAACAAAGTAGATCTTCACGTCTTTAAACTTAGCAAGCAAGTATGCAAGAGACCGGACTGTCCTTCCGTTGGCAAGATCTCCAACTAAGGCAACATTGATGCCATCTAATTTTCCAATTTCACTTTGGATGGTATATACGTCCAATAGAGCCTTCACAACAGTAACAGAACCAGAAATAAGAAACAAGGATGTAAAGTAATGTTATCTTTAAGACCACTAAAACACTAAAGGTTCAGAACACAACAAACCTGAGTAGGATGCTCTCCAGGACCATCACCTGCATTAATGACAGGTATATTGGCAGTAGCTGCAGCTTTTCTTGCAGCACCGCTTTCAAAATGTCGCATCACAATTATATCTGAATAACCCTCCACTGTTCTTATTGTGTCTGAAAAATGCTCCAAAAAATTTCCGTAAATAATCTAACACAATCAACATGTCTCACAGCAACAATGAGATACCAGCTGAGAAAATGGTACCTTCTAGTGTTTCCCCTTTCGCGGCAGACGAAAACTCTCTAGCGTTCTCAGTAGTTAAGACTTCACCTCCAAGGCGTTTCATGGCAGATTCAAATGAAAGCCTGGTACGGGTAGAAGGCTCATAAAAGAGGGTAGCCATTAAATAACCCTTGAGTATTTCACTTTGGGAAGAGCTCTTTTCTATCTTTTCCATTTCTCGTGCAACATCGAATATAGCGCTTAGCATCTCCCTATCAAATTGTTTCCCTTCAATCACATCACTAAGTTCAAATTTCTTAAATTCCCTCGTTCCAGCTGCTTGCATAGCATGACACCTAATTCCTTGGACCGGACCAACATTTCGGGTCAGATTCCAAGTAGCATTTTTCTTGGGATCCCTAGAGGCAGGAAATGAAGTAGTCAAACAAATCTTTGAACTTTCAAAAGGACTGTGAAGATTGCTTGGGAACTCAGAGCTGCAGGCTAATGCTTTAGGAAAAACTGAGGCGCCACAGATTGTGGCTGAAGTAAATGATGATGCAATAGACATACTGGCAGGATGCTAATTCGTTGCAGGGAGGTACTGAGTCACAACTTCCAGAATCTGCTAAAATAACATACAACGATATATGATGCATTTAGTTTAAGAATAACCAAAAGCAACTAACTCTTGGAGACTGCTAGAAAAAAAAAAACTGCAAATTTCATAAATCCACACACCATCAAGTTGGTGCTACCAACTATATATGTTGCGGATTATATTGGTAACTTATCTTACATATCACTATGCAGGAACCCCCTAAACCAATTAGAGAAGCAAGAAAAAAACTAGAAACATGTAGCAGTGAAACATACTGATATTTGGTATATTATCACTTTCGTATAAATATTGACATAGCAAACTACAACAAATTATGCTTTTACATTTGTTTCCTCTTGATTTTTTCTATAAGAAACCAACCATTACTTGAATCCTGAATTCAAATGTTTTAGATGGATAGAGGGAGAATCAAAACCTTGGATACTCTATCGAAATTATCCTTCATCTCAATTACAGTAAGAAGTTTGAGAGAGAATGTGTTGTCTCGTATCATAATCCGAAACTATAACAAAGTTCAATTTCAATCAATCGTAAACCAAAAAGCGAAAAAAAAAACGAATCAGAATCTGATCCGCAGAATTTCAGAACCTTCACAGACCTGAAAGAGCGATTGAATCAGTGGAGCAGTCAAATGGGGAAGAGTCTGGCTGGTCGATGTAACGCCGGTAGAGAAGCCGACAGCGATGAGCACGATAAAAAGAAGGAATTAGCCTCAATCCTGCTTAAATCGGAAATTGACGGCGGAAACGGCCGCGGGAAAATCAACGGCGGCCGGAGAAACGTAGGGTTTTAGTAAGGAAAGGAAACTACTAATCAAGACGTTTTGGAATATTAGGGGAGGGAAAAACGAAACGCATTGGGATGATAATAAATCAATTATATTTAATGCACTTTTTAATGTCTTGTTTCTTTTTGTTGGACGAGTAAAGTGAATTTGGGCTTATAAAGCCCATAAGATTTCTTCTTTTCCTCCGGCGAAGCCCAACCAGAAACAGATAGCTCCGGCGGAGAGTCAAAGAGAGGATCAACAACGGAGAACGCAGAAGGCTTGATTGTTTGTGAGTAAGAATGTAAGATCTTGAGAGGTTTCATATCATAACAAGTTTCAGCTAATCAAGTAGTCTTGGTATTAACAACAAGCTTTTAATTCTAGTTTTATGCTTTTATATTTACAATCTAACAAACAAAAACAGAAGCGTCATGTGTCCAAACAAAATTTACATCAAAATTCTACCCTAACACATATACCCTCACATCAAGAAAGTGAAGAAACCCCTAAGCAATATACAATACATGATCATCTCTGAAAACAAAACCTCAATTAACCTCTGGTATGCTCTGCAGAACCGGTCTCCATAACCGTTGATGATTGGCTTCTTCGTACCCACGATTGTTCAGGCTTGGACATGAGAAAGTGGCCTGTTGATGAAAGGTCAAGTCATGGACGTTGACTTTACTCAGTAAATCATGGAGTTGTTTCTTCGTGAGCCTGATCTTGATCTCATGAGATGGAACAGGGGATTTACTGTCACATGTTACAACTACTGTTTTGCCATCTCTGGTGGTTTTAGAGCTATAATGATGATCTTCTTCATCTTCTGTGATGAATTCATCCCAATCTTCACCAGCCCAATGCATTTCTGATTCATGCCTTAAACAATTCCCCATTTTTTTTTCTATTTTTCTTTGGAGGTAACTGGTAAAAGAGCTTATATATATATAACGTAGGTAGAAGCTGGTGGGATATTAAAATCATAACAGGAGATAAAGATTAGGATCAACGAATATTTATAAAAAAATAAAGATTAGGATCAATGATAAGAACATATACAATTTGCCACGTCGGATTTCAGAGTACTTTAGTCTTACGTGGACATGTATTTGTTGAACTCACCGTCACCAGCTTTTGTCCTTTTTTCGGCGCTTCGTTACACGTGTCTTTCTTGGCTCGTCAGCTCGGCTTGGATATTTTTGCTGATTTAATATTTTTTATCTTCTTTTTTCGGTGGAAATAAATAAAAAGAAAGAAGAACTAAAATAATTGCCAAACGTGACGTCTAACGAAAACAGAATTAAACACGAAAGATTCCATCGCATATGGTTAAAGAAAAACATGTGTAACATGAATAATCAGAAGTCCCAATGGTCCAATACTCTTGTTCTGCTAATGCGACTCATACAACTCTTTTTCTTTTCTGTCAGACATACTATATGATATTAGCATATATTTACTAATGAAAATTATTACATATTAGACAATTTTTAGAGTGTTATGCAACATATATCGACCATAACACGAAACAATACGAGAGTTGATTATTTATTTGTTAAAAACTAGTGACAACAAATATTTTCCCAGCTTATTTAAGTAAATAAAACCACTATATAGAACAATTCGAAATTTATATAACCATAAAAAAAAAAAAAAAAGTGTGGATGGAGCCGATTGAGCTAGGAAGAAGCCGAGTGGAGTGAAGTAGTGTGAACACGGCAATTGCGGAGGGATCTTGAAAGTGTGAACGCAACCAAAGGGAACAGAATCTCTGAACCAGAAGATGCCCTACCCAATTTTCAATTACTCGTTTAGGCCATCTCATGTTACACACACTCACGATCTCCCACCTTTCCATAATTTTATCATTGCCATCACCTTCTGTTTTTGTTTTCCTGTTTTTTTTTTTTTGAAGTTTTAAATATTTACATGGTTTGGATATTCGGAAATTTAAGTATATAGTTTGAATTTGCTAGTTATTATACCATTAAAAACCAGTATTCAACTCATGTTCTACATTAATCAATATTATTTGTTTGTCCATTTACCGTTTTTCACATAGTTTGTTCTACTATCATCATCCCATCTTAACATCAATTACCCAGTTTACTCTACAAATACTTTATACTATATATCAAATGCAAATTCAACAACTAATATACCATTATAATTCATATAAGTCAAAAGCCTGAGGTTGGTGTTACATCGAATTATTCCACTACTAGGAGCATTTTTATTTAGTATCGATCTCTTGACCCACATACGTACCCTGAATTTTTAATTTTATAAATGAAACTGATCTGTATAACATTGGTTGATCTATCGATCTCTCTCACCTATTGCTCTCATTATTTGTTAATTCGAACCGATTAGTATATAAGTAAAAGCTATAGAATCTTGGTGTTCATACCACTGTAGAGACGAAATACCTAATCATCTCATCATAAATAAGTTAAATATGTTTTATATACCTATCTGTTTATTCATTTTTTTTTATTTTATAGTGAAATATTACATTTAACGAATCAATACAATGTGTCTATTTTCAACATTTATGTTACACGTTACACAAACATATATTAACTAGATCATCACCCGTACTACTGTACGGGTTAAATTTTATTTATTACAAAATTTATATATTATATATTTTAGAATAAAGTTGTGATATATTATAATAGTAATTGAAAAAATATAATTAGATTTTTGTCAGTCCCTATATATAATATTAGAATGAATATATTTTTTTTTAATTATACTCAATTATGGATTTTTTTTAAAGATATGAAAACAGAAAATAAAATTATTTTAATAAATTACTCCCTCCGTTTCGTTTTAGTTGTCGTTTAAGGTTTTTTCACACAAATTAAGAAAAACATTAAATTTTATGTTTTACCCTTTATTAATATATTTTATAAAAAATTTTATTGGCCAAAACATTAAAACAGTAGGGACAAAACTGGAATTTTCACCAAACATTTGCATTGAAAACCTAAAACGACAACTATTATGAAACAAAATTTAAATCCTAAAACGACAACTAAACTGAAACGGAGGGAGTAATATAGTCTGAAAATGAGTAAATTTATATTAACAACCACAAAATGAGATTGCATATAATTCAGTTAGATCAAAAATCAAAATATTATAAATGAATCGCTTCTAAAACGTAGATTATTTTTAATTAATTAAGATAGTTAGCTATTATTTTGAATTAATTTAGGAAATTCTTTTTTCAATTTCTAATTCTTTGGTTGTTGAAATAGAGATTTGTTTGAGGTAACTACGGAATTTATCAATTATTCGCGTAATCGAATATGTTATGAACATATATTTAGTATATAATATACCAAATTCAACCCGTGCGTGGAGTCTATATTTTTATTTTAGAATCCTAATGAAAATATTGCGTGCACAATCTATTATTCGTTATTTCCAAAATTGCTTGCACAATCAAATTTTCAAATATTTTGAGGTGTCAACCTTATTTAATCTATCTGATCATATAATCTTAACATGTCTTCTACTATAAGGATCATAATTTTATATCATATAATATATTACATGTAACCCTCCGCCTACTATAACTATTTTAAATATATCTTTTTAGAAAATTATAGTATTTATAATTTTTTTTTATCTTTTTAATCTATTAAATATTTATGAATTATGATATTCATTAAAATATTAAATTAAACTATTTTTAAATGTTCCAATTAAAATCTTTAAAAATATTTCTTTTAGTATATAAAATTATGAATTTCAAAAAAGAATTATATGAAATTAAATAGAAATATTCAAACAATTATAAGGATCATAACTCATTTGTTAATATAATATACTATATTTAACCCACTGCCTATTATAAATATTTGTTTACAAAAATCAAATTAGAATATTTATTGATGATATTCTTTAAATATTGATGATATTCTTGAAAAATATCAAGTAAAACTAATTTTATATGTTGCAAATTAAAATGTTTAAAAATCTTATTATAGTATATAAAATAATACATTTCAAAAAATAAATGTATGAAATTGAATATAAATATTCAAATTCTGACCCGTTACTCAGTCTAAATTTTTGTTGAACTTATTTTTGGTTAAAAGAAATATATTACTCAAATGTGAATTTTTGACCCGTTAAATTTTTTTCTTCATAGATTTTACAATTTAATTTCGTTTTTAAAAATTCAAATCTTGGCATATGGAGAAAAAAATTACTTTTTTTTTGTTTATATGGATGATATGATGATTTATTTGTTTCATAAAAATAGAATCATATAAAGATGAGAGGTGAACTATAATGATTAATAACAAATTAATATGGTAAGTTAGATATCAAATCTTATATGTTCATTTTGATTGGTCATTCTTTTTTTTAAATTAATAATATATTTTCGTTTTTAATAATTAAATTAATTAAATTGCATAAATTAGTATTTGACTTGTTTATCCTTAATGAGCTGAATTAATTTACTCTTTAAATTTTTATCTCTAATGGCATTCTTAAGTAATTTTTTACAAATGAGAAGGTTAGTTAAGGGTATCTTATAAAGTGTACTCCCCAAATAATAGTATAGGATTATTTTCGACTGCTATGTGATACAACACTCACCATTTTGCACATTTGTTCAATCATTATATTCAAACAAACAAATTAAACTGAAATTCTTTGTTATTAAAGATATCTATTGAGTTTTTGACTAAGTACCACCCGAAGACTTTTTGTTAATTTGCTTAGGTTTAGACAGTCAAGAACTTTTGCCTAAAAAAAAAAGACAGTCAAAGAATAAAATTTAAGATGAAAATAAGATAAGACCACTTCCTGGTTCCTGCAACTAGATAGGGGTAGATATAATATTAAAATAATCAATAACAAAAAAAAGGGTTCGACATTTAATCAACAACTTTTTGAAGTTCCACATAATCACAGAGGCATAACTATAAGAAATTAAACATTCAAGGAAAAAATAGAGAGAAGATGGAGAAAAAAACAAAAAAGAGCTAAGAAGATGCCTTGACACCCTAGTGATTAATTCAAAGATAAAGAGTTAAGGCAATCAAGATTAGGTGTTTTAAACAAAAATGATACAAAATTATATATATTGGAAACAATAATCTTTGAGATTTCCATCCAAATTTCTTTTATAATTAAAAAAAATTAGAAAAACATAAAAAACAAACATACATAGCCATATACTACACATTTAGATTGTAAAATCGTGTTACATCATTTGTTTTGTTTACTGTGAGTAGTGAGATCATTATCACAATAACAGTAAACGAACTGATTAATATGATGTAAAAGTTTCTATGGAAAAGAAAAAGTTTCTATGCATGGAACAAGATGAGAGGGAGTGGAAGAAGCCCACCAATTATATCAATACACATTTCCATTAATATAAAATCTAGCATATTACAAGAAGTACTCTAATGATAGACTAAAATCTCATAAATAAGGTTTTGATCATCTCTAATCCTTAAAAGAATTTAACCTTGTATGTATGGGCTTTATTTGTATCTTTGTTGTTGGGCTTCGATACCCAAAGAATCCGAAGCACAAAAAAAAAATAGATTTGGACATGTGAAACTAATCATCAATCATCAATCATCAATCATCACTCTCTCTTTCGTTACAGTTCTGAATCAAGCAAGTAAGCAAGTTGCATCATCTCACAAGCTCTTTCAACTCTCAATCATCAATCCATATCTCTCTCTCACGCATTTTCGGCTCTTTCTTCGTTTTTCTCTTTTCAGATTCTTCACATTGAAAAAACTTGTCTATGGTGGTGGTTGTTACGCCGATTGAGTAGATGAAGTTCACCGGAAAATCAAATTCGACGGCTACATTACCTGCAACTGTCCCAAATCTTAGGGCTAGTAATATACGGAGAGCGCGAAAACCGAGCTTCAGTCGTCAGCGAAGATCCGGCGTCTCTGTCAGGAGGCTAAGCAGGCCGGAGACTCCTATATTGAAATCGAAGGTGGAGGATCATAACAGTGAGCGATGCGTCGCGGTTGAAGATGATGATTACGAGGAAGATGATTGTAATAAGATGCGTTGCCAGGAACGAAGGAGAAGTGTACCGCCGGATACTGTAAGGAAACTTGCGGCCGGAGTGTGGCGATTGCGAGTCCCGGATGACGTTTCTAGCGGCCGAGATAAGAGGAGCAAGGATCGGTTAGGGTTTCAGGTACAGCTTTACTCTTTGGAAAATGAGACATTTCTTTTGGATTTGTAGGATCTGCATTGTGATAATAAAAGCAATCAAAAGATTATACGATTGCTGATTTTGCTTTAGCTTTGAATCAAAAGTATGATAGCATTTGGATTGGTTTAGGTGGTTGTTTTAATAGTAATCTGAAATAGAAGTGATTGTTGATTCCAGGGATCTTCACACAGTTCATAACTGTTTGCTCATGTCTCTTGAATCTGTACACTCTGTTTCTTGTGTCATGGATAGAAATTAGTTGGTTTTAGTTATTATCTCAGAGTAGAAAAGAAATTTCTCTTTATATTCTTTGATGTTTTTCTCCAGGAAACTGCTGGTCCTGCTGGACACTTGGGTCCTCTGTTTTATTATCACCATAATGACAAACATTCTTCTGGCTTTCAAAGCAACAATTCAAGAAACAAGCATAGTGGATTCTTGTGTAAGGTGTGTTGATAACCTCAAGCTTCTAGGTGAATATTATATTATGTCAATTCAATTAGATGTAGATATGCTTCAAAAAAGTCTTAAGAACAATAACTAAATGTTGTGGTTGAGGTGAAGGTTCTAGAGTTTAGAGTTGTTACTTGAGCTAGTAAATCTGACCTTGGTAAGTTCAACCGTCTTGGTATGAGTATGAAAATGCTGCTTTAGTTTCACTATAGTTGTTAACTTGAACACTTTAAGACATTGTCACTCTGCACATTTCTTGGTTGGCTTTTCCTTGGCTGAGTCTTCTAAGGTTCTTTTTAAATGTGACAGTTTCCGTTGATCTTTCCTTTTTGGGTTTCTTGATCTGAAATCTGCTATTTCTTTTGCTGTTAGCATGAGCCTTCAATTCCATCTCCTCACTGCGCGATGGAGGGGGCAACAAAATGGGATCCCGTCTGCTTGGATACAAGGGATGAAGTACACCAAATCTATAGCAACGTGAAGTGGAATAATCAACAAGTGAATGCTTCATTAGGTTCTTCTATTGAGTTGAAACTCCAGGAAGCTCGTGCTTGCATTAAGGATCTTGAGAGTGAGAAGCGATCTCAGAAAAAGAAGCTTGAGCAGTTCCTGAAGAAAGTTAGCGAGGAGAGGGCAGCTTGGCGGAGCAGGGAGCATGAGAAGGTCCGAGCAATTATTGATGACATGAAAGCTGACATGAACCAGGAAAAGAAGACTCGTCAGAGATTAGAAATCGTCAATCTAAAATTAGTCAATGAGCTTGCAGATTCAAAGTTAGCAGTAAAGCGTTACATGCATGATTACCAACAGGAAAGGAAGGCAAGAGAATTGGTCGAAGAAGTTTGTGATGAACTCGCAAAGGAAATAGAAGAAGATAAAGCTGAGATTGAAGCATTGAAGAGTGAATCCATGAATCTCAGAGAGGAAGTAGACGATGAAAGAAGAATGCTGCAGATGGCTGAGGTTTGGCGTGAGGAACGTGTCCAGATGAAGCTTATTGATGCCAAAGTAACACTCGAGGACAAGTATTCACAAATGAACAAACTTGTACGAGATTTGGAAGCCTTCCTCGATTCAAGAAATACTACAGGTGTGAAAGAGGTGAGAGTTGCAAAATTGTTAAGAGAAACTGCTGCATCAGTTGATAATATCCAAGAAGTCAAGGAATTTACGTATGAACCTGCAAAGCCGGACGATATCCTCATGTTGTTTGAAGAAATGAACTTGGGTGAAGCCCAGGATAGAGAAACCGAGCAATATGTTGCCTACAGTCCGGTCAGCCACGCTTCAAAAGCTCATACGGTAAGTCCAGATGTCAATTTGATTAACAAAGAGAGACACTCGAATGCTTTCACTGATCAGAATGGTGAATTTGAAGAAGATGACAGTGGCTGGGAAACTGTGAGCCGTTCTGAAGAACACGGATCCAGTTACTCTCCAGATGAGAGCATCCCTGGTATTAGCAACACCCATCACCGTAACAGCAATGTATCAATGAATGAAACAGAGTATCAAAAGACTCTATTGAGAGAAATAAAAGAAGTGTGCTCGGTTCCAAGACGACAATCCAAAAAGTTATCGTCAATGGCAAAGCTCTGGAGTTCATTAGAAGGTATGAATGGAAGGGTTTCAAACGGGAGAAAATCAACTGTGGGGATGGTTTCACCAGAGACAGGCTCAAAGAAAGGAGGATTCAGCACGTTGGACTTGGTTGGGCAATGGAGCTCATCACCAGACTCGGCTAATGCTAATGTAAATCGAGGAGGGATGAAAGGGTGCATAGAGTGGCCAAGAGGTGCACATAAGAACAGCTTGAAGACAAAGCTCATAGAAGCACAAATCGAGAGCCAAAAGGTTCAGCTGAAGCATGTCCTTGAGCATAAGATCTAGGCCACAACAAACTCGAAAACTACCTGTCCTAGGTCAAACTAGTCTTTATGGCTGAGCAGAAGAACCGGATTTTTATCCGGTCCTCTTGCTACAGCCATTTGTCGCGTGATTTAGCCGTGGTCGCCAATCAAAATGGTATACTGTCACTAGCTAAAAGCAAGATGATCTTTGTATTTGATTACTGTCATAGGTTGGCTGGGTTAGCTTCCCAACCTCATGTTGGTTGCTAGGAACAGACGCCCGATGGTGTTTTTCTTTAATGAATTTTGTTCCTCTTTAGTCCAACTTGAGATGTTAGGTCAATAATATCTTCTTTTATTTCATTGTGTATATATCTTCTTCTATATTTTACTTAACATTTGTAACATATTAAAGATAATGATAAACAGAATTTAAATGATATATTCATTTATTTTAGACCAAGTGGGAGAAAGAAATAAGGTTTTCCATTGGAAAGAACACTTGAAACACAAACCATAAGAAACATGATATTAAGATAAGTTCGGCTTAAAGCACAAAAGATAAGACTATATAACACATAGATCGACCTTATTATAGCTGCCACACGATTTGAGCTTCTATACAAGTCTAATTGGGAAGGTACTTTGTTGAAGAAATTTCCTCCATCGCGACTTGAACAACCAACATATCATTCACAACGAAACCCTTTGATGAATTTCTCAGATCAGAAAGAGGCATGAAGTCAGCGTATCCCCACCCGATTGTTTGGGGACTGAACCAGTTATCAACTACCAGTAAAAAAAAAGAAACACATATATTAGACATCGTAGTGATTGAAAATGTTATGAATTTCACATTAAATAACAGATACATAACCACATAATATATATATAGTATCCACACTTACGTGGCCTTTCCAAAACAGTGTTGGATTGGGATGGGAATTGGTTAGGAACACGAAGCTTGGCTCGTACGTAAACCTTGTCATAAGGTTTTGCTTTTAGTAGCTCTTGTGGCCCAAGGTTAAGGTAAAGCGACAAATTTTTGCCTTCGAAAGCTCCAAAACCATTTCTAAAGATTCGTAGATTCCTGATCAGCATGTGAAAAAACTTGTTAAACACTTACTAGTACTACCCACCAGACTTACACTACAACTATATATTGAGAAACTCACCAGCTTTTTCCTCCAATGATGAACTCCTCTGATAGGTAATCAGTAGGCAGTGTCGAGAATCCTTGAATAAACCAGGTGAATCTCGGGCTCGAAAAACTCTTGGTGACAGAGAAAAGTTCCGACTTTTCATAGAATGGTGGAATGATGACGTCAACGCCAAACTCGCAATGGTCGATATCATAAAGGTATCCATTTTTCAGGTTGTTAAACGTAGTCAGAGGAAGAACCTTAGAGAACCCCCACATGGTTTTGATTGCACTGAATCGCCATACATCAGTATCTACACGGTAACACCAAATAGACATATCCATAGATAGATAGATGTTACTAAAAAATATAGAGAAAATGACATATTTAATTGAAAAAATCAAATACAATAAGTTACTAAACCTTGGATCGTAAAGTACTTCTTCTCTTTCTTGTTGAAGACGTAAAATCTGAGATCTACATGAACCTCTTCACTTTGAGAGGAGAGAGTTGAGTTGTCTAAGACGACGTATAGCGAAATGTGCCCTGTACCGTTATCGTTCTTGTTCCCCTTCGGATAGACAACAAGCTTCCTGTTTCAATTTGTTTTTGAAATTATCGATCAAAACAATTCAGCAAACAATTGTAGTACATGATAGAGTGGCTTGAACAAAGATAGTACACCAAGGTCCTTCATTAGGTAATAAGGATGATCAATGTTATATCCTGGATCTAGATAGATTTTGGGACAAAGGTTCCTAACTTTTTAGTTAGTAAAATAAAAGAAAAACTAAGATGGTACGTACCAATTGTATCTACCGACCCTAAAAGGACGAGATTCATATCTCTCGGTGTAAACAGACTTCATGAGTGTATTGAAAGACTCCATCTTGAGAGAGTAAGACGATGGAGGACGTTCTCTTAGACCCTTCACCGTGCTCGATAATGAAACCTTACTATCTCGTGATGATATTTGAGTGGGGATAAGTCTCTGAGAACCATTCTCCTGGTTTGGGACTGGTCCTGCAAAACAAGAGGTAATGAAGAGACAAGAGAGGAGAGAAACCATGCATAAGGTGTCTATGTAGTTACTCATCATGTCAAAGATCTATGAAAGAAGTTTAGAGAGTCGGTGTGAGACTTGATAATGATACTAGTATGTGTTATATAGAAGGGGAGATGGTTAACTAGATGCTTAGTGGGGCTAAAAAATAGTGAGATTTTGGCATGATAATGTTTTTCTTTTGCCTAGTGTACCAGTTGAGTCATTAATATTTGAAATACCAATCTGGTTTGATAATGCGTTTACTTTTACCATTGACATATATGAGTCAATCAACTTTTAATTAAATTTCGTCCATATTTGGATCAGTCTCTTCGAATCGGGGGAGATTTTTTTTAATAATGTTCAAATCATTGCAAATTCATTGAAATACATCATTCGTTCACAATTGTAGATTTGTAGTAGTATTGAACTCGAATCCGAACATTGAAACACTACCTGTCTAACTAGCTACTAAGCTAGACTAATTTAATTAATGCACATGCAGAAATTCGCAAAATCAAATTATCTATGTAAAATTCATAGAAAATGTTTAATCTCACTGGAACGCTAAACGTATAAACGTTGAATTGTTTTAACACGGTCGAGTGTAGAGTACTTAACTTGAAAATGAAACTTTTTTCTTGTTTTGTTGTTCAACGAAACGAAACATTTTTTATTTATAAAATACGTACTTATTATTTTTGAAATCGGAGAACTAAAACTAAAGAGATGCGAAGTACATAATATTTGTGTATTACCTAATTAAACTTTCTTGAATTATTTATTTTCTCTTTAGGATTAGAGCTTTAGGGTTTTCAGATTTTATCTCTACTATTTGCCTCAAGTCAAAGGAGATGCCGACAAAAAGTAGATGGCGAAAATTGCACTGCCAGATCTAAAACTCACGTGTTCTCTTCTCCCTCCGCATCCAGCGTCGAGTCCACGTGGAACAGATATTTAAGCTGATACTTTATAAGGTAATCATATAATCTTTTAAGAAGATGATACTTTTAAACTATTAATCACATTTCTTCTAAGGTCGTGTGGTAGATAGACCAGCTTTTGGGTTTAGGAACATCTCTTATCGATTGTTTGAAAACAGAATCGAAAAACACTCTTTGTTGCCTCCATATTTCGGATGATATATGTCTATCGTCCAAAATAGATTCTAAAGCTTTGCTTCCAATTCGGTTGGAATCGATGAGAAGGATCTCCGACTGTGAAAACGTACTACCCCACAATGGCACAATGATCCTGAATAATTGATGTTGCACCACAAAGCATGAAACATCTTCTCGGCTTGATTCGCACAACGACACTCTTAATTAGTGATTTACTATTTGTGTATTTACTATATATTTACAGAAATTGTTCGTAGTCATGCATATCTTTTTTTTTTGTCTTCCTTTATTCTACGCCGGTGAAGATTTTAAAATATTTTAGATACAAAACAAATATCCAAAAATATCGTCGAGAACTCTAGAAACGTTGAAAAGTATCCAAAGATGATGCATATAATAAGTTCAATAGTTTTATCTCTCACATAAAATTAAAGTGGGTGGTTAAAACACGTCTACTCTCATTAACTCTTTGCTTTTAGGTTAATCCACCATCTTTAAGAGATAGGGCTAATATTTTCAAACAAATCAATCCAATAAGTTTTTCTTTCGTCGGAACTTTAATAAATCAAAGTCTTAGAACGCCCAAAATCCATTCGAATTTCTGTTGACATAACCAAAAAAGATTTTTTCAATATTTAATTCGCATTCGCAAACACGAGGCAAAAAAATACTAATATTATCACGTTAAAGTCTCAATAATATCCTGATTCTTGAGCATCCCAACGCATTATTAACCAAGCATGTATCTCCCACTAAGGCACTAAGTCCTAACCATATAAGAGTATCAGTACTCTCATTTCTGTACACTTCATTCACAAAACCAACCTTAAGAGATGACGAGCCACTCCAGAAACACAAGCTCTATTGCTTATCTCTTGCTTTGTCTCTTCATTACCTCTGCGACTGCACATTCCTTCATACGACAATTCACTGATGGTGACCTCAACACAAATCTGCAGCGTAAGCCAATTTTCTATGTTCTTTTAGTAGTTATAAATGGAGACAGATCCTTCGTTATTTTTTCTTTCTCAAATGCTCTGTTTTGTGTGGAAACAGAGGAGGTAGGCGTAGAACCAATCCGAAACCTGGACGTAGGGCATTACTTACAAGGAAATAAGGAGATCTCATCACATGATTATAAAGTCTCAGCTTCAAACGCAGTCAAAGGTCTGAGAGATCGTCCTCCATCGTCTTACTCTCTCAAGATGGAGTCTTTCAACACACTCCTTAAGTCAACTTACACGGAGAAATACGTATCTCGTCCCTTTTCAGTTGGTGGATACAACTGGTATGTTGATCAATCTGATCTTTATTTGCTCGAATCGAATCTTACACACTCAAAATACAATATGTATACAGGACACTTGTTGTGTTCCCCAATGGAAACAAGAAGGATGGTGGTTCAGGGTACCTTTCGCTTTACGTAGCCATAGACAACTCAACTCTTGTTGCTGCACAGCAAGAGATCTACGCGGATCTAAGGTTTTACATCTTTAACAAGAACGAGAGGAAGTACTTCACTATCCAAGGTTTTTATAATTTTCAATAAAAAAATTGTATTGTTTTAACAAGAAAATATGCTTTGTGTAGTATGTATAGTAACATCTATCTGTCGATTGGTCTTTGTTATAATCTGCAGATACCGATGTATGGAAGTTTAGTGTCTTCAAAACGATGTGGGGATTCTCTCAGGTCCTCTCCATTGATACATTCAAAGACCCGATAAACGGATACCTCTACGATGGAGATCACTGCGAGTTTGGTGTTGATGTAACCATTCCTTCTCTTTATGAAAAATCAGAACTTTTCTCTGTCACAGAGAATTTTCAAAATCCGAGATTCACCTGGACCATTCGAGGATTCTCTACGCTGCTAAGAGACACTTACCTATCAGATGTGTTCACCATCGGAGGAAGAAGTTGGTGAGTCTAACATTATTTCAAAATAAAAACTCTGGTAGAGTAGTATTGATAAGTAGTAACAAGTATATTATATGTTGATTAGGAATATACAAGTTAATCCAAGTGGTCGTGCCACGGGAGAGGGAAAAGCCTTGTCGATGTACCTTAACCTTAATGTGAACGAGATATTCAAACCATATGAGAAGATTTATGTTCGAGCCAAGCTTCGAGTTCTTAACCAACGCAATCTCAATAACGTCGAAAGGCCACGTAAGTAAATGATATATGTATGTTCATTGATATGTACACATAACAACATCTCATCGCAATGACTAATGAGATTTACGTTTTTTTGGGGCAGTCGATATTTGGTACAATGGTCCGGGATATGGAGAATATAGCTGGGGTTACCCTGAGTTTATCTCTCTCTCTGATCTCAGAGATGCATCAAAGGGTTTCCTTGTGAACGATGTGTTGATGGTTCAAGTTGAAATGGAGGCCATTTCTTCAACCAAGTACTTTCCTAGTTAGATTTTCTCTAGCCAATTAAGTTGCACCTCCATGTGTTTGATTTGTTATCAAATACCTACTAATAAGAAGTTGTTTTTCTTTTCAAATTAATAAGTTTATTTTTCTTCTCTCTTTTTTTCTTCCGCATATCAATATCAAATCATCATATCTCTTTACCCAAACAAAATTCATTAATCCGACATTCGGCCTAAATTTTTTTGTAGGATCAATGAATTAGAGTCTACCGCTAAATTACTATCATTAATGTATTTCCATAAATAAAAAAAAACTTAAGTACAGTATTGCTAATCTTAAATCTCAACATTTTAAAATATGATCAAATGTAAGTTTGAATACCTATGAATAAAAGGATCGATGGATTTTATAAGTTACAATATATTTGGAGAGAATAAATCAATTATGGTTACTGCATTATCAAAGAATATGATCACAATTAACTGGAAAAAATAAGTAAAGAAAAAAAAAGGTTAGAAAAACTAATAAAAATTCATAAAAAAGTAGAACACTTGGATCTAGTGTCTTGGTTTTTGATTGATGTAGTCTTTATCTTGACCACGTAAACTAACTTCTATTGGTGAGATGAAACTTTATGTATGTTTATAGTCATGTTGATATTAAAGATTAGCAATATTATAATTTTTTTATCGTTTATGGCAATACATTAATGATAGTAATTTAGCAGCAGACTCTAACCTCCATTTTTAAATAACCCATTGATCCTTTAACTCATAGGTATCAAAACTTACATCTAAACCAATTTTATCATTTAATTTGCAAACTACTGTATTCAGTTTCAATAATATGTTTTTGAATGTTTTCTAATAAAATTTGAATGATAAGTGTAAGAAAATTGAACTTCATAAAGGATTTATTCAACTGATGTAGAATTATTTTATGATCGAGATAATGAAAACTTCAAGTGAGGGCTATACTTGAGATGGATTCAAAAGTCAACGATGCTAAATGAAACCACCGATGCATGTTTTGTTTTGAAACAACATATTATGTAAGAATGTAACTAATATCCGAAGTCTTCCACTAAGCATCCTAAAGCATTTCTCTCTCTTTAAGTATATAGGTTTCACTAACCTCTCTCTTCATTCACATAAGTCATAACCTTGAAAGATGACGAGTCTCTACAGAAATACATCCTCTGTTGTTTATCTCTTGTTTTGTCTCTTCATCACATCTTCAGGTTCTTTCATACGACAATTCACTAATGACTTCAACACAATTCAACAACGTATGAAATTTCTTTAGCTCTTAGATTTTATCCCAATATTCAAGAAGATCCATGTATGTATCTTAGATTCTGTGTTTGGACAGAATCCTCTGTTTTTTTCTCTCTTTCAAATGCTCTGTTTTTTGTCTGAAACAGAGAAGAGAAAAGATGGACCAATCCCAAACCTGGAAGAAGCAAATTACTTGCATAAACATAATGAGATCTCATCACTTGATTATAATAAAGTTTCAGCTTCAAACATAGTTAAAGCTCTAAGAGATGATCCTCCATCGTCATACTCTCTCAAGATAGAGTCTTTCAACTCGCTTCTTAGAACCTACGTACTCAGATTCGAATCTCGTCCTTTTTCAGCTGGTGGATACAACTGGTATGTTGGTAATCTGATCTTCATTTTCTCGAATCGAATCTTATATATCCACTAAAATACCTTTTGATGGGTCTCCAAAAACATGATATATACAGGAGACTTGTTGTGTACCCTAGCGGGAACTGGTGGGATACTAGTTCAGGATACCTTTCGCTTTACGTAGCCATAGACGACTCGACCCCCATCGCTGCCCATCAAGAGGTTCATGCGGATCTAAGGTTTTACATCTTCAACAACAACGAGAGAAAGTACTTGACCATCCAAGGTTTTTGTTCTAATTTTTAATCCTAAAAGAATGTGATCTTTTTTAACAAGAAAGATGCTCTGTGCATGATATAGTAATATCGATCTGTGCTTTGTTATAAAATCTGCAGATATGGATGTATGGAAATTTAGTGCCTCCAAAAAAATTTGGGGATTCCCTCAGGTCTTGTCTACAGACGTATTCAAAGACCTGCGAAACGGATACCTCTACGATGGAGATCAGTGTGAGTTCGGTGTTGATGTGACCATTGCTTCTCACTACCAAAAATCTGAATCTTTCTCTGTCACTGAGAGTTTCTATAACCCGACATTCACCTGGACTATTCGGGGATTCTCCACGCTGCTCAAAGAGAGTTATCAATCAGATGTGTTCTCTATCGGAGGAAGAAGTTGGTGAGTCCGTATTATTACAGAATAAGAAGCTTTGTATTTGATAACAAGTATTTTATATGATGATTAGGTATATACATGTGTTTCCAAATGGTCGTGGAGAGGGAAAAGCCATGTCTATGTATCTAAACATTAATTGGGACGTGAAATTCAAACCCTTTGAGAAGATTTATGCTCGAGCCAAGCTTCGAGTTCTTAACCAGCGAAATCTCAATAACGTCGAAAGGCAACGTAAGCAAATGACATATGTTTATCGATGTTTAAACATACCATCTCATCGCAATGACTAATGAGATTTTTCATTCTTTTTTGGTAGTCACGAATTGGTACATTGGTCCGGGATATGGCTCGGGTGACTCTGAGATTATCTCTCTAGCTGATCTGAGAGATTCATCAAAGGGTTTTGTTGTGAATGATATGTTGAAGGTTCAAGTCCAACTTGAGGCCATTTCTTCAACCATGTACTTCCCCAGTTAGATTTCTCAAACCAAGGAACTTGCAACTCCATGTTATTGCTTTGTTATCAAACCACCTAATCATAAGAAATTGAGTATGTTTTATTTTTTCTCATAGCAATATCAAATTATCATCTCTCCTAAAAAGCATTAAGCAGTTAACCAAAGTTTGGTTATAATTCTTATCCCAAACTTTTCAACATTTAGCACAAATCTTGTCCTTCTAGTGTTAATTGGAAGATGAAACTGAGTTATTCACGACCATGTTTAACTCTGTTTAGTGTCTTGTCTCTTCAAGCATAAATGTTTTTCACTCAAATATTGTGTACAATCAATACAAATACGTCAACAGCAATTGAGGGTGCACAAGACACTAGATAACTTATTCTTGATTAGAGGCTTTTGATTTGTAACCAACCTAATGGTTGATAATCCGCAACATTTTTCGTAGTGAGCAAAATGAAAAGTAGGTTAAAAATGGGTTAAGCCCCCAAACCATTGTTTCTCTTATTTGTTTGACATCTTCCGAACCAAAATACCCTTCCTAGAGATTGATGGTGTTCTAGAGTGTTGCAATACATTCAATCTCGATCTTGGCGTTTAGAGGCAAAGCTGCAACTTGATACGTAGATCGTGCTGGAGAAGGAGCTGGGAAGTCTGCAACAGAGGAAAACGTTTTGTGCCCTTAACGACTCCACTAGAAATTATGCATCTCAAACAAAGTAGGAACACTAATAATCTTGTTAAAGAACTCACATTTGGCATATATCTCGTTCACTGTCTTGAAGTCAGCCAAATCAGCCAACCTTTGAGAGAAAACCAAAGAGATTAAGAATTCATATGGATAATGATACTGTTGAAGAAAACAAGATCCCTTACATGATTGTTGTCTTCACCACCGAGGAATAATCAGCACCACTAGCTTTCAATATCTCCCCCATGTTTTTGAGTACCTTCAATATTTCAAACGAATAGTAGAAGCAATCAGACATAATCAGGAAGGGCAAACAGAGCAACTTGACATTGCAACAACTACACTGATAGTTAATTTGAAGACTAATACCAAATAAAAAATATTCAAAAGCAAAACTCAAAAGTTTTAAAGGCTTAGTTTGTGTCTGAAAGTGAATATCCCAATAAACTCAAGCTTGACTAAGGCACAATAATCGTTATCTCTCACTACATCTTCACCAGCATTTGTCAAACAACATTCAAAACAATCTAATCGACTTGACTTCTAATGAAATCATCCAAACATAACAGAGATGCAAGTGAAAAAGTACTCTAAACAAAACTTCGACGCTTAAAAGCTACATTCACCTGCTCAGTCTGATCTTCGACGCTCTCGGAAACAAACTTTCCAGTCTATACACACAAAACAAAAAAAAAACAAATCTTGCAAACTTTAGAACACAGATAAGAAAGAACAAAATGGTGATTTTACATTTTCATATCTTATATACGGACCTCAGGTATAAGTCCAAGAACACCTGAAAGGAAAACAAGATTATTGGCTTTAATGGCCTGAGAGTATGGTCCCAAAGCAGCTGGTGCTTTCTCAGTAGCCACAACTTCCTTCTTCACTGCACACACAAACATTAAGTAAAAACCCTATTCTCAAAGCTTTGATTATTCAATACGGAAGATGAAAGAAACAAAGACCCAATACTAACAAACATATGCATTGAAGATAATTGAAATCAATTTCAAATTTTTGACACTGACATTCATAAAAATCACATCTTTAGGAAGTACTGATATTGGTCCAAATTAACGAGAAAAGAATCCAAATTGGAGAAATCGTTACCAGAAGAAGCAGAGACACTGAGGGAAGCAAAAGGAGGAGATCTAGAAGACATTCTGAAGAGAGAAACACCAGCAAATGTTGCGCAGCCGACACCAGCAGCGACCAATGGGGTACGAGTGGAACGAAGTGCGGTTGAGAGGTCGAGTGTTGGAGAGTTTATGGATCTGAAAACCGACCAAGTCATCTCACTCTCTCCGGCGCCGGCAAGAAGTAGAATAGCGAATGGACCACGAGAGAGAGAGAGAGAGAGAGAGGTAGGTGAAGAAGAAGAAAGAAGACTGAGTTCGATGCGATTGGATTTTAAGCAGATGATTCTCATGCTTCTTCTTTTGTCTTCTTCTTCTCTTCGAAACGTTTTTTGTATTTCCCACTTTACCCTTAGTTAGGTACATATATTACTTTAGTTTGGATACAAATTTTAAATTTGGACCCATTGGGTCATGAGGTCCATGGCTTTGTGAAGTTTATCCACAACATGTTATTTTTATTGACTTCTATTTACATGGGATTGCTTAGGAAAAACATGTTTAGTTATTACAAAAAAAATGGAGATAAGAGTATGAAGAAGTGTGTTATGAAAGATGGTCTCTACAAATGGGGCAAGTTTCTTGCCTAAGCAACCACTCATCTATGCAATTCATATGAAATATGTGGCCACATCTCTCAAGCTTTCTTCCTACTTCCCCTTCTTCCCAATCCTACACACCCCCCAAAAAATGAAGAAGATTAGAAAAAAGTACGATTAAGTAATTATAATCACATTTTAAAATCTGATTCCTATATGATTTTAGTTACATTTTCATCACCTGTAAGCAAATCGAACAACTCGATTTTATTTGCTGATCTGAACAGTTGTAGAACTTCGGGATGTTCACAATAGAGCTCTTCGATAATCCCTTTTTCTCTTGATTGAAATCGTATAAGTTTGAACTCTCCATGTAATTTGTATCCAATGTTATTATCTGCATATATTTTTTGTTTGTTTTCTTTTTAGAGTTTTATAAAATATAATCTATGGAATATGTGGTAGTTTAAAGAGTTTTGTGAGTGATTGGTTCTGACTTTACATTAGAAAATATTGTATTCTTGTAAATTTAAAAGATGTAGTTGAAAAAAGTTAGAAGTACAAAAAGAATGGAGAATACTTACTTGCCATTGATATGCTTTGAGAACAAACGGTCTAACCAATCCCATGATGGCTTTCCCATTCACTACTCTCCTGAGTAAAGCCACCTGCCATTCTTTTCATATTTTTGTCACCAAACTATTTTTACATAACATCATACTTTATTCAGATAACTAATTACTAGAATACCATCATTCTTAGCTTTCTTAATCACAAGACCACTCCCACTTTCTAACTAAAAGCATATGGTTGATCAGTGATTTAATTTTTAGATTCTAGGGATAATATGTAGTCACAATCACCTTAGACAAAGGTTGATCACCATGTAGCACCGGCCCAAAAAGTTGGACCGCGGTGATAACTCCAGCCACGACTCCGAGCAAACTACCTTGAAGAAATCCGATGTCAGTGGTGTGACCTTCGATGGCTCCTACAATGGCGGCTACCACAACACTAGCTACATCCAAAATTAATGACATTTAGTGATCTTGTAAAATTGTTTATACATAGAATTTGGATGAAAATAAAGCAATGTGATATGTTAAACCAAGAAGAAAGTATATTTTTCTAAGAATTTGGATGAACATATTCTTTTTTTTTGTGCAAATAAAAATATCTTTTTGTTAAAGAATGAGGATTTAAGGGTAGAGAATCCATAAATGAGATAAGTTTTTGAATTCAATTAAGGTAGGCATAATAAATACATAGTGGGTGTGGCCATATCACACACATTTTAGACCCCACCATCTTACATACATATGAATATACTTTTGTACATTATCTATACTATTAAACTGGAATCATATTGAATGTCAAATAGGTCGTCTTCTCTACCTAGACAAACAAGTCATTCAGGTTAAAGGAAAAGGCTAATACAATGGAACAGAAGATCCCGACATCAGACTCTTATGGTAAGAAAAAGTTGCTTGACACATCGCTCTATGAAGATTCAAGAATTTTAATTAAAAAAAAGATTCAAGAATTTTCTCTTTATTTGTCAATTTTTTTTTATTAATATATATTTTAGTTCTTTTATCAAACACTCATGTCAAGTTGTCAACTATTATGTATGTAGTTATAGTATGTATGAGTGTGAATTCATACAAAAGATGTAAGTACATGTCAATGAAGTACATATATCCAACACCTATGAAATGGTGTCTCACGTTTCATCTTTAAAACTACGTCAGACTAGCAAGCATATACAGAATTCAAAAAAGGAACAAACGTGGCCTTAAATGATACGCAAATGAAGATAACTTGTAAATTTACCGGAAGCAAGAATGAAGATGAATGAGCCCAGCAAAGCTCGCTTTATCGTTCTTGACATTATGACGACCGCACCAGTAATCCAAAAAGAAACAGCGTATGTGAGTTTCAGAAGAATCATCTTAGCAATGCACATGAAGAAAAGATGGAATACTAATTGATTTTATATATATGGGATATTTTGTATTTGTGTGGTTTTATGGGGTGAGTCGGTGAGAGCTTGAATTGGAGAGTGGTGTTGAGTGTGAGAAAAGAGCAATTTATAAAGAAAAAAAGAGAGAAAGGAGGAGGAGTTGCATTTAAGAAGCTGAACTACCCATACCTCTAATCTACATGGCATTGGCGACTCTATTGGCGCATGCATGAACTTGCGCCCACAGAAGAATCTAAATGTTTTATAATATAAAATTAAATGGAGAAATTAATGCAGTTTTGAAATATGAAAATGGGAAGGCATGGGATAAGCTTGAGATTGAAATGAATCCAATTTAAATTCCACTACGATTTGAATGAGTTGTTTATTGCCATTTACCACTACTAGTCTACTATAGTAGTTTAGTCATTATAGTGGTAGCAGTCCTAATTTTTACAAACTTTCAATCTTGGATTCTTAATGTGTGAAGCAAAAAAGAAGCTCTTAACCAATGTTCTAAAAAATTGACAGTGTTTATCTCAAGTACTAGATTTATGTTTCATATAGGCTAAGCCACAAAAAGTTTAAGACACAGGCTTGTGTGTAGTAGTAACTAGTAAGAAGACTGTGTCATGTATGTGAATCACATAAAAGCAGTCATTTATTTTCGTCCCACGTTGGATTGGTTTTTGGGCTTGAAACTCCAATATAGTGGACATGGACCGAGACAATTGAGCTTTTTGTTCTAGCGTAAACGTATCTTTGTTTTTTTTTGCCAAACAATTGTTATAAGTGCTTGAGACGGAAGGAAGAAATTTGTAAACTTTACGGAGGAAAAAAATATATTTTTATAAGGTTACATCGACCATCCTCAATGTCCAATCTTTCAAAGGATTTTTCGGATCTTCCAAGGGATTTGGCGGAGGAGGTGCTCTCTAAGGTGGTTCCTGTGACATCTCTGCGAAGAGTACGATCTACTTGCAAAACATGGAACACTTTGTCCAAACGTAGGAGCTTTGCAAAGAAGCACCTTGCTCAAGCAAGTGAAGCTGCAGCAAAGGAAAAGGAGTTTATGATGGTCATGATGATGGATTTTAGGGTTTATTTGATGCGCGTAAATCTTCACAACAAGGTTGAATTATGCATAAAACGTCAAGGTACACTTATTTTCCCCGACGCCTCAGATCAAATCTATGTACGCCAAGTCTTTCACTGCGACGGTTTATTGTTATGCATCCTGAAAGACAGCCCTAGGCTCGTGGTTTTTAACCCGTATTGTGGGCAACCCCGGTGGATCGAATACACATGTAATGATGATCACAGGTTGGGTTCGTATCCGTATTCGTTTGCTCTGGGATACAATAGCAACACCAAATCCCACAAAATCTTGAAATTTATTATAATTCTTAGTTTCCATGATGTGGCTGAGTTCAAAATCTACGACTTTAACTCTGATTCATGGAGGGATCTTGATGTTACTCGAGATTGGGACATAAAGTGGTATCGCCGTGGTGTCTCTCTCAAGGGAAATACATATTGGTTTGCTGAAGAGACGTATTCAGAAAACCCTAGCCAAGGAGACCAAAGTTTCTTAATCTCTTTTGATTTCACAAGAGAAACATTTGGGCCACGTTTGCCTCTGCCCTTTGAGTGGTATCCTGCAGATGGTCTGAGTCTATCTAATGTTAGAGATGAGCAGCTTGCTGTGTTATTTCAACGAGAGGATACATTACAAATGGAGATCTGGGTTACAACTAAGATTGAGCCCAACAAGTTGTCGTGGGGCAGCAAGTTCTTCTTATCAGTGGATATGAGAGTTCTCACCGGCAAGGAGTTTATGTTTTCGTTTAGTGGTGCAAGTTTCTTCATTGATGAGGAGAAAAAAATCGCTGTGGTTTTTAATGAAGGCAAAGACATGATGGGGAGGCACAACACAGCTTTCATCATTGGAGAGGATGGATCCTTGAAAGAAGTGAATCTTGGAGAATCTCGAAACAGAAATCTCCAACCACTTGTGTGCTCTTATGTTCCAAGTTCAATGCAACTTCTTGAATAGTCCATTTTACAATACCTATAATCTATTTCTTCCACTTTTACTTGTTTCCTTTTTCTTTTTTTGTCACATCTTCTTTGAACAATATATTTCAAATTAGTTTGTCTTCTTTTTGTTTGCCATATTTGACTTCGTTTTGTTGCCTTAGGTTGCTTAATTTACTTCTTCTGTTGTAGTAGACTCATCGCAAAATCTCTGTTTCTCTTCTTACATTTGTTATGTTTGTGTTCTTGCAAATAGGCAGCTCTGCTGTTGTGATTTATGTAGAACAGAGTAGGCTGCGTTTAACTTTAAAATTTGTATGTATGCATGCTTAGATTTGAGTTTCCCATCTTAACTTTTGTCCTTATCAGTTTTACAGAGAGCAAGTGGCTGCTAGGCTGATACGTAGAAGATTGAATGATTTCTTGGAGTTAAGTTTTGTCCTTCGGTGCATTATCCCAGAAACTTTCAATTTTGGATTCTTAAATGAGTGAGATTATGTAGCAAAAAATAAGCTCTCAACCAATGTTTTTAAAAATCAAATTTCTATAGCATTAATCGATACCAAAACCGAACAAAACTTTTAACTATAAGGAAAATCTGAAAACATAAAAATCCTCAAATTATCAACAATATATCCACATAATCCATATTTTTACAACCCGACTAACTCCGTTATTTTGAAAAAATCATTACCTTTATGGATTTATTTTTCAGCCAAAAAAAAAAAGTCATGTGTATTGAAAAAAGTTATATAATAACAAGAAAAACTGGTTTGGAACGTTTGGAACGTTTAATACTTCCACTTGAGATTATCGTCTTCTCGGGGTTGGTTTGGAACGTTTAATACTTCCCAAAGCTCTATCAATTCTTTCAGCAGAGAGAGGAGCTATTCATGGGTTTTGATTCGGTTCCTCTCCACAAGACAAATAAGGCATTTGTGCGTCGATCCCTTAGCTTCAAGTTCAGGCCTTTTCCTTTGAGATTCTTGTGATTTCTAGTTATTTCAATTATTGGAGGTTTATCGGTTAGTTTTCTAAGTTTAGCTTATGGTCTTGTATTTGGTTGTTTGTTAGCTTCCCTCTTTTGGGCTAATTGTCTTCGGGGATATCACTATTTTCCGCCGACTTATCTTATCGGGGATATTTAGTCTTTCCGCCGATCTTTGTATCTTTCGAAGGTTTAATATGATTATTCAGACGAAAAAAAAAAAAACAAGAAAAACTGGTCATCTTCTTAAGTGCCCAAAATCATCCTACCACACTATGATTTTTGTTAAATCAGTCAATAAAAATGGGTCAACTAATCTGTTTCGTCAATAGTTTACAAATATTCAAATGTAATGTAAAAACCAATAAGACAAAAGAAAAAAACACTATTGTCGTGTAACTTAAACAAGTCAAAGATGTCACACACTGCACAACCCAAAACAAAGCTTCAAACCACTTCCAAGTCCTTAGCAAAAGTGCCAGATTAAAACATCAATTCTGTTTTCCTTGTCAGCCGCTCAGAGCCTCTGACCGCAACAAATCTTTCTCATTGTTTTTTTTTTTTTGTTAAAGGGTATTCAAATTAAAAAACATAAAAGTATTACAAGGATATGACTTTGAGGTCATATAGTTTTTGAAAGTAATTAAAAGAGAAGAACATACAATTCAGTAGATTCTAGATTAGAGAAGAGAGAACAAGGAAATAGTTCGATTAATCGTGACCACCGCGGCCACCACGACCACGTTTACCACGTCCTCCAACCATAGTCCATTGCATCTCTTGAATTTTTTTAGTAGGTTTGATTGATCTACCACCTCGGGTTTTTAGAGAGAAGTCATCCATCTCAAAACCTGTAGTAACTCCCGAGTCTAAGGAGGCAAACATATTGCTCCCATAAACATTCCCTGGCACAAATTCATTTGCCAATGAACCTGGTTGGGTAGGAGTAGCTAGGGTATTGATAGCTGGCGTAGTACCAACCATGGAAGAAGTCTCAATTGGTGCAACCTGTGAAGAGGTTGAAATAGTGGGAGTAAAATTGGCGTTTACTAACGCAGTAGAGAGAGAAAAGTCAGGCACAATAGCAATTGGTGTTGATGGTTCCTCCTCAGATGGAGAGGGAAAGCGAGTTACAGCAGAATCCATCTCAACGTTTTCAGAAGAGCAAGTGGAGTTGGCTGGAGCAGAGACAACATTCAGCTCTTCAACATGTGCAACAACCTCTAAGGGAGAGCCCTTTAGAATAGTGGAGAGAGTAGTGGGCTGGTGAAGAAGGAGGCATCTAGTTTCCTTGTGTCCTAGGTGACCACATTTCTCACACTTTTTTGGGAGCCAAGAGTATTCAACATCAACCATTGAGACATTTCCTATCTTGTCTGCAGCTGCAATTCTCTGTGGAAAAGGCTTGTTTAATTCCACTTCCACCATTAGCTTAGCCTCACCCATAAGAGTCGGGTCCAATCTTGGTTTGTTAGTTAGCATGGGTTCTCCCAATCCTGAGGCAATCCAACTAATACCCCATTCTGAATAAAGACAGCTTGGGATGTTCTTTAAAGTCACCCACACCGGAACTGAAGTGATCTCTGGTACAGCTAAAGAAGCAGTAGGAGTCCAAGGCGCAACAAACATAATGCAATCATCAATATGCCATAAACCACGCTCTAACACCCAAGTTCTAGTCGACTCATCTGGGATGTGAAAGAGAAAAGAGGAATCACCTAATTTGCGAAATCTTTCTCATTGTTTCGTTACATATATTATTGAGACACAATTATCTAAGCCAAAAACTAAAACAAATCTTTCTCATCGTTCTTATCTGACCAGGAATAATTCAATAGAAAAAAGAACAAAATTAAACTAAAAAAAAAAAAAAAGTCTATGGAAGTATGAGTTTGACTCGGTTTCCTTTTGATATTAGTCGTACTTTTCAACATTTTCACCCAGTTAAAGCCGTCCTCTTATAATAGGAACCCACCACCACTTTGTTCTTCTTCTTCAGCTAAAACTTCATCATTTCATGCTTCTCATGTTACATTCTGCAATTTTTCAACTCTTTGATTTTATATAATCATTTGTTTTTTCTTTAATCAAATCCATCTGGCGAACATTATTTCGCTTGATGCAATTAAGGTATATTATCTGATGAGGTGATGCTTCCACGTCTTTATATTATAATAATCCCTCCAATTTTAAAAAAAGATCCTGACTTTCTTCAATTTCTCTCTTGTTTCTTCTTTGATCATCTTCAACAAAAAAAGTTACGATCTTTCCTCTCTGGCTCGTCGGAATTTGAGCTAGTTTAGCTAAAGTTTCGATCTTTCTTCTCTGGGTCGTCGGAATTCGAGCTTAAAATCATGGGAAATTGTTTTGCCAAGAACCATGGATTGATGAAGCCGCAGCAAAATGGGCATACCACTAGATCAGTTGAAGTAGGAGTGACCCATCAAGATCCACCGTCGTATACTCCACAAGCGAGAAGCACTCAGCAGCCGGAGAAACCAGGTTCCGTGAATAGTCAACCACCACCGTGGAGGGCGGCGGCAGCAGCACCAGGAGCAAGTCCCAAGACCACCACTAAGAGCAATTCTATACTAGAGAACGCTTTTGAAGATGTGAAGCTGTTCTACACATTGGGTAAAGAGCTAGGTCGTGGGCAATTTGGGGTAACGTATCTGTGCACAGAGAATTCAACGGGGAAGAAGTACGCTTGCAAATCGATCTCGAAGAAGAAGCTGGTGACGAAAGCTGATAAGGATGATATGAGGAGAGAGATTCAGATAATGCAGCATTTGAGTGGGCAGCCTAATATTGTGGAGTTTAAAGGAGCTTATGAGGATGAGAAAGCTGTGAATTTGGTGATGGAGCTTTGTGCTGGTGGTGAATTGTTTGATAGAATCATTGCTAAGGGACATTACAGTGAGAGAGCAGCTGCTTCTGTTTGTAGACAGATTGTCAATGTGGTCAAGATTTGTCATTTCATGGGTGTGTTGCATAGAGACTTGAAGCCTGAGAATTTTTTGCTTTCTAGCAAAGATGAGAAGGCTTTGATCAAGGCTACTGATTTCGGCTTGTCTGTCTTCATTGAAGAGGGTAAAATAATCAAACTTTGTTTTCTCTAGGACATAATTAAGTGATGGATTGTTAAAGGGGTTTTAGTATATTGATTAAGTTGATTGTCTCTAGGACATAGATAGGATATGGATCAAGGTTCTGGTATACTGGTATCTTGTGTCTCTTGGTTCCGTGAATTGCATGAAGATCAGACCTTTTTTGATATTCGGACTAGGCTTATAGAGACCGCTGTTTTTGTTCTCTGATAGAGTTTGATGTTTCTTACTGTTCATCATTTGGTTGTTTCTTCTTCTTGTATTTGTAGGAAAAGTATATAGAGATATTGTTGGGAGTGCATACTATGTTGCTCCAGAAGTCTTACGTCGCAGATATGGGAAAGAAGTTGATATCTGGAGTGCTGGAATCATCTTATACATTCTACTCAGCGGTGTGCCCCCGTTTTGGGCTGGTAACGGGATATTCTCTCTTCTTTCTTGCTTTCCCTTTTTAGATTTATATGTTGTGAAGAAAAGCTGACAACAAAACATTGGATATGCAGAAACCGAGAAAGGAATATTTGATGCTATATTGGAAGGCCATATCGACTTTGAGAGCCAACCATGGCCGTCAATCTCCAACAGTGCCAAAGATTTGGTACGTAGAATGTTGACTGCGGATCCAAAAAGGCGTATTTCTGCTGCTGATGTTCTTCGTAAGTAACCCGCATACCTTTTGAAGACATTTTACAGAGCCACAACACAATGCAAAGTTGGGGAAGCTCCCATTAACAGTTCCTTCTTGATTCTGAGACTTGCTCTACTGTTTTGTGCAGAGCATCCATGGCTTAGAGAAGGTGGAGAAGCATCAGACAAGCCAATTGACAGTGCTGTTCTCTCAAGGATGAAACAATTTAGAGCAATGAATAAGCTAAAGAAACTGGCTTTAAAGGTGAAGTCAAGATTTTTCACATATGAAATGTGATTCTGTGGTTGTGGTCCTTTTTTCGTTATGCTCATGATGAGATTCTAACAGGTCATAGCGGAGAATATTGACACGGAAGAAATCCAAGGATTGAAGGCAATGTTTGCTAACATAGACACAGACAACAGTGGCACAATCACGTATGAAGAACTGAAAGAAGGATTAGCCAAATTGGGATCTAAACTCACAGAGGCAGAAGTGAAGCAGCTCATGGATGCTGTAAGTTGGTCAAAAACTATATTTTTCCCATTCCGTTCCTTTACTTTAAGAACTCAGATTCTCGGGTTTGTGATTAGGCTGATGTTGATGGGAACGGGTCAATCGACTACATAGAGTTTATCACCGCAACAATGCATAGGCACAGGCTTGAAAGTAATGAGAATCTTTACAAAGCTTTCCAGCATTTTGACAAAGACAGCAGCGGGTTAGTGACATGTTTCTTCTCAGTGTTTTTCATTCTTAACCGGTATATTTGTAAGCAAGATGATGAGCCTTTTTTTGGGATCAAAATGTGTACCAGATACATTACAATAGACGAACTGGAATCTGCATTGAAGGAATATGGAATGGGAGATGATGCAACAATCAAAGAGGTTCTGTCAGATGTCGACTCGGATAACGTAAGATAAAATAAAACATCTCTTCTCTTTATCTTCTTCTTCTTCTTCTCCGGAAACTTAACTTTTGACTATAATGTTTTGCCTCTCTTGCAGGATGGTAGAATCAACTATGAAGAGTTCTGCGCAATGATGAGAAGTGGAAATCCACAACAACAACAACCGCGGCTGTTCTAGGGGACATTGCTCCTAGAAGTCTTTTTGTTTGTATCTAATCCAGAATGTCAGGAGCTGAATTAATGTTTTGTTCAGACAAAAACCAAGATACTCAAAACTCTGATTGTTTGTATTTTGTTCTCCTGCTTTGTCCTTTGTGTTCTGTACTAAGGCTGTTGTGATATGAGAGAAAGAGATGTTTCATTTTTAATGTTAAGATTTTGATTCTTCCTGTCTTAACATTTGACCTCAGATCCTCTACTTCTAATGATTCTACATTCCATCAATGCCGAATCGACGAAACAAAATGCTCTTACAAGTATTAATTACAAGTATTGCACTCTATCTAAAAGACAAACCCATATAGACTGCAAGAAAAATCAAACCAAAAGAAATGCATATATAATGATTTGCCTAAAACAAGACAGAGCTTCTTGTCCTAACTTATCAATCATCTTATAAGAAGATAAGAAAAGCTTATTTGAATGAATCAACAGTGGTTAGAGGGTGTTTTGGTTAAATAATTTTTTTTTTAATTTTACAAACGATACAAGACCATTAGAGATAATGTGATTTTCTCAATGCTCTAATCATATGGTAGGCTGAGGAGCTTTCTGCTTTCTTGATCTTGGACTGTTCATCTCCCTTCATATACAATGTTTCTTTTGTTGGGATCTTAATCTTAGCAGAGCAAACAAATCTCTTTCCCTGTACAGAGGTTCTATCTTCCTCAACGCTGAAACACAATAACAAAATGTTTTAAACAATGGATTAGCAAATGTGTTCTGCTTCCTGAAATTATAAGACTTTCGACTACTCAAAGATCAAATGACTTTGCTAAGCAGCAGCCAATCTTCCTACAAGTACAAGTAAGTGAATGCTTCCAAATTGTAGGAGTAGGATATACCTGTAGATAGGCTTAGGCCACTTTTTCTTTAAGCAAATTTCATTCAACTTGGTTTTAGCATGTTTAAGTTCAATGTCTACACTATCCTCATCAATAACCATTTCAACGGGAAAAACATCTGACAACTTCCGTAACGCTTCCTTAGCAGCGATCAGCCTTGCAATATCTTTATTCTCAGCTCTCCCTGAAGCCAAAAACTCATCATCAAGATAGATATCAGCAATACTCACATTGCCATCTTTCCAATTCCTGATGTCGATTCGCTTCTTATGTTTATGACATAATTTGAAAAGCATAGACACAGGTTGAGGTTGCTTCTGCAAATCGTCCAATGTAACTATCGGTTCCAAAAGACCCCTAAAGATCTGCAAAAAATCGACAATAAGAAAGAAGCCTTAACTTTCAGAAACAAAGACAAAACACACAACAGTAGATCTAAAGAAGAAGTTGACACAGACCACCCATAGTCTTTGTAGATCAAAGTTAACATCAACATAAACAGCTCCAGCTACAGACTCAAAAAGATCAGCCAGAACTTTAGGGGCTTTGACTAATCCACCATATGCCACTGAAAAATCATCTTCTTTCCCCACCGCCTCTGAGAATTCTTTAACCTATCAAATGACATCAAAAACACAACTTAGTAGTGAGGATATCACAAGAATCACTCTGTTCCAACCTATGGCTTCACATGTTTCTAGGGTTCTTCGAGTTTTATGGATTACCTTTTCATCTAAAGAAGGAGCATTGCGTCGAAGAAATGGATAGAGACCGTGATTAAGAGTGACACGAGCAAGTTTCTCAGTACTAACATTAGCTGCTCTCAAAAGAGACAATTGGTGTGGTTCAAGGCTAGGGTAAGTTAGGTATAGGTAATTCGAGATAGCTAAACCAATAGCACTATCGCCTACAAACTCAAGCCTCTCGTAAGAGGGAAAGTCCGTACATGAGGTGTGTGTAATCGCTTCCTTGAGAAGACTCTTGTTCTTGAATTTGTAGTCTAGAATCTTCTCCACTGCTTCCATAGACTCCATCTCCGGCGTAACCGGAACGCTTGGTGCTGATGGGGAAAGAGAATTGTAGAAGCGGTGGATATCGGCTGAAGGCGGCGGTGCTGATGGAGGAAGTGAATTGGTTAAATGACAGCGAGTGATCGCCGGAAAATTGTACTCCGGTGAGATAGAGTGATCCATGGTAGAGAGAATCTAAAGAGTCTTCTTCTCTGTTTTAATTTTCCTTTTATTCTTTTTGTTTTCCCAATTCTATTATTTTGACTTTTTCATTGACTAATAGTCTTCACTCTTCAGGACAAATAAGGAAATAAATATATTTTCTTAAAAACTTTTTTTTTGGGTCAAAATATAATTAAAAAAAAACTTTAAATACAGGAAATGGACTAAAGCTTTGCCTAAACCCTAAAACTGAGTTTTTTTTGGGTCGATGACGATGAAGTGTGTGTTTTGTTGATAAACTCGAGTGTGGGTGATCGAAGATCGAAGGGAGTTCCAAGGTTAGCTTCCTAATCTGTTTCTTTCGCGATTCTAATTCCTGTACGCAATTGGTTTTGTATTGAACAATTTTTTGACAGATTCATGTATCGAAATCTTGTTTTTATATATTGTAGAGAGATTCTCGTTGTAATTGTAAATGGGTTCGAAGTTCTTTGTTTGAATTGGATTAGGATTTTTGTGTGAGTATCGTTGTGATATTTGTTACATTTAAAAATTGTGTTTGATTTTTGGTTTGGGTTTTAGGTTTTGATCTCATGGAGGGAGAAGAGAGTTTGTTGGATGCTATTAATGAAGAAGACGGATTTGAAAACATGGAGGATGTTGACATGGTTGATGTTGAAGAAGGGGAGATTGTTGTGGATCATGGCTTAGATTCTGGAGAGAGACAAAATGTTGATGGTGATGGTGATGGAGTCAAAGATCAAGAAGGGATTTTGGGTGAGAAGAATGGACAGCAGCAGCCAAACAAGAACAAGAACAAGAAGAAAAAGAAGAAAAAGAGAAAAGGCCCTGTGATGGACAAACCCATGAGTGTAGACTGGTAACTGATTCTTTTTCTATATGCCTATGTTGTAAACTCTTGGTGAAGCTGCCTGAGTTCCTCATAGTTTGATGTTTTGTTATGGCAGGTTTGTTAGGGATACTTGTAGACGCCTCAAGGAAAAGAAGTCTTACATGGTATACACAGCTGTTGGGTGTCTTGGAATTGCTGCCTTAAGTGATCTTGTCAATGAGGTATACACTACTTCAAGATGTTTTCTCTGTTATTCCAATTGAAACCTTGTTTGATCTTTGTGCGACCAGCATGAGTGGCAATCTTGTTTAGCTATATTGTTTTCACCTCCAGTTCAAGATATTTCTAGTTGGAGTTTTCTTTGCTTCTTCAAATACTGTGCCTTTTGCTGAGATGTAGATGGTGAAACTTCATATATTAGGTTGATTTTTTTTCCTTCTCTGTCTTTTCTCTGTTTTTATTGATCTAAGACAATTTGAACTACACCATGGGTGGGTAGATGAAATTTTTATGTCTAACACTGATTAATCTATGAGTGAGACCAATGGTGTCAACCATATTTTCATGATCGAGAAATGACTGTCCATATTCACTAATGCTTTGTGGATCGATCCTTCTGTTACTCCCACTGTTTGCTTTAAGTTGGCTAAGAATATTTCTATTCCACTTTGCAAGTTTTTTGTCAAAGGTTTGGAGATATGATTGATGATGGCAAGAAATATTTTTGTCTTAGGTGGTAGCAATTGAGACCTGTGGAGGTCAGTTGACTGCTGATGGCAATAGGAAACGGTCAAGTGGTGGTGTATTGTGGAACATCATCAAAGCGAGACAGCCTGCAGCTCATAGAGAGATAATGAAAAAGACCAAGGAGTTTGAGGTTTGTTCTTGCCTATTATCTTATTACAACATGCTTACATAAATCCTACTTTCTTAGCTTAAATGTAGAATTGCAGTCATGTTATATCACTGTTTTCTATCTTATGCTTCGTTCTCTCTCGCTCTTTGTCGTATGCTTTCAAACTTTGCAGAAACAATTTAGGCAACCAAACACGAGACCGAAATCAGGGCCTTCTGGAAATGCATCCGCTGATGAAGCTCTGGTAGCTGAGCAGACTGAATCCAAACCGGAAAAGGAAAGGAAATCTGTTCATGAGAGGATCAGGGCACCTGTTTCATATGATGACCTTATCAGAGATTAACCTTTGGATGCTTCACTAGCTCATTTATAAACTGTTTGCCTTAAGACTTTTTTTACTAGGTAAACAATATATCTAAGCTACTGGATAACTTCTTCTCTTGTGGAAAGCAATTGTTTTGTCGAGAAATGCATTAACCAGATTTTTTTGACTTAGTTAACAATATACCTAAGCAACTGGATTGCTTCTTCTCTTGTGGAAAGCAATGATTTTGTCGAGAAATGCATTAACAAAGCTATATATACAACTACAAAGATTTTTCTATAGATACACAAACTTGAGCACCTACCTAGAAATTTACTACATAACATCAGTCGGCCATTAAGATGTTCATGTGTTAAGTTCTCATTACATGATGCAGCTGGTTTGATACAAAAGATTTGTTTGCTTGGTCTACACCACGAGATGGGTCGTCCTGGGGTTCTCTTTATGAATTACTTGTTCCTTGATTGCACCTCTGTGAAGGCCTTGATTGATTATCTTCTTAACTGCCATCATTGCTTGGACGAGCCATGTCAATATTACATCACCTCTTGTACTGACCTTAGGTTCAGACCTAGCCTCTCAGACAAACATGTTTGGTGTTTGTATGTGGCATACAAAGAGAGAGGATCATATTCGGAGGATCCGGGTCAACTTGTAAACCTGAAAATTTAAAAATGGAGTTTGAATCAATATATATATGAATCAATATGCATTCTCATGGCAGTAAATAGCATAGAGAGAGAGAGAGAGAGCTGACTTGGGCAGTCCTGCTAGGCAAAAACACCTCTAAGCAATTTCTTTGACCATCAATTCTGCGCAAATGTGGATTCGGTTCAAAATGATGAACTGATAACATCCTTATATCTTTGCCAAGTAGGATACTATAACACTAAACTATGAGAAATTTACAAACCTCTTGCTAATTGACCGTTGAAGATACTGGTCCTCCGTTACAAGCCCTTGACCCCCATACTTTACTTCATCGGAGTTCAGTATCATCTGCACAATTCAGGTAATACTCTCAGGTGAAACGCATTAAACAACCTTATAGTGGAGTTCAGCGTTCTATCAACGAGTAAGAAAGCGACAGCAACTGTATTTCATGGAAAACAAAGCAATGGTTTGATTGACAGACTCTTATTAACAGAAAGATAGATGACGGGTGGAATATCTATGCAAAGAATGGAAAAACTTACAGTATATTCACCAGCTTCCTCTACACCAACATCATACTTTTCATATGAATTTGATGGGTGGAAATTAAAGATAAATAGGAAAGGACCCCTCGAGAACGAAATCACCTGTAGAGAACAATTAGTTGAGTCATAAGCAGGCTCATTGTCCACACCCTTTCATTTCTGATGCTTACGTTAGGCAGTCTCACTTTGCTCAGGTATACACTGTTATTATCTGATTTCATAATTCTATAAATGTATTTGGAGAATCAAATGTTGCAGGAAGACAATTGGTTCTAGTTTTTTTCTGCACTACCTGAATAATATTGTATATAAAGGCATATGCAAAACACTAGCATGCCAGAGAATTCCAGGAACTTATTTTCTGGTTCAGACCCTGAACCCAAGCAATTTTTAGTGGAAAATAAAAGAACAAAAGGAGTCAAATACCATATTTGCATCATTCACATGGTGGATGCTGGGCAGACCTCTTGAAAGGATACCCTTGCCTTTATCCAAGTCCATTAGCTCCTACAAATAAAGAGCGAGATCAGTAGCTAAGAAGCATCTCTCCTGATACAAGAAGAAATATGCTTGCAACATTTTCTGTTCCTTATATTTGAAGATATACAATTAAAACTTTAATAAGAAATCAAGATATACATTTAGTTGCTTCTGATATGATGAGAATTATCGGCAGTAAAGTTTTTTAAGTTCGAGTTCGGAAGACTTTCTCGGCTTGATAACATTTATTTGCCTCCTTCATAAACTAATACAGTAGTGAATTGCTATGAAAATGAAGGAAGAAAATTTTCATCATATCAGAAGCAATGGTATGGATGCTGCACTTTTATAAACAGGTGGTAATGGTAAGACTGATACCTTGTCAAAGGAAAACAAGTGATGATGCACTCCACTTTCCAGCAGGTCCCAGCGGCGGTTAGCAAGTGAAAACGAGAAGTTATTGCTCTGTGTTGGAAACTCAACCCTCTGACACAAGGATGAAACGTCAGAAACATGAAGATGATGTTTTTAGAACAGTGAGAGTTTGGAGAGTTACCTCAGGATGTCCAAATTCATTTCCCATGAAATTGAGGTAAGCACGCCCACCACTTGTAAAAGTAATCAGTCTAATCATCTGGTCCAAGCGATGACAAGAAACAAAGCTTTCAGAATATAAGTGAAACAACAGCATGAACAAGCACCTCATGGGGAGGAAACAAATACAAAATTAATTATATAAGTGAAACAACAGCATGAACAAGCACCTCATGGAGAGGAAACAAATATAAAATTAATTATCTCGTCATAGGAGATAGGAATAAGAAAATCTTCTTCTCCTCAGCAAAACATTTCAGACAACAAGACTGGAATTACAAATGCACAAATATATGGGTGTACTTGCACTTTTGATTTACCACCTAGAACTCTCGAATATAAAAGACACATTTGATGGATCAATGCAACAGCTACACAGAGAATTAAGAGCGAACGACTCAATGTTTAGAAGTGTGCTCTACAGCTGGAAGTTGGGTACAACAAAGGGAACTCGTTATATCTTTGTACGGAAGTGAATTTGGCTCAAGTTCAAAAGTAAGAGATATAATAAAACCGGAAAAGTTAGAAAACCAAGGGGAGGGAGGATTTAGAGGCAACAATATAGATTAATGATTACAGAGGGCAGTAATTAGACAATCTTTCAGATTTCATCTTTTCACTTTTCAATGCAAAATTTAAAATAACAATCTTATTCTACAGTTGTGTTCTCATCATGATAGAGGTATGCTAGTTGGGGAAGTAGTGTATAAAGGAGTAAGAAAGGGGTACCTTATGTAGTGAAACTCCCCTGTCTAGCAATTCTTTTCCTCCAGGAGAACCATTACCGACTCCACCAAACAAGATTTCAGCAAATGAACGCCCTCCTGATATGGACTGGTGGAAAGGAAAAGTAGAATAAACAGCAATGCCAATGCAACCTAAAAGTATAGTTGTGTAGTAGATATGAAAAAGTAAAGTTACAAAGTAAATACTTGGTTGTGATTTTCGGCATAGCTGACCATCTTGTTTGCATACTCTTTGTTAGCCACCAATGTACTGACAATCTGCAGCACTGGCTGAACATCAGACAACAGGACAAAAGTATTGTTCTGTCATATATAACAATGGAAACGTAAAAGCTATAACCTTGCTCATGCTCCATTCATTATCCGGTACACTGTCGAGGAGAGAAACCCACATTTCTGACGCAGAGAGATTCACATAATAATCAAATCCAAGTCCACCTTGAGAAACTGGCTCACACAACCCAGGGTAATATGTTGCCTAAAATAAACAGAAAAATGGAATAAATTTAGAAAATCAGTAAGAATCTTAAACATACTACCCACTGATATACATCTGGCATTCGTAAAAGATAATTCGTCGAAATTTTTTTTCCCTGCGTATGGCCAATTAAAATTGGCTTACACAAGCCAGTTGACGCTATGGTTACTGTCATGTAATGTACATGAGAAAGCACATATATACATGTTACATGTTAATCTCTCACATACCTTTTTATCTATATATAGCATATTTGGAAAAAGCATGAAAAGTTTTCACTGACTGGCAGTAACAGTACTAACTCTCTACTAACCAACAGTTACAAGACTAAAAACTAGATATAATCTAGAATTTATTATGTCCAGAAACAGTTCAGAGACTTAGTGATGTTCTATGATGAAAGCGGTGTCGGTAGTTAGCCCCCTCAATACTATCAATTAAGACAAAGCAATTCAATAAGGATGAAAAAATATTCTATAGCTTTATCCAAAAGCATGACAAACAAAAAGTGATGTGTAGCTTACATCCTCAGCAATTGTTATTATATTTGGATGTAGAACGTGCAGGATTTCATTGGCCAAAATGAGGTACATCAGAGCATCTCGGTCAACATACTGATTGCAATAGCTGCCAACAGGACAGATATCAACAGTTTGACCAACTGTCACCAAAATCCAAATTACACAAAGAGGTGTAGTCTCTAAAGAATATAGATGTCTTACTCGTCCAAATCGTTGTTAAATGAAGCAAAACCATTGTGCGTGTAAATCATCGAGGCAAGCGAGTGAAACTGGTAACCATCAACTTGATACTCTGTAATCCACCTGCAAAAGCCAAATGCAACAGCATCAGATTCCTAAAGCCAAAAAAGTGTGAAACACTTTCCTACTATACGAGTACGACCACTACATTGTTAAACCACATAATAATGTAGTTGCCTTTACCAGTTCAAATTTGATATGAGAAAATGAAGAACATCCAAATCACCGTATTTGAACATCCGGGTGCCCCAGTGTTTGTGATGCCCCCTTTTACCTATTTGCACGATGAAAAATGAACATTGTGTTTTTAGACATACTCATATTCAACTATGTCGAACATGTTTGAGGTCGTCTTAGGCGTACAAAAGATTATGAACAACATTGGTTGTAACACAAAAATTATGTTGCTTTCTAGTTACATACCAATGAGTACATGACTTGGACATTAACACATTAGAATAAAGGCATGCAAGAACTCTGTTTGTCACATCCCAAGACATGAAAAAATAAAAAAGTGGAATACTCTTATGGAAAATTACCATAATGAAAATAGCAGTCATTTGAACCATCGAAAAGAGAAAGCCCAGCCATCTGATCAGCTGCTGCATAAGAATGCACGATGTCCAAAAAGACAAGAAGTCCTAGGCCTGTATATCATGTGCTTCGTCAACTACATGGTTATACAACATCAAGAAAAGAAGAGAGACGAGAAATATTTACCATGTGCCTCATCAACCAACCGTTTGAAATCATCTGGCGTGCCATATCGGCTACTGGCAGCAAAGAAATTAGTAACCTGAAATGG